GAAGTGCTTATGCGATCCCCTCAACAAGGGTGGTCACAAGCCGGCCAGATAAGCTTCTGTTGGAAGGATCAGATGTGCAGCTTATGCTTCCAAAGACTCTAGCCCTCATGAAAGTAGAGAAAAGCTAAACGAAATGTTTATGGTTGATTTGACAGGCTCGTATAAAATACACAAAAAGAATCCCCAATGTTTCAAAATCTAGAATTTGTAAACACATCAGTGGGATTTTATTCCAACACTTATTATGTTGATGGAAGACAAATGCAAGTTTAATATACTTCTCTTGAACACCAAGCACTTCTTAAAGCTAGATCACTCCAAAGTCCATTAGCAAAGTATTCTGTTTCTAGCTTTTCCTTTTATTATTTTACAGAGTGGCAGAGAGCCCCTCTGCTACATACATTCACGTACATTAACCATCCCCTAAAGAGGACTTTTCATGTAGGGTTTCCCCTCCCCCAGAGAATCTTCTCGAGGACAACCGGCCTTCTGCTCAACATAATGCTTGGAGCATTGTCAGACAATTGGATTGCAGGCAAAGATGAAAGCCACTAGAGCAGTTTGATGCACATCCAAAGCAGATTGTGTAGACCAGCTTACTGCATCCAGAAGGGTCATAGTGAAGGCCTGGGACATAATTAATATATAACGGTAGGGTGGACTGGAGGGCAACTGTCAACATCACAATTGCAAACACTTATACTCTGGGATCAGGCCACTGTGTTGCCTAGTGCAGAAATCCACCAGAAAGACCTATGATCGTTTAAAAAATATTCTCTGAAAAGGAAACTTCCTTTTAACTACTTGTTCCATTCCATCTTCAAAGCATCTGGCACAAGTTCCAATGTCTAAGGGCTTTTTCTTTTTCTTGGTGTTAGTAACTCTGAACAAAGAGTCAGAATGGGAGGATGGAAAGAGGAGCAACAGAAAACAGGCAAGAGGTGTAAAGCTCTTCAAACCACGAGCCGTTTAGCAGTAGCTGACAAGTAATAATAGGACAGTAAATTCAGAGCTGGGATATTGGAAGGAGATGCTGTCTGAAGGACAGAGGCAGTAAAATAGTGTACAAAACCAAGTGCTACAGATGCAGTAGTTTCCTGAACACCAAAACTTGTAAGGACCAAGAGACTATTTAATCCAAACAGGCAACAGTAGGTTCCAAATAGACCCATGGAATCAGACCACTGCTCCATCAAACCTGATGCGATCTATTCTGAGTGACAGCAACTCTTCAAATTTTTGTTGTTGTACAGTGCTCTAGTGATACCTTGGTATGAATGAATGTAGGATTAGAACCCCCTTCCCATAGAAGACAGATGGACAACACATGTGCACAGAGTTGATAGAAGCACATCCATGTGAATTAATGGTTTGGAGCAGCACCGACAAGCACCTTAAAACTCCAGCCCACTTCGGGTATTGGTAAAACCTTTTTCCTTATCAGAATTCCAGGGTGCTATTGGATAAATAGTGAGCCATGGTATATGACCCTTTCCACATATAGCATGTGCCAGCATCATTTAGACTCAGACTACACTCCAACACAACCAGAAAATTCTGCCCTGACATTTTTCTTTGACTTTATGCATATGTCCAACATTCAGTCACATCTACGCTAGTTGAGTTCTACCTCATTTTGCTAAAGATTCAGCCATTCGTCCACACTGGGATCTTTTATGGACTTAAGACACAAGTGTAAGCAGTTCTGCTCAAGCATGTACCCCATCTTCAACAGGAGTCTGTGGAAAATAGGGAATCCTATATTTTTAATATATTTTTATATTAGCTTTGCTCCTGCCCAGTCAAAACTGGCCCACTAGTTAAGTCATGATGTATTAATTGCATCTATATTCCTCCTTTCCTCCAAGAAGCTCAAGGTGGCATATATAGTTCTTGTCTTCCGTCTTTTATCCTCAGAACAACCCCGTGAGGTAAATTCAGCTGAAAGGATCATCCAGTGAGCTTCACAGCTGAGTGGAGTTGGACCCTGGCCTTCCAGGTCCTACTGCAACACTCTGACCAGGACACCACACTGGCTCCAGAAATCACTGGAGACATCCCATCACTTCTGGGTCCCCCATGTAACCTTGGCTCAGATTTCACCGCAAGCCTAAAATACACTGATCTTTGTAAGCTACAATTTAAGTAGAAATGTCGCTTGGTGAAATACTATGTTACTGCTCTTCTGTTTCTGGAGTTCTGCCTTCAGGTCAGTTTATACCCTACACATAAACACACTGTACAATCTATGCCCTTGAAATTTATGTGCTATGCGTAAAGCAACTACAGTATGCAAATATAACACATTTGCGTATTATGGGGTGCATAGTACCAATCAACCCTGGAGTCCTGTCACTTCTGACATGCCATCAGGCACTGCCTGCATCGTTTCATTCAGAAGAGCTATTAATAGAGGCTCAAACTTCTCAAGATGCTACATTCCCCCCCCCCCAACGTCTCATTTTGGCCTTTTGCATTCCTTTGCAAATGGCTGAATCAGTGATGGGAAGAGGCAGAAATGGCAGCTTGCATTGTCGCTCTGAAGAAATCTTGCACATAGCAGAGTGCTAGTAGACGGTTGTAGCTATCCCAGTCCCATTGTAAGAAGAAGCAAGTGAAGCAGAACAGATGCTGGAGGTGATAATCTAGTGGAAGAAAGATTAAGCCTTTCATCCCAGGATAAAAATAGGTACACCATCAGCAGGGCTAAAGGAGGAGGGAAAAAACACTCACTCACGCCTAGCTGGGCCGTTCACACCAAGACATCAAAGCCACACAAAGACTGCCTGAGACAGCCACGTGGTCTAGAGGGTTGTTGCATCTCTTGGAGCAACCACAAGCAAAGTGGGCATATCAGCAGCCCAGAGTGTGAATGAGAGAGTTATAACGCTCCTGAGATTTAAGCAGGCAATGCCCATATTTTGAAACTTTTCTCTTGAAATCTCTTACTGGCTAGAAATAGACTGAGGGGAGGAGGAATGCTTTCGACCCAGGGCATAACAAAGAAGTCAAATGGATAAATCCATTTATCACCATTAGACAAAAACAAAAACTCTTAAGTAGTGAAATGTGCTCGTTTGTGATCCAGACAAACTGCCAAAATGTTGTCTATTCCTCTTCAGTGCTATGTATGCTACGTTCATTGGAATTATGGGGAAATAGCAACCTTTGTACACTTTCTTGAGACTACAGGTATGTGTACATGTATACTTGTATTTGAGGTAAAAGGCAAATCTAGGCAGCCATTCCTTACATTGCGGTGTACATTCATGTCACCGCAATTCAAACACTCCAAAAGGTCAGAGACCATACCACATACAGCTCCCTGCATAATGCAGCAGCTGGTACATGTTGAAGGGTGAAATTCCAATTGGAGCATGCTATAAAATTTCTGGGTAAATATTTATGCTCAAGAAGGTTAAGAGACTTGGAGTGCTATAAGCTCCAGCCTTCTGGGTCGGCAAACTGCAATTTAAGTCTCCTTGCAGCGACCCGCCAATGACCTCTATCCCAAGTCTGGAGGCAGTTGTGATCACTTGAGGCGTTTTTTAAATATTTTTTTAAAAGAATGAATCATGGGCCTCCATAGAGCATTAAAACAGAACATAAAACAAATGAGATGTTATTAAAGTCCCACCACATACCACCAAATCTCTTGATCTTTAAAGTTGCTTAGTACTGTTTCCCTGCCGTCATATTGTCCACATGCTCTAAATCACCATGTGCAGAAAAGATGGCAGCAGAAAGTACTTAGGCAGGGAGAGCTTATTGCCTGTTTCTGCCAATTCTCTCCTTGCCACAAATGTACAGAAGGATTTGGTGGTTCTCTTGCTGAAAGTTGCTACAGAAATGTTAAAATGGTGTTAGGTGATGTTCTGCTTTGAGCACCATGTGAACTGAATGGCAGATTTGGATCAAGGAGAATGAAATCACATATAGCTGTGATACTTGCCTTAGGCCAATCCCCACCCTTCATCTAACCAACCTCATGGAGTTGTCATGACGATTCTGATTACTGAAAGATTAATTTCATACATTCTGGTTACTGAGACAGTCTTTGGTTCATTGACTGTCATGTCACCAAATGCAACCTGTGAATCGGATGGTCATATATGGCCAACATCATTTATTTTTGTCCATGTGACTCCATATGGAGAGAAATGGCATGTGATATGAACTAATCCAGGGGTAAAAAGGTAAAGGTACCCCTGCCCGTACGGGCCAGTCGTGTCCGACTCTAGGGTTGCGTGCTCATCTCGCTCTAGAGGCCGTGAGCCAGCGCCATCTGAAGACACTTCCGGGTCACGTGGCCAGCGTGACGAAGCTGCAGCTGGCGAGCCAGCACCAGCGCAGCACACGGAAATGCTGTTTACCTTCCCGCTATAAAGCGGTACCTATTTATCTACTTGCACTTGGACGTGCTTTCGAACTGCTAGGTGGGCAGGAGCTGGGACCGAACGACGGGAGCTCACCCCGCCGCAGGGATTTGAACCGCCGACCATACGATTGGCAAGTCCTAGGCACTGAGGTTTTACCCACAGTGCCACCCGAGTCCCAGGGGTAGAGAACCGCATAACAGCGGTGGGAAGAGCCAGATGCAAAAGTGGACATAACAATGGATGTAACTTTTACCTTTGCACAGTAGGTTACATTACAGCTACACGAAAGCAGCCAGAGGTTTCCATGCAGACTCCCATCTTTCTTACAGAAAAGCAAGAGTTCAAGGACATGTTTCAGACAGGCAAACACACACACACACACACACACTAAAAGGTGGTGTGGTTGTTATTGTTTTTGCTGACTACTATGTTATGTATTTTTGTGTTTTTATATTGTAAACTACCCTGTGATTCTTGGAAGAAGGGCAGGATAGAAATTTAAGCAAGCAAGCAAACAAAAAACATGACCTGGGAAACCTCCCAGAGGTCATACAGCGAGGTCTGGAGGGGCCCGAGTTTCCTCATCCCTGGACTAGCCCCTTGTGGCAACTCAGCAACAATGTCCTTATTATCCAAGATGTCACAGTATCCTTAAATCAGATTAAGGAAATTAGACATGAGGAAATTACAGCCAATTTATTTTGTGACCAAAATATTTTTAAAAAATCACTTGAGATTCTGATATGTTGTAAAGCTCTGAGCAGGAATATTCTCTCTTCTGAAGCTGAATTTTAATTAAGTGTTTTCTCCTTAATAAAAATATCCAAGCAAATGTTTACTCCCCTGTGCTCACTGCCAAGGGAAATTACACAACAGATTTCCTTACTTGCGTTGGCAGTGAGCAGTGAAGTAACCAAGTTTGCTGATAATATCAATCTGTTTGGGGTGTTTAAAACAAAAAGAGATTGTGAGGAGCTCCAAAAGGATATCTCCAACCTGGGTGAATTGTAATTAGAATGGCAGGTGTGATTCAGCATAAGCAATTGTCAAGTGTTGTTCACAGGGACAAAAAATCCCAACTTCACATATATACATTTGGGGTCCAAACGGGAAGTGACTGAGCAGGAAAGAGATCTAGGAGTTGTAGCAGCTAGCCTGATTGAATTCTTCATGGTAGATGCCACCCACTGTGCACCGCAATGTGTCTGGCATTCTCTTGTCGCTCTGCTCTGTTAGCTAGCAGCACTAAGTAACAGAGATTTCAGCCGTGGGGGGTTCTGCCCTTGTTTTGCTATTCCAAAATGATTTGCCTTGTAAAACATCATCATCCCACTGCTCTCCCAAAAAGGAATGATAGACATGCTCAGCTACCCTTAGTGGTAGCTGTTTGTTAACTCATGCAATTATTCTTGGAACAAAGACACACTGCCAAGCAATTTTAGGGCTTGCCAATATGGAGTGCTTATTTTAACTGGCAGTTTTCAGCTTTATGACAACAAGATACATTTCAGTCTGAGGAACTCATTAATAATGCTTCAATCCACAGGAGTCGTGTTTCTTATTTGGACTTGCTCAGCGCTGGTTGGTTTCTTTTCTTTGCGTGCCCTCTCTGAACTTGCCGTGCGCGAGATCCGAACCCCAGGGTTTGCAGTGACTCTGTGATATACTTTTGGCTGGGGGAGACACACAGCACCACCAGCAACTTCGCATCGCCCCCTAAGAAGAACAAACAAGACATACATATTCACAGATTTTTTTTCCAATAAATTGCAAAGTGAATCTTGTCCATTTCACAAGGCAAAGCATTTATTTAGGGTAGGGTTGGAAGGGCTAAATAAACACTAATTTTAAGTAAGCTGCTGTGCAAGGCCATAATCTAACTCTGGCATGATTATCTATGTGAATCCCAATGTAAGAAGTGCACCCACCCTTTTATTTTTACATGTTTCTATTGGGAAGATGACTGAAATGGCTAGCAGGCCAGTCACAATGGCATGCACAGAAAACGACTGCCTTTGAGGAAGAAGATTCCAGGGGCAGAACAATATCGGCGTATGCAGAAACAAAGGCAGCTCTTTCATATCTATATGACTGTATTTGTAGGTGTCTGCATCTGCAGGGGAGTGTTGGCAGAAGAGATAGTAAGGTTTGTGAGAAAATTGTACACCTCCGAATCAGAGTGCAAAGATTAAATTCCGGGGGCCTCGTAATGGAAGCCGTAGACCTAGTGGAAATTGCTGGGTTGTGTCTTTTAATAAGGCTGGTCCCACAAATGGTGTGGGCAGGGGAAATAGCAGCTTAAGTATAAAGTTAAATTAAAAACTTTGCTGGATTTAAGGAACATGCCAAAGGCGACACTCTTTCAAAAGTTTGAGTGAACCCAGGTTTCCTGATAATCACATTTTAAATTTGAGAGGACGCTTTTCATTGTGTTCTCACCTCATGAAATTATAAATTTATTCATAATTTCACATTTTCCAGGAGCAGGATAGAAAAAACATATATGCCTAGTAATGAAAGGTTCATTCACACATGCACATCTCAGTTCACACAAACACTGTTTTGGGCTTGTTTCATCCTGAGTATTTCAGTCCTTTTCTCAGTTCAACTTCTTTTGCCTAATTAAGGGCTTGTGCACAAGATAAAGAACCAGCCAAATAGATAGAATATGCATATGCTAATTTTTGGCATGTGTGGAAAGGCTTCCATGTCTTTAGTAGGTACCAAACAGGTAAACCTTCAACAGGTGCAGCTTTTCTCCTCATTGCAATGCAATGGTGGACAAATCTTTACCTATTGAATGCATGCTTGCTGCATAGCTGCCAAAGTTGAAGAGTCATGCTTAAGCAGGGGGGAAAGCACACCCCAAAGCCAGAAGATTTCTGACGCAGCATCCTGTTTTATCACCATCTGGGTTTCTTGAATTTAAGATCAAGGTGAGAAATATCTCACACAGATGAATTTCAAACTGAATGGAAGAAAGGCTGAATGCAGGCCAGCTCTCCTCACCTATGGAATCCTGAAGTAAGTGGGTAAGTTTGCTGTTTCGATATGGCACATGAGAGCGCTGTTCTGATATGGCTCCAAGCACATCGGCCAAAGCAGACAAGCTGCGGTTAATGAAGGATGTCTCTCTCAGGACTGACCCGGTCACACCAGACATGCCTAGTGCACAGGAAAAGAAAACAGAGCAGTGAGAACGAGCACAACTCCATGCTTCCAGACACCTGGATATACAGTACACTTCTCATACAGAGGTTCTCATTACTTTTTGAAGTGTTTCTACCAGGTCAACTTCATTTTATTTTAATACATTCACAAGGGGTGAAAGTTGGCACTGACGACATGGGACAAACCCACTTAAAATAAAACAAAACCTGTTTCAGCTGAATTGACCTTTCCCTCCCACAACCTACAGGGATACCTGACGACCATTTTTCCTGAGGGGAGGAATTACAGATATGGAAAGAAAAGACAGACAAGCTTAGAGAGCCACTCACCATCTAGCTCAGACTTCCTCAAACTCGGCCCTCCAGATGTTTTGAGACTACAATTCCCAACATCCCTGACCACTGGTCCTGCTAGCTAGGGATCATGGGAGTTGTAGGCCAAAAACAACTGGAGGGACGAGTTTGAGGAAGCCTAATCTAGCTTATAGTGTTTCTGCCGAGGTCTTTCCCTCCCCTACTGAAGGAGATCTAGCTTTCAAAAAATACACTACAAATCAATAAACTTTCCCTTCTTTTTTTTAAAAAAGGTTTTGTAGTCATTGCATTTTTTTGCTGTTTTATTCTGAAATTTTAATTAATATTTTTAAACGCTTTTTTATAAGTCGCCTTATGATGTTCACCTGAAAAGTGTCATGTATACATCTTAAATAAATAATAAACCAATGTTGACTCTGATAAGACATATATACCAGTCTCAAAAGTTGTTGATGATGACCCATTAAAATTAAATACAGTGGTACCTCGGGTTACAGATGCTTCAGGTTACATACGCTTCAGCTTACAGACTCCACTAACCCAGAAATAGTACCTTGGGTTAAGAACTTTGCTTCAGGATGAGAACAGAAATCGTGCTCCGGCGGCATGGCAGCAGCAGGAGGCCCCATTAGCTAAAGTGGTGCTTCAGGTTAAGAACAGTTTCAGGTTAAGAACGGACCTCCAGAATGAATTAAGTTCTTAACCTGAGGTACCACTGTAGTCTAAATGGAAAAGCTGATGTGATTTTATCCAAGCAAAAAAATGTCTTCCAGAAATTGAGCAGAGTTTAGGCTACAATTCTAAACCCATTTACTTGGGAATGAGTCCCACTGAACACAGATGGATTTAATTTTGAATAAACATTCTTAGGATTGTGGTGTTAACCTATTTATTATGTAAAATATTAGCGGAGACAAATTGGCGATAATCACTGCAGTTCATTAATGATGCCGAGTGGTGCCACCTGGAGATCTGGTCTTTCAAAAGAACAGACCAACAAATGGTTGCCCTCAAGAAGCAGTGGAAACATCACAGGATTGCTCAACTGTATATTGGCTAAAAGGGGGGGAAGTAGAAGAAAGCTTTAACACCCACAACAAATAATATGTGTATCTTTTAATAGTTGTGTTTTTTAAAAAAATGTGACCAGTGAAAAGAACTCTTGGCAGCAACGTAAAGAGCTCTTTCATAACATAGGTTCAGTTTTCAAAACATTATTTCTGGAATGTTGCATTTGACTGAGAGGCTTTTCTTGGTAAGGAAGCTTGTCCTTTAGGAAATAAATAATCAGGTTTCTGAAAGGACTGCGTTTGAAGAGGAAGAAAGCATGGGGGGAGGGGGGAGGGAGCCAAAGAAAACAGGAAATTGCTTACAGGATGCATCAACATCCCTCCTGGTATTGTTTTTCATAAGGAGGCTGAAGAAGCCACACTGAATTATGTTGATCTGGACAAATATTTGATGTATTTAAATCATTTGTGAGCTTTAAATTGCAGGCATTCCTAGGTGGTTTAGCACCAGAAAGGTAATACCTATTAAGCAGCAGCCTGAACAAACTTTGTGCTGAACTGTGACTGTGCATCAAGGTAGGAGAGGAACTGGGGAATTCAGGCCCCTCTTAACAGCTATGTCACCGAGTGCCCCCTTTGCTTATTGTAATGGTATGGGGTTGCTCGTGCGTAAGTTGCCGCCTCTCCTGGCTATGTTGCCTTGTTAAACCTTTCTGTCTGGACAGCCCTTCAATTCGTGGCTGCCTCAGTCGCTAGCAGAATCCATCAGTGGGCGTTTCTTAAACCTTTTCCAACATAAAAGTTGTTTGACACCCAGTCTCCTCCTACTTTCTCTGCGCGGAAGTCTTCTGTGCAGGGAGGGCGTGGGTAGCGGAGGACCAGTGCTCTCCCGCTGGTGTCCGGTGAAGAGTCTGGGAGCCCTCTCGCCGATTCCCCCATCTGCCCCTCCTTATTCCTGGTGTTGCACTGAATTGCTTCCCCATCTGCTGAACTGCCTCTCTCCCTGCTGGGCCCTTCTCCAGCATCATCAGAGAGCCTTCCCTCCACCTCTAGCTCCGATGTCAGTTCCCTGACACTTATGCTCCAAGATCAGTGACGGTCAGGAGCTGGGCCTTAAATTTAGGCAAAACAACAGTATAATGCAATACCGATCAAAAATTAAAATTAATGGCTACTCTTTTTTAAACAACAACAACAACAACTGCTAAGGCCTTTTGGCACTAGAAAGTTTTTGAAAGATGCCTGAAAGTCAAAAGTGAGGATGCCTGCAGCATCTCTATTCAAAGAGTATATGGCGTGCATTATTGCTAATAGACAAAGTAAATGCCACTTTGCTCCAAAACTACCCAAGAAAGCTCATTGTATTGCAGGGGTTGGGAACTGAATCTGACTGTGGGCCAGATACTTAGCTGCCCCGAAGATCAAATCTGACAGGTGTGTGGTTGCACCCATCACCTGATGCCATAATGATATCAGGTGACTGACACCTGTCAGTTGAACAGTGCTAAGAGCAACATCTTCTGAATATGCGATTTCAGTGCCAATTAGCTTATTGGTGTTGGGGGCAAAGCTTCAAAGATGCCTTGAAGGCCATGGAGAGGGGAGAATCCATCTTAAAAATGGATTATTTCCTCCTCCATTGTTTGAATACAAAACACTTCCTCTAGAGACAGAAACTGCTACAAATTTTCATGCAATACGTCACTGGTATTTGGTAAATTACTAACTAAATACTCAAGTTAGGAGGGGTGGGGAGCACTCAAGGAATATTTGGTACTAGGGCCTCTACCCAGACCAGCTTTTAAAGATCAGGAAAGAGGGCATCAGTGAATTCTAGGAAAAATGAAAGAGGGGGAGTTAAAAGGCAAATGGATGACTCTGGTGTGATATGGGATGCACCAAAACACAACGGTAATTTAGCAAAAGATCAGAAAGATTGTAACTAAATAAAACCTTGAAGGTATGTCAAAGTTTTGGAGCCCTGCTTGGGAGCTCTGTAGCTGTTATTTGCAGGCTAAGCACTTTATGGATCTCAAGTAACCAGTCCACACTCAACAGGCACACGGACCTGACAGTAACAGTTTAACCAGATCCATTTCAGATGTGGTCCTTGGAGCGGAATATGTTGTCCACAGCTTCTACATGAACTAGCTAAATTTACTCAATACAAACCGATCCCAAGGTAGGTTTCCACCTTCACAAGTGTGGAAATGTTTTGTCCCAAAGGCTACTTTACCAGCACATTCACTGCCAGCCAAATCCACCAGCTGCAGTTTCGTTCTCATTCGCTTAAGTTTTTCTGTAGATTCATTGAAAAACAGCGTCGGAGAAGAAGCTCTAGAAGGAAGGGAGGGCTTGTCATCTTTCACTGAGCAAGGAGAAGTGAGGAAATGTTTTCTACACATCTTTGGACTCAAACGGTCACCTGCCCAAGGAGTTGCTGGGTGAAGGAAAGAAAAATAATGAGAAAAGTTTATTTCTGACCCCACAGAAGCAAAGTAAGACATGCAGGAGGGGTGGGGAATCTGTTCAGTTCAGTTTCTGGGTTAGGACTAAGGGTGGATCCAGTAATTATAACAGTTTATAATATTATTTTATTATAGTTCAATTTTTGTGATGGAATTCTATAGAAATGAGCTGTCTAGGCCTTTGACTAGAAGAGGAGGGGTATAAATTTAACAAACCTAACTTAAAACTGGAAAAGCAGGAGTCATGAGATGTACACTATACAATGTAGTGTATAGCTAGGAAGGAGCACCCACATGTTAGTCCCAGAATTTCTCCTAACCAGTGGCTCTCAGGTTTTTCTGCAGCTTGAATTTAAATAATAGGAAATGGTTGCAGCGAGTTTCAGATTGGAATTCAATGTCAGCATTAAAGCAGACTAGCCAATTACATTTCTGATCTGGTTGAAAGGCTAGATATGAAGTAAAAGCAAAGCAAATACTTTGTTTGGTAGTGGCTTCCATGACAATCCTAGAGGTATTCTAGAAACAGGCAACTTACCCAAGTTATCCTCTGAGTCAGCCTTTGTGGTTACTGTCAAGGTTATCACAAGATGAGAACGCGAGGAATGAGCGTGCACAAGTGTCGGGTGTTTGACTCTCAGTTGTAAGCCCTTATTAACTAGTTCCAAAAACTCCACAGCATCTTCAACAGGCCTTACAAAACAAAACATTTTTGCAGGATTTTTAAAAATGCTGCAATTTAAGCATGAGTACAGATCTGCTCACTTCCCCAGGAGTCTCATATTGTCCTAAATCTTGTTTCCATTTCCCCACCACCACCTAAAGCATCTGTACTAAAACTGCATATTTTATATGGCGCATTTGTAAAACAACTAAGTTATTAAGATACAGGGGTCAATTTTATACCTTGATGCTTTGATTTAAATTGTAACAATCATGGTCAATGATAAACAACATCTGGGTAACTATGGATAACATTTTGACAGTTTTAGGTGTCAATCTTGAATACTTTCATTGTCCATCAAGACACTATAGTTTTGTACAACTGTGATTTAGATGAATAACAGTGGAACCATCTTTTGCAACACAAATTCTGAGGACATTCCTGCAAGAGTATTCATTTAATTTAACCAAGAACAGGATGAGGAAATCCAGATCTGAGAAGCTCAAAAGGAAGAACATGCCACACAAAAAAACCATTTCTGAATCTAAGATGAATGAATGTATGCATTCAAAAGAAATCTCAGGATTTCTGTTCGTCCTGGGAACCTGGCACAGAGAGAGATTAAAGGTGAAACAGACGTCGCTAAACATGCAAAAACAATTGCAGTGCGCGGTTCATCTTGTTTCCTCCCTGCTTTGAATTATGCACAGCACCTCCAACTGAAATGCAGGGTTTAACAGGAATTGTGAAACAACCTAATTATATGGAGACTGTCGGCTGTTAAAAAAATATAATATTGTATGATGTGTTGCCAGCTACAAACTAGCATCTCAGTCTGGAGAGAGCATCACTCTTCTGTCATGGATGCCAACCCAAATAAAACTGGTCAGATTTTTCTCATCACTTTTTCTGACTTCGCCTTAGTTAGATTTGTTTCCTAAACTAATTTTTCCTAAGTACTAGTTACAGGTAGGTAGTCGTGTTGGTCTGCCGTAGTCGAAACAAAATGAAATAATTCCTTCCAGTAGCACCTTAGAGACCAACTAAGTTTGCTATTGGCATGAGCTTTCATATGCATGGTATCTGAAGAAGTGTACATGCACATGAAAGCTTAAACAGCCTCGGTCCAGTATACTTGAAGGAGCGTCTCCACCCCCATCGTTATGCCCGGACGCTGAGGTCCAGCGCCGAGGGCCTTCTGGCGGTTCCCTCATTGCGAGAAGCAAAGCTACAGGGAACCAGGCAGAGGGCCTTCTCGGTAGTGGCGCCCGCCCTGTGGAACGCCCTTCCAGCAGATGTCAAAGCGATAAACAGCTACCTGACATTCAGAAGACATCTTAAGGCAGCTCAGGAAGTTCAGGAAGTTTTTAATGTGTGATATTTTACTGTATTTTTGGTTTCTATGGAAGCCGCCCAGAGTGGCTGGGGAGGCCCAGCCAGATGGGCGGGGTATAAATAATAAATTATTATTATTATCATTATTATTATTATACGAATAACAAACTTAGTTGGTCTCTAAGGTGCTACTGGAAGGAATTATTTTATTTTTTCCCCTATGTAGTGAGACTTAGCTATTCATATGTCCCAAATATCATCTGAATACCTAATAATACCCAAGAAGGAAGAAATGTCATTGAGAAACCGACAGGACACCGACTTCCGGCGAACCGCAGCCACAGGAAAGGAGCGCGAGGCTGCCCTCCGGGGGGGTCTCGAACAACGCGGGGGTCTAGAGGTGTCACGAAGGCTCCGTGGACCTCGAAACCCCAAGAGGATTATCTTGGGGGACAGGTACCTGGCGGTGCTGCCGGTGCTCTCCTGTTTTTCGGACATTTTAAATCAAGTTTGAGAACAGGATCGGAGCTGCAGCATGAAAGGGAAGCAACAGACCTCGCGTTGTGAAGCCTCAGGCTCCGAGTGAAAGCGGCAAGCCTCCAACAACAATTAAGAAGCTGGGTTACAACCAAAACAATAACAGACTGAATTTAAGTTATAGAAACCAGCGGAACAAAGATACTATGATATGAAAGAAGAAGGAATTTGCTTTTGCGGTAAGAGTAATGGGCGTGTAACGGAAGACTGGGAGAGGAGAGGGAGAGAGACTGTAACTGCCGAGTGGGCGTGGCGGAGAGACCTCAGATACAAAGTGTAAAATTCTGAGGCAGTGAACTGATTGAAAATAGCTGAATATTTGAAAAGCGGATAGAAACATTTCTGCTCTACCCTGGTCGGAGCGTGCTACGCCAGCGACTGAAAGGGATGGTAATTTTTCACCCAGTCTAGGATATTTAAGTGAGACTTTATGCTGAGTTACGGCATCCTGTATATACCTCCCCCTGTATAATGGATTCAAGCTGAAACTGTTTCTCTTTATTATTTGGTGCTTAATTGACTGAAAGCTGAGTTTGCTATTGAGAGGAGCGGACACGACGAGAGGCTGGGGAGTAGAAAGTGAACTGTAAGAGGAGAAATTTGGAAAACAGTGGAACCTCCCGACGCCATTGTGTGATCCACTTCTCGCTTTCCTCTTAAAGTGGTACACAGCTGTAAATCATCCAGGAGAAGATAATTTGGGCGCCTTAAATATTTAACCTACCACTACAGAAAACGGGGAGTAAACGGCTAAGCCGAAATAAAAGGAAAGAAAGAAGATTTAAACACAGTACCTCGGCAAGACTTTACGATCCTGCTAGATCCTGCTAGATCCTGCTGCCTCTCCGTGAAAATCTTTTGGTTCACTTTTGACCCCCCCCCCGGGTTTTGAAACCCGCCCCGCACATCATCCCTATTTCCTGGAAAGTATTGAGCCGGATTTACCCCCACTTCCTTTTCTCCCATACGTGTCTTGATGTTTCCTATTTTATTTATCTTCTAGGACCTAAATTCTGAGAACTTTCTCTCCTTCTCATTTGCTTTTTGTGACTGTAAACGACTGTAAACGACTGTAAACGATCTACCAAACTGACCCCCTAGCTGTGAGTGGAAAGAGACTGCATACTGAAGATTTAAAAGGGTGAATGCAAGTAAAGCGCCACCGTGTGGGGCCAGAAAGGTACTATACTGGGAAAACAAAGAAATTTCCTAAACTACAGTTGAGCGACCCCTAGGGGTGGGAAAGAACTTTTTCTTCTTTTGCCTCTTTTTTTTTTCTTTTAATCTCTCTTTTCTTCTTTCTTTTTCTCTTTTTTTCTTCCTTTTTTTTCTTCTTTTTTTATTTTTTTTTAGTTAATTAAGACTAATAGAAATACAAAATGAAGAAGGGGGTGGGAACGCCTGCTGAAAGGAGACCATCCAGACAAGAAAATGGGAAAGAGGGGAAAGAAATTAAGGACTATGATAATTTGATGGCTGAAATAAGGAAAGAGTTTAAACATAACGAACAATATATCGAGAAAAATTACTGGAAGTACAAGATTCATTGAATAAGAGATTAGAAGGGGTGGTGGGAGAGTTAACAGGAAAAGTAAAAGATTTATCTCTAAGATCCAAAGTACTTGAAGACTCAATGAAAAGGGTTCAAAAAGATACTAAAGAAAATAAGAAAGATATGGATAGGATTAAGACAGAGGTGAAGGAGATAAATAAAATACAGGAAGAGTTACTGGATAGTGTGGCGATGACTCAAATGAGACAGAAACAATCAAACCTGAAATTTAGGGGGATCCCTGAGGAACCTAATGAAAACATACGATCTAAACTGGTTAGAGAATTGGCAGTTTGGTTAGATATGAAGGAAGAGGACATAGGATACTCAGTTGCAAATATTTTTCGGATAAAAACAAAATCAGCCAAAGCCAGAGGGAAGAAACTGCCAGGAGATGTCCTGGTCATGTTTAACTCTCTGGATATGAGAAATGAAATACTAAAGTTAAACTATAATCAAAAATTATGTATTGAGGGAAAGCCAATTATTATATTTAAAGAGATTCCTTCGAGATTTCTTCGTAAGAGAGATGTTTATAAAAAACTAACTAACCAATTGAAGAAGATAGGGATCCAATATAGATGGGAGTTCCCGGAAGGGATTTCATTCTATTTCAAGGAAAAAGATTCAAACTATCCAGCTCTCTGGAATTGGATAAATTTGCAAGAAGATATGAGAAGGAACTGGGAAGGTTGGGAGGGGGGGATCCAGAAGGGGCGCAGATGGGGGAAGAGAGGGGTGGAGGTGAAGAAAGTGGAGAGGGAGAAGAGGAGGAAAACCTAGACGAAGAAAAAGAAGAGGAAGAGACAGATAACAAGGAGCAGTAGACCTAACCTAGATTTGACCACTTACTGATTGTACATTAAAAATGACCTTAAAAATAACCTCATGGAATGTGAACGGGCTCAATAATAAAAATAAAAGAAACCAAATTGCTCATGTATTGCTTAAAAAGAACCTTGACATAATCTGTCTGCAAGAAACCCATGTAACAAAAAAACATAAAAGAATTTTAAGTAATAAGAGATTGGGGTTGGACTTTGTAGCATCGGATAATGTCAAGAAAAGAGGAGTGGTACTATATATAAAAGAAAAATTTGATCCAAAATTAATACATAAAGACGAAGAGGGGAGAACGATAGCAGTACAGATCACCCACCAAGGAGAAAAGATAATCGTGGTAGGGATATATGCACCCAATGACAAAAAATCAGCATTTTATTCTGAACTAGGTAACAAATTGTTAGAATGGATGGACCAACAAATGATATTGATGGGGGACTTTAATGGAGTGGTTCTCCCAAATTTGGATAGATCAATAAGAAAACAGGAAATGAGGGAGGGCAAATTACCGAAAGCCTTCTTCGAATTAGTGGAAAATTTGGGATTAATTGACGCTTGGAGATTTAAAAACCCCACGATAAAACAATTCACTTTTTTTTCAAACCCAAATCAAAGCTGGGGGGAATAGATCATATTTGGGTCTCGAAGGAATTGACGCAAAGAGTAATTAAGACTGAAATCCTCCCACAAACTTTATCTGATCATAATCCAGTATATATGGAGGTAAAAGGAAAAGATTTCAGAACATTAAGATGGAGAATGAACGAAAACCTATTTAATGATCAAAAGATAGCAAATAAAGCAAAAGAGACAATTGAGGAATATTTTAAGTGGAATTTGAATAAAGAAACATCTCTAGAAACGGTGTGGGATGCCGGGAAGGCTGTCATGAGGGGTTTTCTTATTCAGAAAAATAGCATCTCAAAAAGATAAAAGAGAAAAGGAAAGAAGAAATCTTACTACACCTTATGGAGAATGAAAGACAATTAACCATCAAACCAGGAGATGAAATATTAAAACAAAACATAAGGATGCTACAAGCTCAATTTTCTATGATAGTGAACCAGGAGATTGAATGGAGGATCAAAATGATGAAACAAAAGAACTTTGAATCAGCAAATAAGATAGGAAAATACCTGGCATGGCAATTAAGAGAGAGGAAAAAACAAAACATGATATGTACGATAAGGGATGGAGAAAGGATAGTGGAGGACCCAAAAGAGATAAAGAAGATATTTCAGAAATACTATAAGGAACTATATAAAAGAGAAAGAGAGATAGATAATGAGATAGAAAATTACTTGAAAAAATACCAATTGCAACAGATCACGACTGAAGAAAGAGAATATCTAAACCAGACAATTACAGAGGAAGAAATTAGGAAAGCAATAAAAAAAATGAGAATAGGAAAAGCGCCGGGGCCAGATGGTATCTCGGCTAAATATTATAAAATATTAAGTGACCAAATTTCCCCAGTGCTATGTGAAGTCATGAACAATGTATTAAAAGAAGGGAGAATTCCAAACACCTGGAAAGAAGCGTATATTACCTTAATCCCTAAAAAGACACAGATGGTTTAGAGGTAAAAATTATAGACCTATTTCGTTACTAAATAACGACTATAAATTATTCGCAGACGTACTGGCAGAAAGGTTAAAAAAGTCTTAAATAAAAGAATCCATAAAGACCAAACGGGTTTCCTCCCGGGAGACAACTGAAAGACAACGTAAGAAATGCGATTGACATCATTGAGTATTTGGATACTAGAATAGACAAACAGGCGGCGCTGATCTTCATTGACGCCGAGAAGGCATTTGACAACGTCTCCTGGCGTTTCATGAAGGAAAATTTAAAAATGATGGGAATTGGTGAAGGATTTAGAAAAGGTATTGACGCAATTTATCAAGAGCAAAATGCCAAACTTATAATAAATAACAATATATCGGAGGCCTTTGATATTGCCAAAGGGACTAGGCAAGGTTGTCCTTTATCCCCTTTGTTATTTATAACAGTGTTGGAAGTGTTTAATAAAAGGTTAAGGGAAACACCGGAAGTTAAAGGAATTAAGGTAGGAAGTAAGCCTTCAATCCTTCAATTTCTTTATTCGACCGATAGTCAGAATTAGAACATTACACAATAATTATAAACTATAACATCATAAGTTACATAAGGTACATAAGTAAGGTAGAGCCACGGTACTAGATCTCTCACAGATAACCCACGTCAAAGCATTCAATTATACGTTTCCGACACTTGAGTGCCAGGAAAAGAAATTTAGCCACTGACAAGGTTGTTTTCCCAGAAGACTTATTTAGCAGATATGCTGTCTGCTTTCCTCTTTGTCGGGAACTGAGCTGGGGTAAGTATGGAGTTATAAGATACTGTCTTAAATCGTTGTAGAAGGGACAGCTCAATAAAATGTGCTCTGTGGATTCTACCTCACCCAATGCACAGTGGCATAATCTCTGGTCATATGGGACTCCTCCATATCTTCCCTTCAGGACCGCCGAGTCAAGAACATTCAGCCTAGCCGCAGTAAATAGTCTGCGGTATTCCACGTAGTGGATATCCGCCAGGTAGCGAGCTGGGGCAGCCCGATACAACTGCTCCCCCAGAAACAACCCAGGTTTCACACGGGCTATGTCCTCCTGTCTGGCAATATCCCTTAATCTTTGCGCGATCACCGCCTTTGCGTGGCTATACGTCATGGACTCTATATAAAGGGAGGACAACCCACACTTCTGCACTTCCTCCACTATCTCCCCTTCCCATGGAGATTTAAAGTTATCCCTCAGAATCAAGGGGGCCAAACCCACCGGTCTGAAACAGAGCTTGAGCCATAGCCATAACTTCGCTTTCAGGGCCACATACCTAAAGGCTTGACAACCGGTTTCCAGCCTCATGATCGCACCTGCCACAGAGGGGGATCCTGAGTATGGCCCTGAGGAATTGGGTTTGGATAGATTCCAATTTTTCAAAATCCCTACGTGAGCCCAAGGCAATGCCCACCAGCAGAAGAGGGAGGACTTTCATTTTAAAGAGACGTAAGGCAACATTGACAGTTTGTGCCTGTTTCTTGGAGTACAGGGTTCTAATCATCAGGGCTGCTTTGGATGCGTTCGAGGCTATGTATTCTCTGTGCGCCAGGAAGGACCTATTTGATCTTACAACCTGACCCAGGTACTTGAAGCAACTGACCTGCTCTAAAGGAATACCATTAATTGACCATAAATTAGGTTTCGGTCGAGCAGCAAAGACCATTATTTTGGTCTTGGCATAATTTAATTGGAGCTCGTGTTGGGTCTCATATTCATGAAGAGCTCGAAGCATCCTCCTTAATCCGATGGGGAGGTAGCTAATAGGGCGGCATCGTCCGCATACAGTAGGACATTCAAGGCTCGTCCTGCCAGTTTTGGTGGATGGAAATCAGCATTTGCCATATGCACCACTAGCGAATTTATATAGAAGTTAAACAGAGCAGGGGCAAGCAAACAGCCCTGTCTTACCCCCCTAGTGGTGGCAACCGGGTTGGAGACTAGCCCCTTACTATCTATCCTAATCCTCAAGAGGGTATTTGTATGCAAATTAATAATCAGCAAGAGAAGGCGGCGGTCGATAGATGTCGCTGCCAATTTTGTCCATAGCTGGTTCCTGGGAATTAGATCAAAGGCCTGCTTAAAGTCTATAAAGGCGACGTGGAGGGCTTTTAGGCCATTGCCAGCGTACTTGGTGGCCAAGTGATTTAGGATTAAGATTTGGTCTGTTGTTGATCTTCCGGGCGGAAACCCGCCTGTTCCTCTGCGATGATATTGTTGCTTTCCATCCAGGTCGTTAATTTGTTAAGTAGAAATCTTGAATAGATCTTCCCGATAACATTTAGCAGGCTAATTGGTCTAAAATTGGCCGGGTCTGTGCGCGGCCCTTTCTTGTGAATTAACACAATCAGTGCAGAGTTCCAGCTTGGAGGAAATTGTGCTGTTTTGTTTATATAAGTAAAAAGAGCTGCTAGGGGTGGACACCACCAATCCTTATTGGCTTTAATAACATCTATGGAAATAAGATCGTCTCCGGGTGCCTTGCCCGCCTCAAATTGGCCTATAAGTGTTTCCACTTCAGAGCAGGTAACAAGATCCCACTCTGGCAAGGGGGCCAAATCTAACCTTCCTCCGCTAGCTGCGTGAGCTGCATATAAAACGGAGAAGAAGCTTTCCCAGGTGTCAGCTGAAATTTGGGGTTCTATCCTTGACAACGGTCTACCCAGGTATCTGGAAATTTGGTGCCAAAAGGAGGAGGGATTTCTATTTTCTGCAGCTTTTAGAAGGTTCTTCCAATCATTTCTTTCTGCCGCACGCTTCTTTTCCTTTAATAGTGCTTTATACCTTCTCTTGAGGATCATAAGGTGACTGCTAGGTGCGGAGTCATTTGATGCCCTATATGCCAAGAATTCATTATATAGGTTGTTCTTGAAGTGCCTACATTCCTCATCAAACCACTTTTTATGAGAGAAATGGTTACTATTCATTACCGGGGTCTTAGCCAACGAAGGTTTTAGCAGTTCTACTAAATTGTCATATATTGGCAGTGGCTCAACTGCCTGGATAAGGGAGTCCCTTGTCTCTTGCAGTTGGTCAGACCAAAGGAGTTCATTTATCCGTTGAGCCATATTGTCGGTCCATTTTAAGGCAGTGGGCCTCATCTGAAGCTGGTTATTTGTAATAGGCACGCAGGAGTAGGTAGCCAATTCTCCATCCAGGGTCAGAGAAAGTTCTAATGGAAAATGGTCACTTTCCAGCCTCGTTACCACCCTAAAGTTGGAAATTTTGGGAATTAGGTCTGCTGATGTCCAAATAAAGTCTATGGTAGAGGCTCGGGAGCCTGACCAGAAAGTAAATTCGGCAGGGTAATCAGAACTGAGAGCTCCGTTTAAAAGGTGAAAATTAAGAGCCATCAAAGTTTGTCTACATTTAAAACCTGCATATGTAGCAACACTGTCTTTAAAATTCCTGGGTAAAAGGTCTGAGGTTAAAATGGGTAGTGAGGGATATTTATTATATTTAGCAAATAATGATTTATCAGAGTGAGACAATCGGCCATTGAAATCTCCTGCAACTAGGAAGGTGGCTTCAGGATATTTCTCTAGGAGAGTTTCAAGAGTCTGTTGAATTTCCCTCCATCTTTGGACCACCAGGTTTTTCTTATAGATTGGGTGCAAATAAACATTAATCACCACAAACACTTCCTCCGCTGTTTGTAGCTTAACACCCAGCATGGATGATGACTGGATGTCGATTTGTTCCACCTGCAGGTTTAAGGCCAAAGAAACTAGGGTAGCCAACCCACCTTGTGGTCTGCCAGGAGATAGTAAATTCTGATGTGCATTCAGGTAGAAGCCCTTATACCCTGATAGGGAGAAGCCCTCACAAGCCCAGGTCTCTTGCAGCAAAAGAATATGACTGCCTTTTATGTAGGCAACAAAGGATGGATCCATCAGCTTAGGTTTAATGCCAGCTACATTCCAGGATAAGAAAGTAAGTAATCTCCTGGTCACCCCTTCGAGTCATGCTGGGCCTTGCGGAACCAGCACGGCAGAATCCACCTGGGAATGCATGCGGCGAGGGGGGACAATAGGCTGGAAGAAGGAAGTAATTGTAGCTTGCTTACCAGACAATTTCCGGGCACCACTTACCGCAGCAGCAGCCATGGATTGAGGCTTAATTATTGGAAGCTGCAAAGATGGATTCTGGTGCACAGGAGTATCACTTAACGACAGGTCCATAGACTCTACATTTAAAGTATGCTCTAAGATTGAGGGGGGTGGGCCTTTTGGATCTGCAGATGCTGTAGGGAACATACAGTGTAAGGCAGGTGGAAGGCATCCTTTTCGGTTTGCCTCCAAAAGAGCATCCAGTCTTGCCACAGCTTCCGAATTTGACCAGAGGGTTGTCGAATCTTCCACTGTATCCTGCCCGGACTTAACATCCCGAGGCTGTGCACAGCCAGGTTGCAGATCAAAGGTCGTTAAAGCAGGTACCACTTGGGCTTGTGTAGCCTGATCTACGATTGGTGAAGAATTCATCTTATTTACATGAGCATGATCTTCTGAGTTACGGAGACAGAGTAGCAACTCGTCCAATCTGTCCGTTATCTCTGTTCGCTCCAGTTTTGGCAATTGGGAGAAGGATAGAAGTAACTCACGCTCCGTAGAGTTCTCCAGATGTGTGGCCTTTGTCAGTGGAGGCAGGGGGGCGTCAAACCAGCTGATTAGATCTGCGGCCAGGGGAGTTGGGGTCGTAGCAATTGGCGGACCCTCAGACTTATCTGCTTTCTTTTGAACAAGCAGTTTGGTAAGAGGGAGCAGATCTTGGTATTGGTAAAGACTCTTGTAGCAAGGATTCCATAGTTAATTAGAAGGCTTCTTGAGGACATAATAAGTGCAGGGAGCTTTTTGGTTTTAAAGGAGAGCAGCACTCTCTGCCTCTGAGGTCTGCTGCTAATATGATCAATATGTTTCAGGTCTTTTATGTATTTAAAGATATAGTCCACTGTTCTAGCAACCAGGTCTAAAGTAGTCGAGTGTTCAAATAGTATCTCGTCAATGCAGCTTTCACGGGCTCTAGTGCAAACATTCGGGTGGATGCCAGTATTATTATTGCTTGAAGGTTTAGTAGGCAGATTATCAAAAGGTTCTTTCACACTGGATTCCTCGTCATTCATCTCTGCTAGCAGTGTGAAAGAGTTTGAAACCGGGATATTAAAAATATCCTTTGTACTTTCAGATTCACTAATTTTTGTTTGTTTAGCAAGAGGCAGGCATCTCCATTCCTCTGTGTCGTCTATATCTCTAGAATCTCTGGTACGTTTCCCAGTTCCTCTCCCACAAGCAGGGCTGTATATTTGCTTAGTCATTTCACTCTTCATGCAACCGCCCCAGTTTCAAGGTTAATGGTTGTCTCCCCGATAGAAAAAGGCGTCCTCCTACTTACTAATTTAAAACTAAGACTAAAAACTAAAAACTAAAGTTAAAAGTTAAAGGTTTCTATACTCATTAAAACAATGTTAAAAGATAAATCAGGGAGCTCACACTCACGCTGACTAAGCGCCGTTCGCCATCGGTAGGAAGTAAGGAATTCAAAATAAAAGCATTTGCAGATGACCTGATATTAACATTGGAAGATCCTAAGAACAGTCTACAAGCAGCCTTACAGAAATTAGAAGAATTTGGAAAAGTGGCAGGTTTTAAGCTTAACAGGAATAAGACCAAAATGATAACAAAAAACATAACCAAGGAAGAGATAGCAGAGCTTGAACAAAGGACAGGAATTACGGTTGTTAAGAAGGTAAAATATTTAGGAGTGTGGATCACAGCAAAAAATATAAACTTATATAAAGATAATTATGAGGCTACTTGGAAGGGTGTCAAGAAAGACTTAGAAATCTGGGAGAGATTGAAACTTTCTTTCTTAGGGAGGATCTCGGTTATTAAAATGAATGTCCTGCCCAGAATGTTATTTTTGTTCCAAACTATACCAGTAATGAAAGGACTAAAACAGTGTAAAGATTGGCAAAGGTTCTTAGCGAGATTTATCTGGCAGGGGAAAAGACCACGAATAAAAATGAAAATATTGGTAGACAAAAAAGAAAGAGGGGGTTTTTCTTTACCAGATTTGAGTCTATACTATGAAGCGGCTTGTTTAATGTGGGTGAAAGACTGGATAAAGTTAGAGAATACTGATATCTTGGATTTAGAGGGCTTTGATAACAGGTACGGGTGGCACTCGTACCTGTGGTACGAAAAGGTGAAAGTTCATAGAGGCTTTCTAAATCATATAATCAGAGGATCATTATTTCAAGTATGGGAAAGAAATAAGAACTTGCTGGAAAAGAAAACTCCATGGTGGATCTCACCAATTGATGTCTTAACTGTTAAAAAAAACTAATATGGAAGGGAAAAGAGCCACCTATGAAGAACTTATCAATAAAACTGATCAGGGCATAAAACTCAAGCCCTATGAGGAGGTAAAGAATGTACTTACGGGATGGTTGCAATACCATCAAGTGAATGATCTGTTAAAAGAGGATAAAAAGAAACTGGGATTTGAAGATAAAAAATCTAAATTTAATGTAGAAATTATTGAAGGCAAAAACAAAACATTATCTAGGATGTATGACCTTTTACTGGATTGGTATACAAAAGATGAGGAGGTGAAGGAGGCTATGATAAAATGGGCCATAGACATTGGTTACAACATTGACTTTGTAAAGTGGCAGGAATTGTGGAATGTAAATATGAAATTCACGGCGTGTACGGCATTAAGGGAGAATCTCTGGAAGATGATTTATAGGTGGTATCTCACACCAGTGAAATTGGCTAAGATTTACAAACTGAAGAATAAGAAGTGCTGGAAATGTGGAGAGGAAGATGGTGAGTTCTACCACATGTGGTGGACATGCAGGAAAGTAAAAGGCTTTTGGGAACTGATCTACAACGAGCTTAAAAGGATTTTTAAATATACTTTTCCCAAAAAAGCCTGAAGCTTTCCTGCTAGGAATAGTTGGCAAGGAAATTAAAAAAGAGGATAAAAATCTGTTTCTATATGCCACAACGGCCGCTAGAAATATGTTGGCCCAAAGCTGGAAAACAGAATTAATACCTACTATAGACGACTGGCAGAACAAGATGATAAGTTATGTTGAACTAGCTAGAATAACAGGAAGACTAAGAGACCAGGATGACCAGAAGTTTCATGAAAATTGGAATAAATATCTGACGTATATAAGAGATAAGTATAGAACTTTGAGGACTCTGGCAGGGATAGAATAACTCTAACAGTGTTTGGCAAATATGTAAAGGAGATAAAACATGTAACTTTAGAAATTATCTGATACTTATCAATAAAGTGAAGGGAAGTCCGAGGCTCGGCGGAGCCTATAAATAATTGTGTACTATATATATGATTTTTGTAACAGCTATGTTATATGCAACTTATGTAATCTAGACGGTATATATGTATAATCAATGAAAATTAATAAAAATGTATTAAAAAAAAAAAAAAAAGAGAAACCGACAGGACACCAACATTTAGAAAGAGAAATTCTATGTTTTTAAGACAATTTCATTTTTTCTCAAGGGAAGGAAGACGGGAGGAAGACCCTCCTCTGAGGAAGTCAGCGTCCTATTTTCATTTCTGGAGGAGGAGGTGCCTCTCCCCTCAACTCTCAGACACTTCAGTTTAAGGGTGCTGCAGACAGTTGCCTGCATGCAAAATCAGCAGCTTGAAGACAGCATGAAAAGCATCTGCCACATGGGGTGGGAGACGGCTGCAAGTTTAGTTTCTGAGGAGTTACATTCTGGGTCCACATGGGAGTCAAATGGGACTCAATACCCATTTATTGGTATTACAGATTGCTCAATCTATAAAAGAAAGAACTGGCTCTTATTTCAAAGGCAGCTCCCTTTCACCATGGTGGCAAACGTTCGCTCAGAGGGAAGGTACTCAAAGGCTAAACGCAAAGAAAAGCACCCACCTACTTTGCATAGCCAAAAAAACCAAACAGCACCTTTGGTTCCCACCAGATATCAACATGCTATTTCTATAATCAGGATAGGACAATGTAACCAATATGGTAGCCTATGTGCCAGAAGGTTTCAAGAGCAAATTCCCAGTGTGCAATGCCTCCGAAGGAAAAGCACAACCATTCTTCCTTGGCTATAGATGAAACACTACTCAAAACCCCCATAACTTACTTTCGACTCTTTAGAGTAAGGGTGGCCAATCACCATGGTTCCCTTATTTTGTTTTGATTTGTCTTTCATTTTCCAGCTTTTTTGGTATAAATACTTAATATTATGTGTTTATTAATGTTTTCCCTAAATGCATTGAATTTAAGACACATTTTTTATACATCTAGCAGGATGGTGTATATACATATAGAGAGAGAGTGTGTGTCTTGGACACATAAACGTTTCTATAAAAGGAGCTTTCTCTTCCCTGAAATTTCTAAAAACTGCATAATAAAAAAAGTGCAATAAAAGCAAAGCCTCCCAAACAATGGGAAGAAAAAGGGGATCTTATGCTTGCCAGTTTTCTACCACACGACACATATTCCAGCTTGCAGCAGATTTCTCTCTCGCTAAATCGCAGGACAAGGATGACTCAAGAGTGATACTACAGGCCTCAAGATTTCAAATACAAGCCATGAATTTCTTGGAGAGAAAGCATGGGCAATGGATTGTAGGAGGATCACAGAAGTTGAATACTTTAGTTAGTTGACCTATGGCTGTGTGGAACTGGGGTAGGTCAATTTGGTGAGAAAGATGATAAATAAGACTTTGGGAATCTATTACTTTGGTAAATTAGTTTTATCAAACGGCAACTACCATCTTTCCTCATAATACACAAAATATAGGCTACAGTCACTGTATAGATTATTTTAGTGAATTCTGTAGTCAGTGCTTAGCCGCTGACCATGTTTGGATGACCATATCTTAGCTTATTTAGCTGAGATATGCAAGAGGAGCTTTTGAACTGTTCCCTTTGCCAGGAACCAGATTAGATCAAAAAGCCTCTAATTAACCAGTTTCCTGTTTCATCTTAATTAGGAAATGAAGGTTCCCAGCTTCAGAACAAACTAAAATATTAAGCCACAGCTTGAAGTTGGTATAATAGCCTGCCTTTTTCCAAAGTAGGAAGCCATGCTTTGGTTGATTAGAGGGTTCTTGGTTTAAACATGGCTTAAGTGAAGGGGCTCCATGCATAACCAAAGGGTTGAGCAGATCTCAGTTGAATAAGCCAAAATATGATCATTCAAATCAAGTCAGACCCTTTCAGCCAATAAGAAATAAATGTAAGAGTTATCTCTTGGCAGAGCAAACCAAGCAGGAAAAATGTAACATGTGACCAGGCACTAGAAATTATGGTATTAGTTGGTGACAACAGCTATGCTTTCTCAATATTGTGATAACTTGGTCTGCTCAGCTGTTACCTTGGGGTCCTTTCCAACTCTACAAAGTCTGATTTCCCCATTCTCCTTCCAAATAAATCATGAATTTATTGTTTTAAAATTGGTTTTTATTACACTGAATCCTAAACTTTTTGTCCTTAGGTATAAACATTATGAAGAAAATCCACTGAACCAGAATATTAGACTTCAGAAACGTTCAGATCCCTGATTGCAGAAAGAGCCATTAAAAAAAATTGTCAGTGGTCCCCAATTTTCTGTGGGGTGATCAATTTATGCAGAATACAAAACCAAATGGAGGGAATTATGTCTGCTCAACCCTCCAGCACATTTGGTGTATTTTTAATCAAGGATTTTTGGCAATAATACAGAACCACATAAACAAAGCTTGAGTGGTTTGCTTATGTTAGTGAAACCCACAGACAAAAATACTGTCTTAAATTATCTCTTTTGTGGGTGTAGTATATTATAGCTTATGGAGGAAATAAAAGGTCTGTTGTGTCTGCCTTCTAGGCCTCCCCCCCTCGCCCCCAAAAAGCATAAGAAATGCTTGTGTTGTGTATTGTGACTACAGGAGTTTAAGAAGAGAGGGGGGAAATCACATTTCCACTGGGAATAAAAACAGTTATGGTTTTCTGTGGAATTTTACCATCTGAAACTGTTTTCAAAGCAACAAAACAAAACAAAACCCTGAAACCTTTTCCTGCTTTCAACTATAATGAATTTCCAAGTATAGGCAAAGTTACAATATGTCCCCCTCCTCTCCCCGCCTAGAGAGCAAAGAAGATTGAGACACTCCAAATCCTGAAAAACATTAGCTGGCAAGAGATCCCCAGGTGGGGGAACATTCAGAAAATATGTCTTCACACACACACACACACACACACACACGGTCAGAAATAGTCATATTGCAGTGATGCTAACGAGTAACAAATGAGTATGAAAAGCAAGTTGATCTTAACAATGTTATACAGATTAGCATTTTTTGTCACTGACACAGGCTGCATGACTTCTTGGTCACAGATGCACAAGAGTACTCACTCATGGGTAAGAAGTGGGATATCACTTTTTCCTTCCTTATTTGTGATTATGTCCCTTTTGACACCACTCATTCTTCCATAGCTGTCTTTGGCCAGAAGATCAAAAACTTCATTATTATATACTTCCACAACAGAAACCTCAACCCAACGGCTTCCTAGCGGCTTTTCTGAAAGGAGTCTGAAAAAGGAGTGGGGGGAGCTTTAGTGACTGAAACAAAACCCTGAATAAACGAGGCTTGTGATCTAGGGGACTATTAAAAGCCTGACTTAAGCACTTATCTGAATACCCCAAACTTCCTAACCATGAACATGCATGAGAAACCCAGCCCATTATGCTGTGGCTGCAATATACTGGGACAACTCTGTTGACAATACGCTTCAGTTGCACAGGCTCCACAGTTGCAATATCTGTGCAAAAAGTAGAACTTGAAAAGGAAAAGAGATTTGCTGATGAAATTAGCAATGCCAACAACGACTGCAAGATCTTTAATGTTTACGTTCCCAGCCAGCGGTGGAAGAAGCTGTTTGGGTGCCAGGGGTGGCACGCCCAGGGGTGGGGCAAGCTGCCCCTAGGGGCGGGGTGCACCACAGGGCCTCCAGAGTCTGCATGGCTCCTTCCACTCAGCCACCCTATAGCTGGGGGGGGGGAGGCAGCGGGCGGACCGTTTGGGCAGCGCGGAGCCTGTGCGCACTAAAGCCACCACGTCTCTCTTAGCTGGGGGGGGGGGGAGGCAGCGGGCGGACCGTTTGGGCAGCGCGGAGCCTGTGCGCACTCAAGCCACCACGTCTCTCTTAGGAGAGATGCGTGGCTTGGGCACACTGCAGGCACCACGGTGAGTGCCGCCCGGCATTCTGTCACCCCCCTCAGTGGTGACACCCAGGGCAGACCACACCCACTGCACCCCTTTCCTCCACCCCTGTTCTCAGCCATTTCCAAATGGCATTGGTGGGTCATCAGGCTACGGCAGGCAGTGAAGCAACAGATGACAAGCAAAGTTGCACTGTCCTGTGTACGGGAAATCCATCCTAGGTGCACATGGATGTAAAAGAGGCAAGCCTTACTGCACATGTGCAAGGGATTGAAAACATAGCATATTATGGGCTGTATCCCATGTTAGTCATACTCAGAGTAGATCCACTTAATGGGCATGGCTCACTTAGGTCCATTAATTTCAAAGGGTCTACTCCAATTAGAACTTACTTGGATACAGCCCCGTGTCTCTAAACACCATTTAAAAATTCAAACAACCACTAGATATGTAACACAACCTTTCTGTGCCACAGACTTTACTTGTTTGCCCCTACAACAGACTGCATGGTGGCTTAGAGTTCTTTCAGTCCCTGCCCCCTCTCCATTTCACATATGGGACAACCAGAAGGGAATATTCACGATGAACTTATTACCAAGAATAAACCATTCTTAGGAATCCTGTGAGGATAAATGAGGTTATATTTACACTAACCAATTTTTTGCATGGTATTTTATAGTACCAGTAGCCCATGTAATTTTCTGTAATCTGTCCAGTTAATCTGATTTTTGATACCAATTACCTTCACTTTGATCAGAACATATTGGGTTGGATCCAAACATGCCCTTTTGTAAGTGAAATAGAAGAAGAAGAAGAGTTTGGATTTGATATCCCGCTTTATCACTACTGTATGGCGTCTCAAAGCGGCTAACATTCTCCTTTCCCTTCCTCCCCCACAACAAACACTCTGTGAGGTGAGTGGGGCTGAGAGACTTCAGAGAAGTGTGACTGGCCCAAGGTCACCCAGCAGCTGCATGTGGAGGAGTGGACATGCGAACCCGGTTCCCCAGATTACGAGTCTATCGCTCTTAACCACTACACCACACTGGCTTGAGCAGAAGGGGTTTTTTCAAGGTGTATACTAGTGTAGTTTTATACGGGGTCTGTAAGCAACAAGGTATTGAGCAATCTCTTGCACAAGAGCTCAAGTTGTATGCTTGAGCCAAGTCTGTGCTGTGCAAAGTCTTCTACTAGCTCTTGTGCAATAGTTTACAGCACAGCACAACTACCAAAATTTATTCTGTTGGTGGATCTCTGGATGCAACTCATTATCTTTTCAACATACATTTCAGCCTATTTATGCACAAATGCCGTGATTCACCAGGCCTCAGTGACATAAACTCATTTCCATTTTAACTGCCAGTAATCCTGCATGCTCCTGGCTATATCTGAAGGGGCACGCGGCTTCCTGTGTGCACATCTGGCTTTTTTATTTTTTAAATAAGCCTGCCCCCAAAATTCAAAGAACAGCCTCATAATTGTAAGAGAAGGAAGAACATATGTACAGTAAATGCACAAAGCCCTGACTGAGAACCACAAAGAACAATGAGGAAGGAGGGGAAATATCAGACATTGCAACAGAGATGGGCTTGTGCAGAAATACTCTGAAATAAGAATTGTAATTAATTTTGTACACTGAAAATAGAAAGAATTTGCCGTCAACTGATTTATCTGTGCAGATTGATGATTGGCTTAAATGTCTACTCTGGCATTTTCTAAATGGGCTTTCATAATTATTTAAAATTAAAAGCCACAGGAAATGAAGTCCCACCCTTTTTGTCTTTCCATTCCATGGATTACTCAGAGTACTGAGATCCACCAGTCATTGGGTTGGTGACCACAGGAGAGCAGGAATCCTCCATAATGTTCCTGAAGCTGTGGAACACTCTGTGTGAGAGATGAACCTATTAAGACTGCATTTAGCTTTTTTCTGCTTCTCGTCTCCCCGGCTGCAACTGCTGTACTGCACATTGAGAAACTCTGAATTGAGAGGAAGATACAAATGGACTAAACAGATGAAATAAATAAATATAACACTGTCATCTGCTGTCATCCATACCTGAATACTTCTTCACTAGCTCTAGGAATAATTCCTAAGTCTTGCTCGTCTTCCATGGAGAAAGTGAAATTACTCTCAGACTGTGGACCCAACATTGTGTGTGTTTTCCCACTTCCAGTCTGTCCGTAAGCCATAATGCATACATTGTACCTGCAAAGAAGAAAAGCAAGATTCTCAAAGCCAACAGCTACTATTGATCGAAGCTGGAAACTGTTGAGAAGAAAATTCATATTCCAGTTTTCTAATAACTTCACACAAAATTCACACAACTTGCTAATTCCAAAACACTGCAATATACGCTCTCTCTCCCTCCCTCCACCCCTCCTGGAAATTCCACAGTGGGGAGAAGAAATCAACTTGGAATGGATGGGCAAAATCCTTTTTTTCCTTCCCTTCTATGGAGAAAACAGGAAAATGGAAGCGGGGTGAGGGAAGCAAGGGAGGGGACAAGCAAGGACAGACAATTGCTCCAGAACAGGGCTGTTTCCTTTTGTAACAAGAGTCCTTGGTTTACTTTTGATGGAGGCAAGTTGTGGAATACAATTTAGCAGCCACAGAACTCTGCAGAATCATCTGGAAGGATGCTTTCAGCTCGTGATATGGGCCAGTTTAAGATGATCAGTGTTGCTGGGAAGGGATACTTTTCAAGAGCTCTCTGCAATCTCAGGAGCATTCTCTGTTCTTTAAATGGAAGCCTAGTAGCAGTACATTTGAAGTTTGATATGCCTAGCAGCCAGGATTTTCACATAGCTAGAATGTGTGTGTGTGTGTGTGTGTGTGTGTGAGAGAGAGAGAGAGAGAGAGAGAGAGAGAGAGAGAGAGAAAGAAAGGCATAACATTACATTGCTCAATCCCTCATAAACTTTTGAAACCAGTTTTTTACCATTTCAAATGAAACAGACATTGTGAGCAAAACATTTATGGCACAGCTAGAACTGTATTGTACAGCTCACAAGATTTAACAGGCCATCCCTGCCCCAATATAAGATTTCACCTTTTCCCATTGTTTTGACCCAGATTGCAAAACTCAGCTGAACATTTAATTTAGATAGTTTTGCCTTTTTAAGTTATCTCCTGGCGGTGTTCCAGATAGCCCCTTAAAATGAGAGATGAGGAGGATGCTGGTATATCGTACAGAGGAAAGAAAGTGTGTGGATCTGGTCCTGGGAAAGGGATAAGAATCTACAAGGTATTGCAGATCCAGCAATACCTCAGGAAGCAGAAACCACATATTCAAGCTCTTTTCTGAAAGTAAAGCTAGGCACTGCCTGAAGAAGAAAAAAATAGTAGGCTCCTTTTATGCGCCGTTGTTCATTTGGACCAGTTTGTGAATCATGACTGCCTATTGAGAGAGAGGGATCCAGAATTTAATCTAAGATGTGGAGAGAACCACTACATCCAATTTCACTATACTTCAAACAGGTTAGTTCCAGGTGACTATCAAAATTTAAAACATCCAGCATCAACCACACAATTCCCCCCACCCCCGCTTACACCTTTAGTGCAGAAATGTTCACCAGCTTTCTCATAAGGTGATGTTACAGATCACTCATGGCTCATACCACAAACGGTCAGAAGAGGCAGCAAGCTCAAAGTCAAAACACTGCGCCTGTTCCACATTTTACAGATGGGAGATTGATCAAAAACATGGCTGGTAGAGGGACCTCATCTTTTCCAGACAAACAATCTGCTTTTGTTTAAATGGTGTGTCCTGAAAAGGCATGAAGTACTTTTGTTTCCAATAACAGAACATTTCCTGAATGGCTGAAGGGGGGAGAAGCAAAGAAAAAAAGCCATGTTTCAGGGAACCTATTTTAAACAGAAACTGGCTTAAGGGGGAAGATGCTTCCCTAATCTGCGTGCAGAACTGCACTGGAGTTAGCAGAAAACTTGGTAGTAGGAAGTTTGGAAAGAACATTTAACACCTCCTCCCCTCCCTTCTAGGACATGGTGCTGTTGTTTTCTAAATGGACCTAAAAGAGGCAACTTATGGATCCCTATAGCAAGACACCAGATTTGCTGTTTCTTCTGATGGTCTTTAATTCATCATAGTTTTAATGTACCATATCAAAGTCTAGGAGAAAAGAAGGACTCCCTACTTTTGTGGCAGGTGCATTAACACCTTGGTAGCGTTTACGCCTTTGTGTTCTCTCTCTCTCTCTTTAAGAAACAGACTATCTTTGAGACTGTTCATACCCTGTTAGAAGCACTTCCCTTCCCTTTTCAACTCACCCATCCAACAGAGATGTTAGCAAAGGGGCTACATCTGCAAACACTGTCACTTGAGAATCAGAAGCACTGTAAACTCTGTAGATGTAAAATACAAATCAGTCATTGTGGCAAAATGATCTGGGAATGTTAGCAGTGAAGAAAGAAGAACAAAGAACAGAGCAGCATTATTCACTGAAATCTCCAATATTGTGAAACAATTTCTTCAGCAGCACTAAGATCTATGGAAGGGAATTACTCACGCCTACTCTTAAGCTGGTTTAGACATCAGGAAATTAAACAGAGTTGAGCCACAATTCTATTCCAGTAGCCAGATGCAAGGAGTCTAAAGTGTTCTGGACATTGCCAAGGAGGACCTTGTCAAATCCTAGCTATTTCTAGAGACACAGACTAGGCTGTGATATGTTTTCATTCAGTTCCCCCCCCCATTGTTTTTATTTTAATGTCTGCACACAGAAGCATATTACTTGGATTCTAGCTTCATTTTTAACATCTGTGCTGTGGTGGCTTTGCTGAGATTTTGGAAGGAATTCTGTGGCTGGGGGCAGGGAGGCCTACAGTTAGGTACCATAGTTATGACCAAGTTGGTACTTTTGCAAGAATCTAGATGATGTATATGGATCAGTCAGTATTCATCAACACCTGGCTTGCCTTCCATGGTGGGGAAATAAGTGGAATATCATATGGCTGCTTCATATCATATGGTCGCCACACCACACTGGAAACAGACCGATGTGGATTCAGATTATGGGCCAACACAACGTCAGAGGCTTGCTGCAGAGCTCATGATGAGGTGGGACAAATAGGAATGGGGGAGAAATTTAATTCAGTTTGCATTTCAGTGTGAACCTATCTAATGCCACAGTTTCCCGAACAATAAGCAAACCGAAACACAGCCAACTTTATAAATTGGCACTCCTCTGAATTTTGCAATCGACTTTTGCTGCCAAAAAATGTGTACAAAGGGTAAAGTGTACATGGAATGCATTTACTAACAACGCTAAAACCCAAAATGCATTTTATTAGGGAAAACTGCTTGGCAAAAATGCATATATCAGGAAAAAGTGCTTACAAAAATGTGCTTATTAGGAGAAATGTGTACTAAAATGCTGATGAAAATTCATGAGGATAAAAACAAAACAAAAAACCCTTACAAACGGATGTGGAGAACTGAACTTAATACTGCAAAAATGAGAAACTTGAGAGAAACCTAAACTGACAGCCACCCATCCCTAAAAACAAAATGGTAACTTAACACCATGCCATTATTAGGTAGCTGCCTAAGGTAATAAGACAACACAGTCTTCCAGAGCTGATCTCTGCTAGGAATGCCATGGGTTCAAATGAGTGATTGCCACTTAAAACTCTCAGTAATAGGACACAGCAGCAGTATGTGTTTTAGGGTTGGTGCAATATTTAATGGGGGTAAGTTTTCCCACAAAACTATTGAGAGTATTCACAGGATAAAACTTTACTTTCTTAAATACCAGTACATTTTCTAAGGGGTTATGCTTGCATGGTGATATGGAACTTGCTTCATTAAGGTTCTGTCTGATGGGTGTTTAAATGGGATGTAATTAGGCACACTAGCTTCATTTTGTGTCAATGAACAATTCAGATCTGCTTTCCTGCTCCAGTTAATGAACGCAAAGCAATCTCAAGCGACTTGCTCGTGCAAAATGGCATTGGTCTACCTCCCTCTTCCAGCCACATGCTCTTTAATGTTAATTTGATCCTGAACATTGAAAGCCGTTTTTAGTTTGTTTCATTATTGTTTTATTTACTATCCACTAATAAAAGTATCTGAAAAAAACATAAAATACTGAAAAGCTGTATCTTTTTTTCCTGCTGAAATAGAACCAAGCATTTCGACATTTATTAGTTCCACTAAAAAGCTGCTAAAAAAATAGACATTTGAAGTTCATAAGAACCATATGCTCTTCTGCTTATAAGAATAAGCTGCGTGGGGACACTGAAAAACACACTTCCAAGAGCTACATTCTTTGAAAGGATTTACTATTCTAACCTTCATCTTTTTGGGCGGGTGGTGGGGAAGGAACTAAACACACACTGCTGCACATATGGCATGTTCTGTAAAGGTAAAAGGGTAAAAGACTCCTGGATGGTTTAGTCCAGTCAAAGGCGACTATGGGGTTGCGGTGCTCATCTCACTTTCAGGCCGAGGGAGCCAGTGTTTGTCCACAGACAGCTTTCCAGGCCATGTGGCCAGCATGACTAAACCACTTTTGAGCAATGGGACATGATGACGAGTGCCAGAGCACACGGAAACGTCGTGTAACAATATTTTGAACTGGTAACACAGTCTCCTGTACTAAAATATAAAGAACTGGGTCCTTCATCCATACAAACTGATCAGGGAGGCACTACCCATGACAGGAATATAAGGCAGCTGGATCTTGGCATAGTAATATTTTTCAGTTGTTATCAGAAAATGAAATACTTAGAATGTGTGAAGACATTTATTTACTGGTAAATAGCACTGGTAAAAAGCACTAAATAAGCAGAATAGGACAACTATTTCTAACCCATTAACTGAGGGCAGATACCAAAATATGTGTGTCTTTGGTTGTTATCCCCATGCATCGATCTACAGTGGTACCTCGGGTTACATACGCTTCAGGTTACATACGCTTCAGGTTACAGACTCCGCTAACCCAGAAATAGTACCTTGGGTTAAGAACTTTGCTTCAGGATGAGAACAGAAATTGTGCTCCGGCAGCAGGAGGCCCCATTAGCTAAAGTGGTGCTTCAGGTTAAGAACGGGCCTCCGGAACGAATTAAGTACTTGACCCGAGGTACCACTGTATTGGTATTTTAAGCCACACTGTTCCCTAAATCCACTTATATTATCACTGTCCCCTACGTGACTACAATAGTAATAGCTCCATGGGGAAACATGATGGAGAAACAGCATGTATGTGAAGGGAATCTTCATCTGAGCACCAGATTAACCCTAGTGGCAACAATCTACTTTTCAAATATAGAAGAATAAAACATTTCTTCCTTCAGAGAGAATTCAGAATTTCATTTTGTTTCATAGTTGTAAGTCTTGAAGATTCATGAGGAAGTAGCAAATGCAAGATGTCTTCAGAACAGTAAGAGTCCCATTATCAACTCATATTAAAAATCATATATATTTTAGTCAAAGCCACAATGGTGCTCAAGACCACCCACCTTTCATACTGGAACGTCTTGTTTATCAAAGCATGACCGGGACGGTTGCATTTTACAAAGACGGTTTCCTAACAGAAAACAAGGGTGGTAACAATTAAAACATATACATCATATAAGTCTAAACGAAAAGAAAATGTATGCTTAAAGGTTCACCACAAAGTGGGATGTTTAGACCTTCCAAACTGCAAAAACCACATAGCCATATCCTGCCTTTAATATATGGTTCCTCAATGGCACAATCTGGAGGGGTGGGAGTGCAGTGAACTGAGCACTTGGGCTGCCACACACACAGCTGTATGCAGTTGGTCCATCTAGCAGAAATCTGGATAGCAACAAGAGAGATGAATAGATAGCCCAAAATCTATACCCATATCCAAAGTATGCTTTCTCAGCACTCAGAAAGGACAGGGGGTTTCATCCAAACTTTTGAATTTGTGTTGTGGAATCTATCAGTTTAATCCTAAGTAATTTTTTTGAAAGCCAATTAGAGAGGAAAGCCTGAAAATACATTTCTACTTGTTGTGGGGATGACAACAACAAGAAACAAGAGCACCCCCTCAAGTAAGAGGCATTGCTGTCGTGGCACTTCTGTGACTTATATTCTATGGAATTAAACCTGCTGTTTGGGGAAGTATTTGTCCTATTGCTTATATTGTATAGCATCTCAACCAACAGAAGCCGTGCACAGGGGAGTAACTTTAATTGCTGAAAGTGGCACAGGAGGGAAGTGTTAAACTCGCTTTCCCTATGCTGATGTAGTTCCAGTCCTGATACGGCAGTCCTTGTTTTAACAGAGATGTGACCAGTCCAACTACATTTTTGAATTGTGCAGTGTAAGTTTGACTCTAGATTATTATGCTATGGGTTAGCTGGCTGGCATGTTGAACAAGGTAATCACAGTTGAGTCATCATGCTGTCACTTGGGCATCGTATTCTTAGAACTTCCATTGAGTCACATTCACACAATACCAGTTAAAGTGCTGAGTTATGTCTAAGTTATGTCTGAGTAAACATGCATGAGATTGTACTGTAAATACCACATGAAAACACACACATGTTTCTGTGACCTCCAGTTTACTATCAGTATGACACCAGCTCTTTTCCATCCTTGCCACGAACAATGATGCTCTCTCATATGGAATGGGCTAGATCAGTAGACTTCAATCTTTTACCCAAACAGTAAATCAGTAGTGGATCAGCAGTGTGTCCTGACCCACCAGTAGAAGACTCTTCATCTACACATCTCCCGACCTATCTGCATATGCCGAGTCAACTTGATAGACTGCCAACATCCTCTTCCATCCCAAGCATGATTGACACGATACATTTTGGTTACAGAAAATAATGAGTGCAGTCACACCATCTGCTTCAAGGCTCAGGTAGGTGGCAATATTAACTACATATGTTGGCTGTTACTAGCAAACCAAGAAGTAGAACTGCAAAGTAAATGTTATGAACTAGAAAAAGTGGAAAGGAAAGCCAAACATCTGCTCTTTTAAACTGATAAAACCAATTTCACATTTCAAACCAATTAGTAAAGCAAGCAGTTGCCATGCAATAACCACGCTCTCATACCTCCAATGCCAGTAGCCAAAATCATCCATATGAAAAGGATTCCAAGGCTTTATAAGGGCGAAGGAACTCAAAACGGTGAAATGAAATATTGTGCTTTACTTGCAATAAAAACCTAAAACCTTTTTTAGGCCTTGGAACTGAAGTGATAGTTCTCAAGCCAAGATTTACAAGACTCAAAGGGGGTGAAAAAAGAGATCACTTGCCCCTCTAGCAAATTTCAAGGCAAGAATCTCTAAACAAACAGACTTTTTATTTACCACAGTCTTTCGACAGCTTTCAAGCCTCCCCAAATCTGAAGTAATTTTGGTCCAGCGCTGTTGTTTTCAAATTACATTCCATTTGAAATCATGCAGCAATTGCAGTTCTACAAATGCTTGACAAATCCCACTGGAATATACCCAGTCTGATTTCTGCAATAAATCAATTGCCATTACAATGGCAGTTCGCTAATGCCAGAGGTGAGTTAGTATCAGGATTAGTGATGGTATTTGTTAGGGTTCAAGTACTAGACTCCATGAACCTTTCAACTGAAGTAGTAGTGAGATACTGGAGGGTTATATAGGAAAGTGCCAGAAAGAGAGAAGATAGAACTGGAAACAATATGGAAGCAATGGGTTCATAATGCTTTTCTAGTAGCATGGAGAACATAGCAACGAGCTTTGTTGGAGGGTCACATTAAGGGAGAGGAGTGGGTGAGCAAGCCAAGCCAAAGGGTCAGCTTGTCATGTCCCATTGCTATAGCTCCTATGCATCTGTTTATTACATTTATATCACACCTTCCCCCCACCCATGGAGCTCAGGATGGTGTATATCGTTTCTCCTCTATTTTATCTTCTCAACAATCTGGGAGGTAGGTTGGGCTGAAAGGGTGACTTGCTGAAAGTCACTCAATGACTAAATGAGGATTTGAACCTAGGTCCAAAATACTAACCACTATACCAAACCAGCCCTCATCTACATTCTGCTGATTCAGACGCAAATGCCATTAGGAGTCCAAACTAACAAAGTGCTGGATGTGTCCCAGTGATGCTAGTTTCTGACTCTAACTGAAAAATCTCCTTCCTTAGTCAAGGATTTGCTAGGTATGTATTTGGTGGAAGCTATTAGGGCTGGGAGATGTATCAATACATCATCCAAAACTGGTCCACATCACGGTAACAGTTTCACAATATTTGAGATGGTGGTATATTGCGAATCACAGTGTGTGTGTGCGCTACGTAAAAAAAAATGCAATACAGTGGTACCTCCAGTTATTAACTTAATTTGTTCCGGAGGTCCATTCTTAAGCTGTGACATGAGGCACGCTTTCGCTAATGGCACCTCCCGCTGCTGCCACATGCGACTTCTGCTCACATCCCAGAGCAAAGTTCGCAACAAGGGGCATCTACTTCCAGGTTAGTGGAGCTCGTAACCCACAGCGTTCGCAAGGAGGACAGTACGTAACACGAGGTTCTACTGTATGGGAAAACTGTGAAACCAGTCATCGCTTCTCTCATGATTTTTGCCATCCCTGTTGCACTCTACTATAAAATAACAGTTGTAACAATATGTTAAAGGTAAGTAAAAATGTAGTAGCAGTTGCCAGGACATTACCCTGCTCCCCTCTACATAGTTCCATCCATATTAAAGACGTTGTGATATATCAGTATATTGTGATGTTTAGTTGGTGATATATCACAAAGTTGAAAACCAGATATCACCCTGTCCTTCTGTTTGCCTCTACATAGTTCCATCTTATTTCAGACATCATGATATATTGGTACATTGTGATATATTGTGATGTTTAGTTAGTGATAAACCAGACATCGCTCAGCCCTAGAGGCTATCATGTTTTATTTCAGCAGTTGGTCTAGAATCTAGACTCTAGATGAATCGAACTCTGTGAATCAAAACCCAGAACCTTCCGTTTGGTCAGTGTCAAAAGCACATATTCTAAAATGCAATCTTCAAAATCAAGCATTTGCACAGAAGATTTCCATAAGATAAATAGCAAATTCAGGTGATGAGTGTCAACAGGGGTGGTTGGAGTCAAAATGAGAGACAAGCATGAAGTATCAACATGCTTTGGGAAAGCCTTAGGTCTGCAGAAGTATGCAAAGTATTATTATTTTTAAAAACCATAAGAGGAGTACACCCTCCTCCAAAACAGCCCATTAAGCCTGTGTTTGAATGGATCCAAGTACATGCCTAGTTTGTATAGGGGACAGAGTAAATCTAATGCATGGAAGCACCATAACTCAGTGGTGGATAAGGTGCTTTGCCTGCAGACGACCCCAAGATCAATCCCCAGCATCATCACTTACACAAAAGGAAGAAAGAAATGATGGGAAAGATTGCAATCTGAAATCCTGTAACAGATGCTGCCAAGCCAGGCAGAAAGCACTGGGCTAGGTGGACAGAAGGCCTGAGCAAATATAACACAGCTACATATGTTCATGTGCTCTTTTGCTGCATTTTATATGCTACCATAAAAGGAAAATTGGCTGCACACTTGCATGAAGTGTAAATAATGAAGAGTATCTGACGGAAAGCCCTAATAGTCAAGAAAATTACTGCAAAAACTCCATCTTAGCTCCATGCCTTTCAAATGTTATTTCTTGGTAATGGGCTTAATTAATACTGGAATGCCATCTGGATTTGCAGCTCCGCTCTCAAGCCCCCCTGCTTTGGTGGATTTAAGCCAGGTTCCCTTTGAAAGCAAGGCTTGGTAGGCAGCTACATTTTAGACACTGTATTTCTAGCCTCTGGCAAGGCATCAGTGAAGCAACTACAAGTAGTTTAAGGCAGGAAATAACTTTTATTATTGGAGTTGAAGTGCCACTGACAGAACTCAGGCGTGTGATCTGGTGGGCCAAGCGCTGGATTCGAATGCTGGGAATGCTCACATATCATTGTGTCATCACAAGTAACCCTGTCAGCCTTGGTCTACCTGAAAAACTGGAATAAGAATACAGTCGTACCTTGGTTTTTGAACAGGTTAGTTCTCAAAGGTTTTGGCTCCCGAACGCCACAAACCCAGAAGTGACTTCTGGTTTGCAAACTATTTTTGGAAGCCGAATGTCTGACGGGGCTTACAGAGCTTCCTGCAGCCAATCAGAAACTGCACCTTGGTTTCTGAACGTTTTGGAAGTCGAACAGACTTCCAGAATGGATTCCCTCCAACTTCCAAGGTACGACTGTAACCCCTTACACTTACACAGATGCACACGCAGAGTTACAGTGAGGGCAAACAAAGCCTTTTGCACATTGATATGCTAGAAGAAAATGATTAACAAGGGACGGCCAGAACTCACTTCACAGTGCCAGAAATAACTTCCTAGCCACAGTCACTAAGGAGGCTATACAGTGTGATGGAGAAATGGGGAGGGTAACATGGGGATGGGGAGTCAGTCATAAAGCGAATGCTGCATGTGAGGATGCAAAGCTCTTGGAAAGTGAAGATATCACGGCCCACTCATTCTTATCCCACAAGGGATAAGCGGTTTACAGCAATAAAAACAGACAACACAAGCATTAAAAGCCATAGAAACTTAAATATACTCACATCATCAGCTTCACACACCACATTTTCTGGGATTTTTCTCTGCCTTTTTGACAACAAAATGTATTAACTTACAAAACATTCAAGAAGAACACAACCAGCAATTTGCATAAACTTTAACAAAACAGCCAATTGCACAAATGCCCAAGAAACCAAGGGGCCTAAGGCCCAATGATATGCCACAGGTTAGTGGCAAAATGTGTGCCCCTTGCTTCTCCCTGTAGAACCTACACTGGCCTTCTGGCTAGATGGGGAAGAGTTTTCTGATTATTCCCCTAGGCTCACACTGAGTGCTACTCACCCTAGAGTGAACCTGACAACCAGGAGGCAGAGACACAGTCAGGGCTAGAATAACCACAAAGATAAGCAAGCTGCAGGAATGGTCTTAAGCTCAGACTGTGACCCCAGGTGTGGAAATTGCCAAATAGTTGTGATACCATGTGCAAACACCACCTTTTCCTGTTCCTTACATCTGAATACTGTGACTGCCTCGCCAGAACAGAGGCAAGCAGAGGCCACATTCCTGGTAATAAAATATGCAGATGGCATCCAAACAAGAACAGCCACCTTCATTCGCTGCTGCTTCCCCCAGAGACTATCAAGTCCAGCTGTCCTCTGAGGAGAAAGAGAGGACCATCTCCTCTGAGAATGGTAGCACCAGCTGGGCCAGTATGAGTCTCCCTGTCATGATGCGACTTACAAGAAGCAATTCCAGCTAGGCCAAGCGAAGACCCCACCCTATAAGGTCAACAACTTCCAGCATTATAGTCACTTCCAGGAAGAGTATTTCTCAGGGGCCACCAAGGTCTGCTTTTGTACTGTAAACAGTCTCTTCCCATCCAAGCTAGTCATTATAAGAACCTTGCAACATTAAGAATTTGGTGCCGGAGTATGAATGTTTTCCTCTTCCTTCCCCATTCCTTTTTCCTTATGTGCTGTGTCTTTTTAGACAGAGGGCAGGGGCTGTGTTGTTTTTATTGATATGCAAGCCACCCTGAGAGCTTTTCAGGCTGAAGCGTGGGGTATAGATGCTTTTCTCCTGCCACCATCACAGGAAGAGAGACGTTACCCAACCCATTTGGGTCATCAGCAACCATCTCAGAATTTGCTCACGAAACTCCTCTACTGTTGGGAGCAGTTATTGGAAAGAAACAAACAACAAGTGTGGAGGATCTTTGTCAGGACCTTGCTTTGTGGGTTAAAATGGCTTTAAAAACCTTCTATCCCCTCTATGATCCCAATTCTGATCAACGCCCACCCCCCAGTTGCTATTTCCAAATGAAAAATAATAAACATGCAGGCTCAAACTATGGGCAGGAGTCAACTAATTGTTGCGTATGGAAAACAAGGTCCACTCTCCCCCATCCTTCCCCCCTAAATCTGCTCCAGAAGATGTGGGGGAATGCCCAGGACAAGCTTAGGAGGCACCGGGAGGAGAGGGGACAATCCCGTGGTGCCAACGGACCTCGTTCCTCACATGCATACTCCTTAGCGCTACACAGAATTCCACCCTCAGCTCGTAACACAGTGTGAGCGCTAGCAACTTGGACAACATGAAAAACAGAGCACTACATGAAGGGAAATGGAAGTGTGAGTGTGCAGCTGTAGCTGTGTGGGCCTACCTGTATAAGTGCTGGGAGAAAAGGAAGTTTTGCTGAGAAATGTATGGGGAGAGCGGAGAAACACTGGATGCTTAGACCTGTGCTGGAGCACTGACCACTCCGCTTTGCGCTGCAGTTTTGCAGATAAACGTACCGCTATTTGGAGAGCCTCAGAAAAACAATTGTGTTCCTTGGAGCCATAAAAATCCTAGATTACACAGCTCTCCTCTTAGTTGTAATTGCTTTTCAAATTGCAGCAGTATTTTATTCCTCCCCCCTTCCCAAACCTTAGCAAACAGAAATAAATACAACCTTCTTAAACCCATATACAAGCAAACATAAAGAGACACTTCTTGTGGCTTTCTGGGATTGATTTCCCTACATCAGGGTTGATTACAAAGCAACAGATTATAAAGTAGCAGTATAGGCTTGCTACATCAGCCTATCCCTTCTGTTCTTTCAGCCTTCGAGAGGGATGTGACATGGGAAAAGGGTGAGTTAATGGAACCTGAACAGCAAGACAGTTTGGTGAGCAACGTAAGAAAAACAAACACTCAATACAGTCATTCTGGGTGCCTCCAGATTGCCAATGTTTTGCAGGAGAGATTCAAGTTTGCACAATTAAAGTGTATTAAAGTGCTCTGTCACCCAAGAGATCCACTTTCGAAAAGAATGGGACTTCTTGCAGTTTGCAAAGTGACAAGGATGTGCATTAAGGTGTGTGAAAGGAAGACATGATTAATGGGAAGATGTACAAGCACCCTGTAAGGAAATCAGGATGAATGCGGGATGACTGATCACTGTCATGTAACCAGACCATAAACAAATCAGAACAAAAGACCAGTTATGATGTAGCTTTCATGTACATCGTGATACATGCTCAACAAGCAGGTCACCTGGAAGAGCCAATAAGGAAGGGGAATTGCCTACTTTCAAGGCTCCATCTTTCATTGCCTTTGTTGATAGTGTACTCACAGATTCATTGGGAAGAAAAATCCCATTACTTTCTTTAAAGGAAAAAGGATAGCTAGCAGTCTGGAAAGGGCTTTGTTCAGCCCCCCAAACTGTTTCCTGGGACCCCACCAAGCCTGGAGTACGGGGAGGATTATGCAAGGAAGCCAGGCAGAAAGCATCTCTGCTTTCTTTTCTGCCCTCACAGCATCTTCCATACTGAGTTATGCACAAGATCTGCCCAGCTCAGAGGATACAAAAGGATGTTTCAGAGGCGCTTCCACCTTCATGAAAGCTAATCAGAAGATAAAGACAAAACGTTGAATCAATGAATGGAGACAGGGGCATGAAACAGGGTCCCCAGTCATGCATGGCATTCCAAGGAAAGGCAAATAAAAGCCCTCTTGCAGCTTCCTTGCTCAGCCTGAGGAAGGTTGGGGATGGAGTGGGGAGGGCCACACGTATGGGGATGCTGGGGGCAGGGCTTGAATGTCAGAGCCCAAGCACGTTGTTACCTCCTGTAATCTGAACCCGACAATGGTGATGTCAGAATCCTCCAGATCTAAGAAGCTGGAAGGCTATAAAAGGAGACATGAGTAAAAATCACCCTAATTTCCTTTAACAGAGAATTCAGATGGTTGAGTGCCTACAGAATTGGAGAAGCAAGAGGGAACCATTAACATGCCTGGATGAGCCCATGAGCACACAAAAATACAAAACATTTTTAAAAACCAAAAGGGACATGACAACCTCCCCCTCCACCCACCAAAAGCCTCCTCAGCCAAAAGAGGATTCATCGTGCTCAATGCCTTGCAAGAGCTAAAGAATGTTGAATGTTTGTTGAGGAAAAATGGACAACTGGGAGACAGAGGAGTAAACTGGCTTGCTTGATCCCACTACTGCCTTGGAGGAGAACACATCTGACTGGCTGGAATTCTAAACAGGAACATTCCTGTTAGGGTGTGAGGATACAATGCAAGTTTGTTGCAGATCCCACTTGTAAAGTGGAAATGTCTTCCAAAGTATGTAAAAATGCAGAATCTAACCAACATTTTCAAAAAGAAGGAGAACAATTAGACTGTTTATGATTCAGATTTGTACCTGAGCTTTCAAACACATTATCTGCGTGGCTTACAATAAATATCTAACACTCATAAATTCAGCCAAAAACAGCAACTCTATTAAAGCAACACCCAAATAAAACAGACCAACAAAAGTTTAAAAGCCTAGGAAAATAAAAAGGTCTTTTCCTGGCGCCGGAAAGACATCCGAGTGTCAGTTAACATAACTATATTCATGAAATAAATTACCTGTCTTTTAAGTCTGACTCTCCAGGAGGTGCATCAAATGGTAACAATGGGCGGATCCTGCAATGGACTCTGATATTTCCCCTTAGTTCCTGAGGATGCAATGCAGAAACATAGTCGGCAGTTTTAAAAACTCGTGAATGAAATGGTGTGAATCAGATGCGGTAAGAAAATACAGAAAGTTGTGGTGTTGCTATCTTGCCTCATGACTATTGAAGCTCTGCCTCATTAAATTACCACAGAGAGTGAAAAAGTGTCCAAGGTGGTTTTACCCCAGACCAGGATTTTGATGAAAGATGATGGTCTTAATCTCCTTAGTCTGCCTTTCTTTCCCCATTTTTAAGACACTGTAATCTGACTGATGCACTAGTGAAAGTAAATGTTATTACACAGCACATGAAGTCAAGGCATATTTTAAAAGGTTCAATTCAGACAACCCAACCGTTTCTTGAAAAAGCCCCACAGTTTGAAGAGGCTGTTTCATTTTGTCCCACAGCAGCTGGGAATAAAGGGAAGGCAACAGGCCTTGGAAAGAGCAGACAAGAGAAGCCATGAGCACAGCCTCCCATGCAGATACAGGAACTGATAAAAAGGAACTGGAAAGTCATCTCAAGTTGCACACTGGCAACTATGATATTTATGCAGATCTTTTAAAAGACATTGCAGACTCAATTACCAGGACACTTACAATTAAACTGTTATGAAGTACTTTTCTCCTTTGTTTTTCTTTCTGGTATCGCTCGTTTACTTCATGCACGGACTGCTCAAGTTCAAAGGCTCTGGTCTGAAAGGCTGATAAGACATTTTCACAAATGTTCACAGAACTGTTAGGCTATTTCCCCCTCAGGCATGGGCCTGAGAGCATCTGCACACAATTGCCTCCAAGCAAGAAGCCATATAAAAATGGAATATGCAAATATTATCACAGAGAGCCTCAAGTCCAGCACTCTCATTTGAGACTTTGTTCTCTGCACTGAAAACATTTGTATGGTCCATGGGTAGAGAAGCTCTGCCATGAGTGCATCATGGTGGTATGCCATAGCTCTACCCAAATTGCACTTTGCTGCTGCTTTGTGTCTTGCTTGGGAGCATCCAGGGGTATTCAGTCAGCTGCTGCTGGGAACAGAGTGCTGGGCAAGATGGACCTTGAACCGAAGTACCTGGGCAATGTTTATATTAAAAGTAGGGCAGCTGCGGTCCTTCAGATGTCACTGGACTACAACTCCCATCATCCTAGACTATTGGCAATTCTGACTGGGGCAATTGGGAATTTGAGTCTAATGGAAGGCCATAAAAAGAGCCCTGCTCAATCCGGCAAAAGGCCCATCTAGCTAGCATCCTGTTCTCACAGCAGCTGGTCATAAGCTGGACATGAATGCAACAGTGCTCTCCTCACTTGTGACAACTTGTGCAACTGGTTTTCAGAGGCCTCCTGCCTCTGACAGTGAAGGAAGACCATTGCCATTGTGGCTGGTAGCCATAGACAGTGTTCTCCAGCATCATTTCAAAAACCACAGGCTGCCCAGACCTGTGCTTGTATTTTCATTGCTCAGTTTCCATAGAAACATGCTCCACCTCATCACTACTTTCATTAAAAAAAATATTTTTTTCAAATTCCTACTTTTAAAGTTTATACATTTCACTAATTTTATACATTTCACTAATTTTACAATCATTTTGGCATTTCAAAACCTGACTTCCTTCCCCCTTCCTGCGGTTCCTTAAATTTGTTTTTAATATCTTCTACATATCCAAATTAACTTAATTTGCTCATTTATTCATCTTCTTTAAATATACACTCTTATGAAACTGCAGGTTATTACAGTAATCCTGCCAATGTTTTTATCTGTTTATGTGTAAATATTCAATAAACCATTTCCATTTTTTTATATTAAAAAAAAAGTTATCTTGATTTCTTATTCTTCTGCTAAGTTTTTCCATTTCTGCATATTCTATAAGTTTTTGTAACCATTCTTCCTTTGCTGGGACTTCTGCCTCTTTCCATTTTGGGGCAAGTAACATTCTTGCCGCTGTAGTAGCATACATGAATACGCTTCTATATAGTTTAGGAAGTTCTGTCCCTATAATTCCCAAAAGAAAAGCTTCTGGGTTTTTTACAAAGGTTATTTTAAACATCCTTTTTATTTCATTATATATCATTTCCCAGTAAGTTTTAACCTTATCACTACTTTTAGTTATGGCTAGGTGCTTTTGCCTAACCCCTGTAACTCTTAGTCCAAGGGGACAGGAAGACAACCCATCCACTCTCTGAGTGGACCAGAGATGTAGTATGCTCTTGGCGCAGTACATCTGCTTTGTGTGAAGTCCTGGCAGCAGCAAAAAGTTGCCTCTCAACCCAAAGCCAGAACTTTCATTGCAAATTCTGCGAGCTGCTACCAACGGTGGCACTGCTCATATGGTTCAAGCACCTTAGATGCCAGCCTGATAAGCTTTCAAAGGTACTCATCTCTTACTTTGCATAGCCTCATTATGCATCTGAAGCCTTTGGACAGCAGCCAAAATCTGACCAAGGTAAGTTTTGCTCTGATGCTGGACATCTCTGGAGAATGTGAGGGCAGACAAACGGAGATTCTTCACTTCTTGCTTTAATTTCTATTTAAGAAACAGAAAGAACAGTATTTAAGGTAAATGTAAGGTAAAGGACCCCTGCATGGTTAAGTCCAGTCAAAGGCGACTATGGGGTTGTGGTGCTCATCTCGCTTTCAGGCCGAGGGAGCCGGCATTTGTCCACAGATAGCTTTCCGGGTCATGTGACCAGCATGACTAAACCGCTTCTGGCACAATGAAACACCATGATGGAAGCCAGAGCACACGGAAATGCCGTTTACCTTCCCGTCGCAGTGGTACCTATTTATCTACTTGCACTGGTGTGCTTTCGAACTGCTAGGTTGGCAGGAGCTGGGACAGAGCAACAGGAGCTCACTACATTGTGGGGATTCAAACCGCCAACCTTCTGATCAGCAAGCCCAAGAGGCTCAGTGGTTTAGACCACAGCACCATCAGCATCCCTATGAACACTCTTTAGGGTATTGGGAGAGAAAAAGCAAAGGAGCAGCTTCATGTGTGTATATACAGTGGTACCTCGCAAGACGAATGCCTCGCAAGACAAAAAACTCGCTAGACGAAAGGGTTTTTTGTTTTTTGAGCTGCTTCGCAAGACGATTTTCCCTATGGGCTTGCTTCGCAAGACGGAAACGTCTTGCAAGTTTGTTTCCTGTTTCTTAACACCGTTAATACAGTTGCGACTTGACTTCGAGGAGCAACTCCTAGAACGCGGTGTGGTAGCCTTTTTTGAGGTTTTTAAAGACTTTGGTGATTTTTGAAGCTTTTCCAAAACTTTCCCGACACCGTGCTTCGCAAGACGAAAAAAATCGCAAGACGACAAAACTCGCGGAACGAATTAATTTCGTCTTGCGAGGCACCACTGTATACCGTATTTTTCACCTCATAGGACGCACTTTTTCCCCTCCAAAAATGAAGGGGAAATGTGTGTGCGTCCTATGGGGCGAATGCAGGCTTTCGCTGAAGCCTGGAGAGCGAGAGGCATCGGTGCGCACCGACCCCTCTCGCTCTCCAGGCTTCAGGAAGCTATCCACAAGCCTTGCAAGCCCCGCGGGCTCACAAGGCTTGCGGGCAGCAGCCTGCAACCCTGGCGAGTGTCCGCAAGCCTTGCGCACCCGGCGGGAGGTCCCGCCGGGCGCGCGAGGCTTGGGGTGGCAGCCTGCCACCCGAAGCACGCAGAGCCCTCCGGAGGACTCCCCGTGCTTCGGGTGAGTGTCCGCAAGCCTTGCGCGCCCGGCAGGAGGTCCTGCAGCAGGCGTGCAAGTGCATATGTATGTGTATACATATGCACATGTATATGCCTGTATAGGCACAGGGATATATATGCCCATCCCCTTATTGCAGGGATTGGGAACTGGATCTGGCCAGGAGGTTCAGACAGGAATGGGGTGGGATAGCCCCCAGAACAGCACATGGAGAGGAGAGGGGAGATCATTCTGTCCGGCAAGCTGAAATTCCCGCACTGACAGAACACTTACCTTGGTGCAACTTTTAATTCCTTCCTATGGCTGCAGTTCTACACTAATTTAATTCCTACTAACTCAGATGGGATTTATACGACCTTTCACAGAATATCACTGCACTAGGATTCCCAGTGTGAGTATATATTGGAATTGCATGCCAACGATTCCCAAGGTAAGCTGTGGGGGCATGTATTATTTATTATTACTGTAACCCATCCTCCGTCCAGGTGTTTCACAAGCAATATGATTTCCCACTGGGGACTATTTACACTGGGCTTCTTCCAGCAGAATTATCTGGACCCATTTTGGTCTACATTCAGATTAAATAATAATTTACTGATGTTTCATGTAAACTGCTTTGTGGTATAAAACTGTCTAATCAATCAATTAAATCACCTGTGCCCAAACCCAAGACCTTTAGAAAAGAAGAAAAACAACAAAATAATAAGAGGCTCCTAAAGGTCAAGTTACATTTTAAAAATTCTCTGCGTACAGAGTCTTTCAAATTCTGATGGTGCAGCATTTGTATGTGTACTCAGAAGGTAAGTTCTATTGAATTCCATAGGGCTTACTCCCAGGTGGAATAGAATTCTTGAGTTGGAAGAGACACTGTGGGTCATCTAGCCCAACCCCTTTGCAATGTAGGAATCTCAACTAAAGCATCCATGACAGATGGCCATCCAAATTCTGCTTAAAAACCTCCAAGGAAGGAGAGTCCACCACCTCCGGAGGAAGTCGATTCCACTGTTGAACAGTTCCTACTGCCAGAAAGTTCTTCCTGAAGTTTAGTCAGAATCTCATTTCTTGTACAGTGGCACCTTGGGTTAAGTACTTAATTTGTTCCGGAGGTCCGTACTTAACCTGAAACTGTTCTTAACCTGAAGCACCACTTTAGCTAATGGGGCCTCCTGCTGCTGCTGTGCCGCCGGAGCACGATTTCTGTTCTCATCCTGAGGCAAAGTTCTTAACCCAAGGTACTATTTCTGTAACCTGAAGCATATGTAACCTGAACATATGTAACCCGAGGTACCACTGTAATTTGAATGCATTGGTTTGGCTCCTACTCTCTGGAGCAGCAGAAAACAAGCTTGCTTGTAGGACTGCAGTCTGAGTGCTTTTACCTGTATGGCTTCATGCAGCTGAATTATAACAGATCTGACACTTCCATGACACTTCTGCTGCTTGTAATAATCAAAGCTATCATTTGCTTCTTCACCTGAGATTTTCCCAATAATTCCTTGATTCTGTTTAAAAATAAAAACCCAGATAGTTCAAAAAGACAAATAGACTGGGAATTGGAGATTTCTACAAAGCCCAACAACATAAAATGTAAACATTCAGAAAGTCAAGTGTTATAACCCACAAAAGTTCATTGTATTTTTATGCAAAGGCTAGATGTGAGGAATTGAATTTTTTCACATGAAGCAATGGTTTTCTACCACCCCTAGTTTTTCTGTTTTCCTTTATGCATGAAATGTTTGATCACCTTCAGCTTCTAAGTAGGTTCTCACAAAACGTTGTCTATTTGAATGAATGACAGCCTTCCACTTAAGTCAGCAGTGGGAGATTATAGCTGTAGACACAATGAATTGATTAACATTTGACTTCTTATATTAAAAAGTTCTGAAATCCCATTTCTATTCATAAGAGAGGGGAAATGAAAATCAATTTTGAGAGCAGATGAGTTCATTTAACCCTAACATTCTTGCCACTTTCCAAGTGTCTGTTGTCATTTAATCTTTTACTCCACATTATCATGGACAATGAAGGTTGGTATATTTTCCAATATGTAGAAACTCTCATGCTCAATACAGACATTAATTTTTTCTGGTAGATTTCCATCAAGATATATGCAGCTGTGCACAAAATTGTTTCTGTTGCATAGCTCCCGTGCCCTGTGTGAGGTGCATCTGTGTCAATCCCCTGACAATTTCTTTTTTAAGTTTCATGTAACAAATCTGATGAGATGCAGGCATTTATGACAGCTGTAAGCCATAGTAAGCCTCTGCTACCCCCTGCATACGCTACTGCTGAAAAGGCCAACGGATTTGATATGGTTCTTTTTCTGAAGTGGTCTGTGGATTACAGCTGAAGATCAAATAAAAGGTTCTGGTGTGTGTTTGTTTTTTCAGTAAGGTGACTGGCTATGATCAAAACCAGAGTAAATGCTGTAGGCCAGTAGTTCACAATTAGCTAAGTACTGCAAACCTCCTGTTTTTTAAAAACAAAGCCCCCTACTTTTGAAAACATTGATACCTCTATGGTAGTTTTTGCTTTGTGAATGGTGTCACAGACCCCCTGGGGTCTGTGGACCACCAGTTGGGAACCACTGCTGTAGGCAATTGGGTGAAAATGATTGACAGCAGGTTCAAAAGGGACAGAAAGGAAGTATTATGTTACACAACATATGCATTAAGACAAGAGGTTGTAATGAGAGAAGGCAGCGGTGGAAAAATTATGGTTTAAATCACCCCCCCCAATAAACTAGATCTATTGCCATGACAGCTAAATGCAACCTCTTAGTATCCAGATACAAGCACAAGTCATTTCTTCAGCTGCTCACCATCCTTTTCTGGCTAGGCCAGTCAGTGTCTTTTGGGTGTGCGTCAGAGCTGCTACCTGCCTTTGATGGTTGTTTCTTGCAAGCTAAGTGTCAAGATGCAAGCAGTCCATGTCACAAATGGTTTCATCTGAGATAAAATTGTAAGCTCCTGAAGAGATACATGTGAAGACTTTGAAGCACTGCAGTCATCATATTTCTCCACCACGTTATTCTGGTAAGTACTCGCAGGGAAGCTGAGCTCAAAAGGCAACATCTGGTTTTCAGTCAAGTTCTATTTTGTTTCAGTTGATCCCCGTTTTTATCCTTAAAGAGTTAACCAAGCCTCCACAAGGGCAAGAGACTTTCATGAGGTCACCCAGCAATTTACAGTCTCACATTAGATTAGAACCTCTTGGCTGGCAGTTGCTATTACCACTAATCCCTGCAGTCTGCCCTAATGCGGGCCCAGCCTCCAACTGTTCCAAGTTTTCTAAATCTCTAGCAGTGTTGCAGTGCAAGATGCAAAATCCCTCAGCAAGGATAAGTGTCAACTATGCTCAACAATGGCTTGAAAATTAAATTAAGGCAGCTATAAAAAAGAAGCAACATATTGTCATCTTTTAAAGGTTTCTCAGACACTGGTGGTTTCCACTAGACCTTTTCTTCCTCTTCCACTTAACAAGAACAACAAAAATACTATGCTGAATGAGACAATTAAGATTACTACTTCAGATCAGTGGACCACTGCATAAGTTACCATTATAATAGTTATGCAATCTGAACCTGGTAACCTAGGAAGCAGGTATTTATTACATCATGTGAACATAGAGAAACCTTACTGTAGAGACCCATGCTTAGTACCAGCGCACTACAATGTGTTTTCATAGCCGAATTGTTTTTCCATAGCGAAATAAACATGGATAATCTGCCTCATGTGTTTTCCGGTAGAAGAGGGTACATGCAAAATCTGTAACATGTGGCCCATCACTTATTCATTCTTGCAAGCAATCACTTGAAACACAGCTGCAAAGAAGCTACGCCACATGGCAAAATGTTTGCATTAATAGTGTCTCCCCATGTAGCTCCACAGATTTTCATTTGCACCAGCATAGCAGAAAATGTTGAAATGTTGCACTTCCTAAAAATGACAGTATTAATTAAAGGGGAGGATCAAATATAAAATAATTTCCAGTAGCCTTGAATTCTCTCTAATAGAATGTCAGGTAAAATGTGTTCCACATGTAAGAAAACATACAAATGAATTCAAGAGGATGCCAATATGGTTAATGAGAAGGCTCAAGGTAGCTATCTATAAAAGGCAGGAGCACTTTCTGTAAAAAGTAGGTGTCTTGCCCTTATGAGGAGAAAAAGGAGCATAATGTTGAAAATAAGGTGGTTGATTTGGATTAGATTGCCAAAACACTTAACAAGCATTTATTTAAATTACAACTCACAGAACTGGCAGTGAAAAAAAATGCCTATTCTACGCTGGAGATAATGTGGAAGGGATTGAAAACGAAACAGCCAGTATTATAATGTTCGTAGATAAATCCAAAGACTTGTGAGTTAGGCCCTTGTCTATTCTAGGTAGCAGCAACTGTTCAGGAAGAGCTGTGTCAGGTGATAATTACAGTAATTAATGTTTTAGTTGTGCCTGTAGGTTGACAGATGGCTTTTACTCTGCTTAAACTGAAAGATGTAGTAATACACACAAATATGCATAGCAACCCAGGGAAAGTGATGAGAATATACTTTCAAATCTATGCTGCAAGATGGATAAGAAGATACATCTCCATTCAAGTTGTATTATGCTGAATTGCACCAGTCAGATCACCTGTTGTAGCACATTCAGTCCCCATCAGCTGGATACCTGATCTAATATCAGGAACTAGATGCAGGATACACATTTTTCAGAAACCTGGGAACATCAGAAGGTGCTTTATGCTGAATCAAACCACTCATTCATCTAGTCCAGGATTGTCTCCACTAACTGGCAGCAGCTTTTCACAATTTCAGAGTGGGGTGTCTCCCAGCCCTACCTGGAGATATGGCCATTCCCCAGCAACCTGTCAGTAACTCTCTTTTGGCAAGCACATCTTCCTGGTCAATGGATATTAGATGGAAGTCATTTGTAAAGTGAACTCAGATTGTGGAACTATGCTTCCTGGATCAGTGTGTTTATTTACATAGGTCTGACCCATTAATAAGTTGAAATTGAAAGCTTGTGGGGGGGGATGTATATACTACAGTGGGATGGGGAAATGGAGTACATTATGCTGTACTTACTTTTGCCAGCTTGAGATGCAGAAGGGCATTTTCTGTTTCTAGCACTATGATCCGTTCTTGCTTTGTCTGGGAAAACATGGTAAGCCTGAACTTAAATGGATAAAGTAAGTTATACAAGAAGCCAATTTAATTTACTGCTAGCAACTCCTCTGATCCCCAACTGTATCTGTTTCTCACTCTAAGAGCCAAGCCACACATTACAATACACCAAACTATCTGGTCATCCTTGCCTCAGGGACAATTTGTATGAGGAACCCTTTGGTATACACTAAGAATCAGCTATTTGATACGTAGTTTAAAGCTCAGCTCTTATCACACAATTTGGGAAGGGAGTATTTGGGGGGGGCGTTAACTGACACCTGTAACATGGAAACAATTTAAGACAGGGGCCAAGTATTATTCTGCATTGATTTAAGTCACTACTTTCGCAGAACATTTTAATAACAAAAATCACAACAGCTCTAAATCATTATTAAAAATCTTTCCCCCCAAAAATGTGTGTGCCATCACTGCATCCACCTCTTTGTGCTTTCCCCTTTTTCAGTAATATTATTTCTGAACTGCCACTGGCAGTCAATTACCCGGATATTTGTTGGATGTCAAACTCAGCCAAGAGCATAAGGTCAAACAGATTCCTCACTGGCCTTGCAGACAACTTCATTGTCCAGAAAGTGGGAGAAGCAACAAGAGGAACAGCCATTTTAGATCTGGTCCTAACCTATGTTGATGACCTGGTTAGTGGGGTAGAAGTGGAAGGATCATTAGGCGCGAGTGATCATGCTCTTCTGAAGTTTACTATACAGCGGAAAGGAGCAGCCAAGCATACTAGGACTCAATTTCTTGACTTTAAGAAAGCCGACTTCATAAAACTTAGGGAAGTGCTGGGTGAGATCCCATGGACAGTAATACTAAAAGGAAAGGGAGTTCATGATGGCTGGGAGTTTGTTAAGAGGGAGATAGTAAAGCACAACGTCAGGCAATACCAATGAGACGGAAACATGGAAGGTGCCTAAAGAAGCCATGGTGTCTATCTAAAGAACTTTTAACTGAGTTAAGATTAAAAAGGATGTGTACAAAAAATGGAAAAGGGGAAACCACCAAAGAGGAATTCAAACAAATAGCCAGCACGTGTAGACACAAAGTCAGAAAAGCTAAAGCACAGAATGAACTCAGGCTTGCTAGAGAGGTTAAAAGCAACAAAAAAGGCTTTTATGGGTATGTTCGTAGCAAAAGGAAGAACAAAGAAACAGTGGGGTCACTCAGAGGAGAAGATGGTGAAATGCAAACAGGGGACACAGAAAGGGCTGAACTCCTCAATGCCTTCTTTGCCTCAGTCTTCTCCGATAAAGAAAACAATGCCCGACCTGAAGAATTTGAAGCAAATGATTCAGCAGAGGAAACACAGCCCAGAATAACTAAGGAGATAGTACAAGAATACTTGGCTAGTTTAGATGTATTCAAGTCTCCAGGGCCAGATGAACTGCATCCAAGAGTATTAAAAGAACTGGCAGATGTGATCTCAGAACCACTGACAGTCATCTTTGAGAATTCCTGGAGAACAGGCGAAGTCCCGGCAGACTGGAGGAGGGCAAATGTTGTCCCTATTTTCAAAAAGGGAAAAGAGAGGACCCAAATAATTACCGCCCAGTCAGTCTGACATCAATACCAGGGAAGATTCTGGAGCAGATCATTAAGCAAACAGTCTGTGAGCACCTAGAAAGGAATGCTGTGATCACCAATAGTCAGCATGGATTTCTGAAAAATAAGTCATGTCAGACTAACCTGATCTCGTTTTTGACAGAATTACAAGCCTGGTAGATGAAGGGAACACAGTGGATGTAGCCTACCTTGATTTCAGCAAGGCATTTGACAAGGTGCCCCATGATATTCTTGTAAAGAAGCTGGTAAAATGCGGTCATGACTATGCTACCACTCAGTGGATTTGTAACTGGCTGACTGACCGAACCCAAGGGTGCTCATCAATGGTTCCTCTTCATCCTGGAGAAGAGTGACTAGTGGGGTGCCACAGGGTTCTGTCTTGGGCCCGGTCTTATTCAACATCTTTATCAACACTTGGATGATGGACTCAAGGGCATCCTGATCAAATTTGCAGATGACACCAAACTGGGAGGGTGGCTAACACCCCAGAGGACAGGATCACACTTCAAAACGACCTTGACAGATTAGAGAACTGGGCCAAAACAAACAAGATGAATTTTAACAGGGAGAAATGTAAAGTATTGCACTTGGGCAAAAAAATGAGAGGCACAAATACAAGATGGGTGACACCTGGCTTGAGAGCAGTACATGTGAAAAGGATCTAGGAGTCTTGGTTGACCACAAACTTGACATGAGCCAACAGTGTGACGCGGCAGCTAAAAAGCCAATGCAATTCTGGGCTGCATCAATAGGAGTATAGCATCTAGATCAAGGGAAGTAATAGTGCTACTGTATTCTGCTCTGGTCAGACCTCACCTGGAGTACTGTGTCCAGTTCTGGGTACCACAGTTCAAGAAGGACACTGACAAACTGGAACGTGTCCAGAGGAGGGCAACCAAAATGGTCAAAGGCCTGGAAACGATGCCTTATGAGGAACGGCTAAGGGAGCTGGGCATGTTTAGCCTGGAGAAGAGGAGGTTAAGGGGTGATATGATAGCCATGTTCAAACATATAAAAGGATGTCACATAGAGGAGGGAGAAAGGTTGTTTTCTGCTGCTCCAGAGAAGCGGACACAGAGCAATGGATCCAAACTACAAGAAAGAAGATTCCACCTAAACATTAGGAAGAACTTCCTGACAGTAAGAGCTGTTCGACAGTGGAATTTGCTGCCAAGGAGTGTGGTGGAGTCTCCTTCTTTGGAGGTCTTTAAGCAGAGGCTTGACAACCATATGTCAGGAGTGCTCTGATGGTGTTTCCTGCTTGGCAGGGGGTTGGACTCGATGGCCCTTGTGGTCTCTTCCAACTCTATGATTCTATGATTCTAACTGTACAACATATTGGAGAAGGAAGTGTGGAAAATAGCCTCATTGGGCCCCATCTATTTAATTGCATTGCCCTTTAGGATTCTAGAATGGTAGCCCCAGAAAATATGAAGGGATTACAAAAGGGAATTGATTAGATTGTCAGCAGATTTGTTCAGTTCTACTCCAAAGAGGAAATATCCATTCATTTGTGTATTTAAAATGTAACAACTTCAAAAGCATACATGGATGGGGTAGGAAAAAGTGTGTTCATCCTCATTGTCTCTGTCTAAAAGATGTCAGAATCACATTGAAATGTGCACGTCATTGTTCCAAAAGTGTTTGGCATGATACTGGGGTCTTGTTGCAGCTTTCCACGAGTCCTTTCTGCACAGCAATACCACATACCCTTAACATATGGAAGAGGAATGCATCTGATGCCCAGCTTCCTGACCTGCAGATATTGAATATCTTCATCAAGCAGGGTGCAGATCACACAAGGAGAGTCTATGCACACAGCTTGTATGAACATAAACTTTGCTCAGATTAGCATGAAGAGGGTGCTACCAACAAGCGCAAACTCACTCTCCACTCAATATGTTATATGAAACAGTTGTGTGAGCAGCACACTAACTACAGCTAGAGGAACCATGAACCCCTTCAAAGCGATACCTCTTCCAATCGTGAACTAAGCTACTGACTGGATAGCGTGGTGCTGACAATGCCAAGGTTACAAGTTCGATCAGCTGCATATTCTTGCATTGCAGGGGGTTGGACTAGATGATCCTCAGGGTACCTCCCAACACTATGATTCTATGAGACTGCCAGCAACAGTGTAGTGCAGAGAGGGTCATTTGAAAGCAAGAAGGAAGTATCAAAATGCCCAGGGGGGACCCAAAGAGACAGAGGTACAAAAAAAATATTTAGGAGGGGGGACCTTTAAGGAGGCACCCCATGGCATTAACCCAATAAGGACTGAGCCTGTTCAGTGGCCACAAAATGTGTCTGTGTTGGCAGCAGGGGTGCAAATGGAATATCCTAGAATGGGGCAAGAATAGCAGGCTAGAAAGCCGAACATGAGCGCTCCACATTGCAACATTTTGTCGCAGGTCATAACTGGTGTACTAAAATGAAGCAGACAAAACTCTTCAATATAAACTCTGTTTCTCTGACACACAAGCCTCAGTACACTTGGGCCTTAACCAGGATCCAGAACTCAGTTCTCCATTTGAAAGATCAGCATGCTATGGTTCATTTTCCCTTCAAAAATGAGCAAATGCAGGCAGGGCCAGATTTAGGTTTGATAAGGCACGAAGCTACTGAAGGCAATGGGGCCCTTTATATGTCCAGCTGTTCTTTGTCAACAACAAATTGTCGCTGTTTTTTGTGTTGAATATATGCTATATGGTAATTTATGGACCTTATTGGCATCTAAAGCCATTTTCATATAACAAAATATGTATTTTATCATAGTAATTGTTGAACTGAAATACAATTAAGAAGTAGTATATTAATAGTGAAATAATTATTAATCCCTAACTTAAAATGATTTTTTATTCATAACAAACTTAATAATGCAAACACATTGGCGTTTGGCAATAACAAAAGTTTGTTTTTATATTTTGGAAACGTACATGCAGTTGTTTTTTCCTTTACATTTTTTGGGGGCCCCCAAGAGAGTGGGGCCCTAAACTATAGCTTGTTTAGCTTATAAGTAAATCCGGCATTATGCAGGCAGGGAGCTGCTGCAGGAGTTCTTGCCCTCTCTCATCTCACTGCGATATTTATTATGTAAAAGAAGGGAGGGAGGGAAGGAAAGAAGGAAGGAAGGAAGGAAGGGATGATGGAGCTTAGCCACAAGGACAAGTTGGTCACCCCCCTCTCTAAGCCGGAGCAGTTTCGCCCTTGCCAAGCACCCCTTTCCCAGAAACTCACGCGCAGCTTCTGCTCCAGCTGCCGGATCCGCTGCTGCGACGCAAAGCTCAGGCTTATCCCATCCCCGGGCCGCATCCTGCAAGTTTGCTGGTCCAGGAGAGAGGCGAAAGCCTCTTCACCCTGTCGCACTCTTTCTGGCAAGCCAGTTTGAATCGACCAATTGCAGCCAAGGACATAGCTTCGCCGCGGTTGCCACGGTTACCCGTCTCCGCTTCCGGGAAGGGAGAGCGTCGCGATTGGCCGGGCTTGGAAATGGGAGGGACTCAGCCGAGTGGGGATTAAAGAAGCTTGTGCTTCTCTGCTGGTGATTCCAGCGGAGACCCTTTGCCCAGGAGGCACAGAGAGGGGCATCGGCCGCGCCGGAGCAGCGTTTGCATTTCAAGGATATTGTCAATACTTGTGTTTAAAATATAATGAGGAGGGTGGTGCCTGCAAAGCGAGAGGAAGCAGCTGCCTCCTGCATTTTACCTCATTTTTTTCAACTAGGCAAAATAGGCTCTCAATCCTTTAACCCAGGCATAGGCAAGCTCGGCCCGCCAGATGTTTTGGGACTACAACTCCCATCATCCCTAACAGGACCAGGGGTCAGGGATGATGGGAGTTGTAGTCTCAAAACATCTGGAGGGCCGAGTTTGCCTGTGCCTGCTTCAACCCTTCTCCCCTTGAGCAATAGCTGGCAGTGGGCAGGTAGCAGGAGAATGAGAAGAGGAGTCTTCTCCACGCTTGTTCAGTTCAGATTTCCCCTCGTTCTAGCAAAAGCTTAAGCCCAGCCAGGAAGTTGATAAGGGAATGAGTAGAATGTGAGGCACAGGGGGCTAGTTTCACACCTCCCGTTACTAAAGCCTAGATCAGGAACCTTGGGCAGGCATGAGACAGTGTAGCACTGAGTTCTGCATAAAACAAGATCGTAGTTAGGCAAGCACTAATCTGTATCACAGAACTAACCAGGAATGAAACAGCCTGTCAGAGATTAAGGTCATCTACACATTTTAGATTGCCAGAGGCTTCTTTTTTATGCCTGCTGGGTTATTTAAATGTGCATGAAAATGACTTTATGTGGATCTTGGAGTTTGTTTCTGTCTTAAGATCCTCCAGCACTTTGAGATCTCCCAGATTCTATCTTCTATTGAGACTAGATAACTAGGAGTAGAACTTTCTTGGCAACTCCCAATGCTTGATAGAACTGCCCTGAAGCCCCTATAGCTACCCCCATACTTTCTGTCCAAAGATGTGCACACACTTATTTTTCAAAAGCAAAATTTTCAGTGGTGGACTTAACTTGGACAGGTGGATGCAAACAAGTCACCTATCAATCACATGACATGTGGGTTGCCCTGCTCACCTGCCCAAATCCCTCCTGCTTTCAAAGCCTGCCCCATGCCGATTCTTAGAACCTCCAGTTCAGAGCTATCTTTAAGGTATATGTGTGGGTAGAGATTGCCTCAAACACTGTTAGCTTCAATTCATTCCCCACTCTTCCATCTGAGCACGGACCTCCTTAAAATACTTCTTTGAACCAGGCATTGGATGGGGGAAAAGAAAGAGACTGAGGCATATTGTACTGGCTCCTTTAATATTCTCTCCACTTGCTTGTCCCTTGCTTGCTTGAAGGACGAAGTACCTCAGCTGATATCACCAGGAAAAATGGCCTCGAAGGCCAAATTTGGTCTGCAGGTTGGAGGCTCCCTGGTCTCCACCCCTGGTTTATAGCCTAACTGCAATTAAATCTGCTGTATATAAGAATTTCCCACATTCATTCAGAGGTGGGAAACCTTTAGCCCATGAGCCTTATTAGGTCCAGCAGAATTTGGTCTGTGAGGCCAATTTCTTCAACTGTGGCCGCCTACACCACACCTGATGTCATTATATGATGTCAGGTGATGGGGCAGGTGGAGATGTGGCTGCCAATGCACATCAGAAGCCTTAAAGTGCCCTCTTCATTATGCATTGGCAAGCCTCCCTTGTCAATTAGCTGACTGGCACTGTGAGCCCGCTAGCAGAGATTGGCTGCACTATAGAGTTCACCATGAGAAACTATGCAGTTAAGCCAATCCCAGTAGAAAGTAGAGCTTGAAGTCTGCACCTATCGGTGGTAACTTTAAGCCCACTTTGCTGGGCCTGGATTTTCCTTTGTGGTGCAGCTTGTCATGCTACAAATGGAAAAAAAATGACATAGTGACACCAGGGGATTGACAGGTGGGCAGAACTCACTCATCCAATATGGCCCGCAGACAGTTAAGGAACCCAGGATCTGGCCACTTGCTTTACCCAGTTCCCCACCCCTGCTCTAATATGTAAACCAATAATTTGGTATTTTACAAGTTCTTAAGTAGAAAAAAAGGGACGCGGGTGGCACTGTGGGTTAAACCAGAGCCTAGGACTTGCCGATCAGAAGGTTGGCGGTTCAAATCCCCACGACGGGGTGAGCTCCCGTTGCTCGGTCCCTGCTCCTGCCAACCTAGCAGTTCGAAAGCACATCAAAGTGCAAGTAGATAAATAGGTACTGCTCCGGTGGGAAGGTAAACGGCGTTTCCGTGTGCTGCTCTGGTTTGCCAGAAGCGGCTTAGTCATGCTGGCCACATGACCCGGAAGCTGTATGCTGGCTCCCTCGGCCAATAAAGCGAGATGAGCGCGGCAACCCCAGAGTCGGTCACTCTTTACTCACTGCCAATCTAGTTTACTGAACAGACATTCATCTATACTATGCTATAGATTCTATAGCATTATCAAAAGCTAAAGTTCAATTACACACTTTGTGTCTCTGATTATATTTTAGGTAAATGTATAACAAAATAATTAGATATTGACATTTGTGATTTGAACAAATACTCTTGATACAGACATTATGCAGTGCAAAGTTAAATACAATACAAAGTTTATTAAAAATAGGTTGCAAGTGAAATACAGTAGAAATGGGAAACTACAGCAGTTTTGATGTTTCTTTTTTTCATAATAATGCACAGACAGTTATGAAAAGCACTTTTACTCATATTCACATGTGGCCTGAATGCCCAGTAGCAGTCAAATCCACTCCACGGTAAGTGATATTTCTTTGCTTAGGTTCTAGCAGCAACAGTATTCCAGCCACAGAATATCTAGTGTTCTCAAGATAAATTGGGGGAGGCTTGCTTTTCCTGATTAACAGATATAGCAAGCATGCAAATCCTTCATTAACACTTTCAATCAATTTCATCTCCTACTTCATATTTAACAGGTGAACGGTAAAAGCACACTTTCAAATAAGAAACCTGAAATATGTAAAAAAAATATTTACACTCCAATTTTAATATCATTAACTTGCATTTATTTATCATACAACTCTTATTAAAAGTGATTTCTAAGGCAGTGAAAGTCTACCCTCTGCATTTGGAAGTGTGCATAATTCCCTAAATATATATTTATAAGATAACATATTATACAGAAAAATCATCTAAAACCCAATTAAGGGCTTTATCAAATAGAAAATTTGCTTAGAATCACAATATAATATATTGTTTTAAACATCACACAATGAGAAACAAACTCTAATGAGGTCCTTATTCTCAACATCAGCCATACAGGAACAGTGGGAGAAAAAAAGATTTCAACTGCTTAAAAATTAAATAATGCTGCAATATAGTGTGAAAGATAGCTTGAACTGCCAATATTTTCTACAATATATAGAAAGAGGATGCTAGTAAACCAAAGGCTGCTTGACTAGCACTTCTCAACATGAAGGACCAAGTGATGCGCTGCCAGGCCACTGCAGTAAAACTATTTTTGGCAGACAATACTTTCATGTTTCTCATCACAGTAATAGTAACCATGTCCCTCTGCAAGTAGTACTTAATATGCTATCTATTAGCACTGGAAATCTTCTAGTCCTTTTAACATCTAACTTTGGTTTTGTCTTAGCTACAACGGGAGCTACCAGAAGAAACTTATTCCCTATTGCTTAAGTCTGGAATTTCTACATAGTTTTAAAACACTGTATTCTCAATCTACACGTACACACGTACACACACACACACACACACACACACACACCATTCCTATGCGTCCATCTATATTTTACCAATCTCTTCCTTCAGCTCTAACCAAGGATTTCACAACTCAAGTTTTAAAAGTGGTTTACAGCTCAAATGTAGTGAAGGAAGAAGAGCTGGAAAATCCAGGGTGCACGTTTTATCACATCACTGGACTGCCACCAATATAAATCAAGTCAAGTATTTCATGTCCCCATAACTGTATGAATATAGATATCACTCTGTGTCTAAGGATTAAATGTGCTAACACAGCCCTTTTAGTTTCAGAGTATTCAATTCTGTTTTTACTGCAAGAGAATATCCAAGGAAACCCAGACTCGAACCACAAGTTTTCAGTGATATGCTAGTAAACTGTTTGTTTACCACCTCATACTTTGAATCAAACAATCTAGAGTGCAACAAGCCAGTGCAGAGTTTAGTTTAGGCAGTTCAAGCTATAGCCACTTTTTTCTGTTTAGCAGCTAACAAAGTATTTTTTGTAAGAGAAGGAAGCAACAATTCTTCAGTAAGTGTGACCCAGGACCTTTGCAGAAGTAGTTAAACCCTCAAAGAAAGGAAAGGGTGTGGAGAAAGGACATAATGACACTTGATTCATATAATTAAAATACATTTTACAGTGCTTTCATTGTATAAACACAAGCTCTTGGGGAAAAAATGTTTTTCTTGCTATTGCAACATATCTAAATCTCAACCATCCAGATGTTGAGATTCCATCTCAATTGTCAGAGGACACTTCTTCCTTCTTGAACAGCCCCTTCCCTAGTCCCACAGATATTCTTCGGATTATGTTTCATAAGGTGCCTTTAATCCTATTTTGTGTTTAATTCATTTTCCAATTCCATTAATTTCCTAGATGCCTTAACTTTGTTGGACACATCCTGACCCTGGGAAAAGAGTCTCTGACGTTCCCGAAAAGTCAAGTTTTCTGGTGCACCAGGTAAATCTGCATCTTGACTGCAAAGAAAGAAATATCTCAATGTTACATAAGTATTACATTGCCAGAAATCTAGATGCTTTGCTTATTTTTTTGCTAGGGTCTGCAATCACTTGCATATGTATTTGTAAATCCCATAGAAATAAAAGAAGCCTATTTCCAAGTAAACCAGATTAGGATTGGATTGTTAAGTCTTTATTTTTGCATGGACAATTTTGTCCACGTTGTATCAGATTATGTACAAATGTCAGTCCTGTTGTAAAGACTGCTACAATGGTTTATACAAAATTAGTTCATACTTTATTGTTGTTATTATTGTTATTAAAAATTCTATACCACACTTCATCCAAAGATCACAGGGTGGCTTATAATATAAAACACAATAATACATACTATAGCAACAAAAACAAACAAACCAATGACCCTCTCCAGAGTTTAAAAGTCCATAGATATCCCTGTTCAGATAGGGACAGAGTTGGGCCACCAGCTGAAGCTGGTGGAAGGAACTCAGCACCACTGAGGCCACCGGAGCCTCAAGTGGAAGCTATGGAACAGATGGAACTCCCAAGCTATGAAACTCGCTACTTCAAAGGGAGTATAACCCCTTTAAGAGCAGGCAATCTCCCATCCATCTGGCCAAGGAACAGTGCCTCAGTATTATGCGGATTCAACTTCAGTTTGTTGGCTCTCATCCAGTCCATTACCAAGGCAAGACAACGGTCCAACACATCCACTGCCACATCTGCAGATGTAGTAAAATAGGGCTGTGTTTCATCAGCATATTGCTGACAATGTACTCCAAAGCTCCAGATTCCCCAGTCAGTTGCTTCATATAGATGTTAAACAGCATGAGGGTTAAAATGGAACCCTGAGTAACCCCACATTGAAGGCTCCACAGGACTGAAGCGCACTACGCAAGTATTGCTCTCTGGAAGAGACCATCCAAGTAGGACCAGAGCCACCACAAAGCGGTGCCACCACCCCTAACTGGGATAGCTGCTGCAGAAAGATAACATGATCAATCGTATCAAAAGCTGCTGAAAGGTCACTCTCCCAACCGATATCATCATACAGGGCGACCAAAACTGGGCCTAAACCCCAAATGAAATGGATCTAGAAAATAAGTTTCCGCCAAAAGTGCCTGGATCTGGTCTGCAACTATCCCAATCAAGAATCTTGGCCCAAGAAGGTGAGACTGGCCACTGGCTTGTAATTACTTAAGATTTTCTGAATTCAGGGAAGGTTTCTTGAGGAATGATTTTACCACGGCCTCCTTTTTCCTTTTGTAGTGAGGCTGTGGACACAGGCCGTCTTATCTTTTGACAAATGTATGGTTGTTTACATCTGCCTGTCTTGAGAGACAATGGAGTGTGCCCCTGGGGGTAAAGTCAAACCACTACATTAGCAGCACTCAAATTACCTCTTTGGGGGAGCAAACCTGGGCAGTGTGTATGGAGTTCCTGGCCTGCCCAGATGACAAGAACCCCCCTTTCAGCCTCACTGATGTGGTCCAAAGGAAAGCAGAGCAATACCAGCTTAGCTGCAGGGGTTTCTATGTTTTACGGCAATGCAACTTTATATTTAGTTCTTACACATAAATGTATAGCATTTAGAAAATGTCAGGCATTCTCTAAGTTTCAAATAATAATTTCCTTTAACAGGAGGGACTACAAAGTTTATGTTCAAACGCTTTTGAGACTTCAAGTATCTAATATTCAAACCAAGATTACATAAACTGCTTACATACATTCACCATTATTATTTAAGGCATTTTTCATTTCACCTTTTTGCTTTTTTCTCTCTCAGGTCCCGGAAGGGTTCATGTGGGCCTGCAATTGCTCCAGTAGATCCAGTGTAGTTTGAGCCTTATGCAAGAAAAAGTACAAGGCCAAATGAAATCTCTGTTCAGTGCCACAAGGCAATATTACTCCCCACCACCACAAACACACACAAAGCTGCAGTGCTTTTTCAATAGAGTAAGATGGCTCAATCTGTGCTTTCTATGCTTTAAGATGATTCAAAGCATACATTTCTGTCTTGATTACTAAAATGAAAGACATATCCTACTAAAACAAATAATTGTCAAATGCTTTTGCCTTAAGACTTTACTTTTTAAATACGATTGTGATAAAATCAAATCAAATGCACATTTGAATGATCATCACAAAGCAACAAAATCAACTAAGAATTCCAAATTGAAATGTGGAAATTCAGTATACAGTTAGACTGCTTAAACCCCAATTAACCTTACGAATTTAAGCAGCCTGTGGTGCAAGATTATTATCTCTCCAGTTTCAAGGGAGGGCAAAGAACTAGAATTATTGCTTTTTTGTGCTTAAATATTACCCACTGACCAGCTTTATGACATGTAAGAATATAAGGATTGTAAAGGTGTGGACACTTTTCTGGTATTCTAAGGCTGCAAAATTATTTAGTAATTTTATAGAATATATTCAGAGATGGGGAATTTGTCCTATCTTTCTCTAAGTTTCTATATGTTTTACAGCACTGCACCTTTATATTTAGTTCTCACACATAAAATTCCCACAAAGTAGACTGATCTTCTCCAAAGGCCACAAGACAAAACACATAATTTATATGTGAAATATCAACACCATGCCCACATTTTAAGGTCTCCCTCACTTTTGCTTTTTGTTCTGTTAAGAAAAACACTAGAGTCGCCACAAATCCTTGTCCGTTTTCCACTGATATTTTTTTAAGTCTCTTGTTAATCTGTGTTGTGTCTTGTGAGCCTTAATCTACACAAAAACAAATGCATGCTCCTTCCAATAGTATTTTTAATTCAACTCTATAGATTCTCCAATAAACTAAGAATGCAGTCTGAATAAAAATGCAGAGAATCTACCATGCATGTTAACTAAATATTTATAACAAACAATTATTCTGTCCTCTGCCAAATTTTAAAGCCAAAAAACGTTTTTTTCAATGTTGAAAGATCTGCACAGCAGAAAAATGCACCTAACCTACATTTGTATATTTAGTCAAGGCTGATCAAGCTTTATTCCCAAATTTGTGACCACCAATGTTTGAACTGATTCCAAATGATCCAGTGGAAGGAGCTTAAGAACTGGAGTTTTGCAGAAGCACAATTTGCCATATGTTAGTAGTGTTCATTAAAGGACAGAAATGTGTTAGTGAGATGGTGAGATGACAAGCTGTATAGTGAATTCTGCATTTGTGCAAAGAGCTTTGTATTTTATGCAGGCAGTATTGACTAAACATTTAAGAGAAATGTGTGACCTGTTTTATAGGATTTTAAGAATGTGCTGTAATGAAGGTGAAGAATCATATTACATAGCATTCCTCAGTATTACCAAAATGTACCCACATTTATTTGTATCTTAAAATGTGATGCTAGTAGTTTATTGGAGGATGTAGCTGCCTCTCACAAATATGAAAAGGGTTGGGTAAGGATTAAGATTGGCAGTATTTTTTGGAACAACTCAGTTTAATTATGTTGTGCTACACTGACTCCCTGTCAACCATTAGAAAAAGATGGCCACCAACTGACCATTAGAAAAAGATGGCCACCAACTGACCACTTTCAGGCTGAAATTAAGTATTTATATGTACACTATAATATTCAAACAAATTTTATTCTGGAACTTGGCAACTGATCATTTGCATGAATTAAATTACTCAAGCAGATGTGTTCAGTTTCTGTTAAATTAGTATCAGTAGAGGAAGTACAAAAAACTACTTTAATAATTCATTTTTATTAAATGGCATCAGGGCTGGAATACTGTATCCCTCATTTTAGCAAATATTATAGCTACCTATTTGTTAATTAAGTTTGCACTCAGCTCTTACAGTGTATGTAGTAGGTGAGCACTGTGTAACATAAATAGAGACAGGTGTGGCGGCTACATAGCAACACAATCTAGTAACCAGTTCACATAAATTGGAGGTTCAAAAATAGGTTTCCTATTGGTACTCAAAGAAGTACATAACATCAGTGGGTGGGTGTCTATTTTGGGTTACTGCTATTATAACATTAAGAGCAACTGAAGAAGCCTTGCTGACCTCCCGCTTCTCACTACACATGGTGGTTTAAAGGGCAAAACATTCAAAGAGCCCTGCTTACCAAAATTAAATTGGGAGAATACTTAGAAAAGTAACTGTTTTAATAAATTGGTTTTCATCTTCCAAATTATCAAAAGCTAAACCAACCACAACCTTCTGTCAGTGTGGCACCCCAATTCTTTTACACTAGAATTGTCGTGCTCTGCAGATAATGGAACTATTTTCTGCCAAGGTTATTAGGTTTATTCATTTATGTGAATGAGAATAAAGTCAGGAAAAGTAACTTATGGAAGAAAGTTAGGGAGGAAGCACTAGAAATGGAAAAATAGGCTTCTGCTTCAACTCTAGGCAGCCAGTGCTAGAAGCATCAATATATGCTTATTGACATTGTTTATAAGTTAATTTACCTCTCCCCCCTGAATCTTCAAATATACACCCCTAACATTTCAAATACTGTTGTTGGGTAGTACACTCTTAAAGCCATTTGCACATGAGATACATGCCAAATAAGCAGAAGGAAAACATCTTCCCATTATTAACAAACCAGACACACATGTCCTATTATCATGAGAAACATGTGGCTCAGAAATGTGAAAGCACCATGGACCCAGTGAAAATAAGAAACAGTAGCTGAAAAGAGATACAGAACAAAAGCCAAAACCAACAGTACTTTTATCTGGTTGGATGGGGATTTTTTTTCAATAAAAAAAATCACTTTTCTTTCATTATATGAAAGTAGGAATTACAGAGAGTTTGGTAAGAAAATGGAAAGACCACACACATTTAAAAATAGGATTTACAGTAGCACATCAGCACTGAAGTCGGACCACCATGCTTAGGACAGTGATCAAGTGAGATATAATCATGAAGTGATTTTGTTCAGAACACCATAGCGGGAAATGTGGAGAGAGTTTCATACAGAAAAGATTCTTAATTAAAATTTTGCGTCTACCTTTTGAGCTGCTGGGATTGATGAAACTCGGTTTGTTTGGTAGGGGAGGGGGCTGGCTCGTTTTGAAAGCAGTACTGTTGGCATTGACCGAGGATGGCTGGAATGAGTTGGAAAGAAATATGCCATCTGAGGCTGGGCGTGGCTGGCGTGAGGGCTGCTGTGGCTTAAGGCTGGCAGGAGGAAGGACACCATAAGACTTTCTTGTACTGGAGTACTTATCCTGACCTGCTGCTAGACAGGAATCCTCCTCCTCCTCATCATTGTATGAAACAAACTTGGCAGTATAAAGCGTATCTGGGGAGAGGACCTGTGTTTTGAGGTAAGAGGTGTTTCGCTGAGGTGGGGGAGGAGGAGCATTAGATGAAGGGGGCAAGGGTGGGAATTCATATTCCCGTGGAAGCGGAGGTCTGTACAGACCAGGCTCATCGGGCTCCAGCAATCTCCGTTCTGCCTCATCATGCTGACGGCGCCTTTCAGCTTCCAAGCGATTGTAATATTCTTCTTCTTGTCGCCTCTGTTGGCCCAAAGGAAACAAATGGTCAAACAAACATCGGAGAAGGCCATTTTTATACCAACAAAATAAAACTCAGTTTCTTATACCCAGTAAATTTGCAATGCTTACTATTATAAATTATTTACAAGCTTTGTCAAATGTTGAGTAATCTTTGCACTTAAGACATGGTACATATTTTCACAGAGAAAATTAAACTTAAACATTACCAAACATTGCACAGAGTTTAAAGGAACGGTGCACACATAAGGCAAAATACAACTGATGTAGAATTCTACCTTGCTTTTAATGAGAAGAAAACCAGTAGCTCACTAAAGTTTACCCATCCTTTTCAAGTTATCACTTTAAAATTGTATTGGCATTCATTGTTTTGACAGTATACTGCTCTAGAAATTAGGTATCGCTCTACCCTGCCAATTCTATAGAGCTTCTTGAACTGTATTCTAAGGTGTCTGAAGCACTGTATATACAGTACAACTTCTTTGAATTTAAATGATTGAACAGATATTACTCCCTTATTTAAGCTGATACTGAAGGGAAATAGTATTTCCTGTCTCTATTGACAAATAACATACTGAACATATGTTCAATATAGAGTGAAAGTTAATGCCAAACTTTAACTTGCACATACATACCGGACCAATGAAAACAAACATTACGATTCAGTTTACCATTCAACTGATAGTGAGAAGTTTTATACTTAATGAGCTTTGTTACCTGCATTCTCTTAAAAGACAATCCACACAATGGACTGAGGACCTGGCAAGAGCCCATACCCCTTCATTCCTTTCTAATACAAAAATCCCCCATCTCTCTCAATCATTCTTTGGAACAGTAAAGGGAGCCATTGAAGCAGTACTATTCAACCATGGTTCAATTTTACATTTGTCCATTCATTGCTAATCATGGTTAACTACAGGCCGATTCAGTGAACGTTTTTTGAGATGGGAAAGAGTTGTTCATATATAGATAGGAATTCAGCCTACTCCCTAAATCATGGTTGTTACATCTGCACTGCTCCTTATGAGATTGTTGCTAACAGCTCAAAACTTTTAATCAGTGAAACTACATGGTTAAGGATCCTGTTAGCTATGGTGAGAATGGACCAACAAGATTCTGAATCATATTGGCAGTGGGTGGTTATGGAGAACTTGCACACAAGAGGGAGGTGAACGGTGAAGAAAAGAGCACCTATGTGCCCTTCGCATGGAATTCTACAACTTCATACCTTGCCTGATGGCTCTTCCCTCCTTTGAAAAGCTTAAAAATATTTTTTCTCTTAATTTTTAAATCATCTTTAACCTTTTTGCCACTTTCATTCTTTTGTTCTAACCACCTGGACTGAATTTCATCTTGAATCTCTCTCATTGTGCTAAATATTCAACAACCTCGTAATATATTTATTTTTGCATTTGTCCTATATATCTTGCCATTTATTAAGCCTGCCAATGGGGTCTGCTTCTTGATTTTAGCTAGCATACGGCATCCAATACTTGTTAAGCACTATAAAAGTAGCAAGCAATGCAGTAACTCTCAAGGTTTGTGCACATAGAGCTAACCTGTTCTACAGCAGCATAAAATAGGGTGTCCATCCACCATTCATTAAAAATTGAATTCTTAGCAGTCAAGCATACAAATATTTTTTGCTTCACTCAAGGGGGTCATAACCTTTTGTTCAGCCTCTCGCTTTGTCCGCTCCTCCTCTTGGCGCCGGCGTTCTTCTTCTTGCCTGGCCCTGTCTTCTGCTTCCCTTTTACGCATTTCTTCCAACTGCTGCTGCCGTCTACGCTCTTCATCCTGTAGCTAACAAAGATCTGTCTTCAATTTTTTTCCCCCAAATAAGGGCAAATGAATCCTTAGGACAGAAATTCTGAAGAGAAACTCTTGGTTTGTTCATTTTTTAAAAAAACCATAGTCCAACACAGGTGTTATTTTGTCACTGCTAAAGCGGAAAATTTTGGTCATGGGATGAGGATCAGTATTTCATCTTAAAATTCTGGAAAATTACTACTGTTTTTTACTGAGAGAAAAGAAATGTGCAGAGGAATTTCTTTTCTTCCTCCTGTCCCTAGAGAACATGCATGTTTCTTCTCCACAGTTTAACTTCAGTCATTTGTGAAGGTTGTTAATGTATTGCCCTTCAGGTGTCATTACACTACAACTGCCATCAACCCCAGGCAGCATGGCCACAATTAGGCATGATGGGAGTTGAAGTTCAACAGCATCTGGAGAGCAGCCTTTGGCTAAATCTGTGGGAAGGGAATGCAAGCGACTTACACTTGTTTTCTATACCACTACACTGCTGTGATGGCTGGAGGCTTGCAGCATCTCCCCACCCAAACCAACATCTAATGTGGGGCAAGTTTCTGCTCCCCACGAAAGAAGATACCAAAGGTCCATGTTGGAGAGCACAATGATACAAACACAAGAAGAACCAGGCACTTGCTGTTTTTTACTCATTTGTAATGGTGAAATTCTCAGAGCTAATCTCAGCTTGAAATCAACATCTCTTTATGAAACTGCTGGTCCACTTGAAAGCAGAACGTAAGGACAGGGGAAAATTAGGAGTTTTAAATCAATGTGGATTTGGAAGGTTCAAAAGGCACACAACTGCTGTAGTGATCATCTCCATCATGTCAATATCTATACCACCCTTCATCAAAAGATCTCAGGGCAATGTACAATATTAGAAACACATTACAAAACACCAATGATAAAAAACATAATATAGTAAAAAGCATACTGACAGACACATAATAGTAAAATAAACATAATACTAACAGTCCTCTCCCCCACACTTTTACAGGGCACAGATTATTTAATAGCCATAGGCCTGGGTAAAGAGGAATTTGCCTGGTGTCTAAAGACATGTAATGATGGCACTAGATGAGCCTCTCTGGAGAGAGCATTCCATAATTGAGGAGCCACCACAGAAAAGGCCCATTCTCTCTCTATATTTATTATATATAATAATTCAAAAAAAATTCCTCTCAACTTTTTCACCCCCTCATTTCACCTCATTTTACACCAGGGATCGCTGGGGTCTTCCAGATGTTGCTGGATTACACCTCCACCAGCCTCAGCCAGCGTGGCTAATGGGTACAAATGATGGGAGCTGCAATTCGACAACATCTGGAGCACAGCAGATTAGCCACCCCTTTCCTAAAGTGCTGATGAGCTAACTGAATGAGCAGTGAAATGCTTTATAGTGTAAATGTATAGATGTACAATATTTTGGTAAATCTATCTCTTTCCTCTCACTTGCCTCCCCCCTCTCCAACTGGTCTGTGGGTCAGCAGGCATACAGTGTTGGAGGGAAGGTTTGTTTCTAGCTCTATTCAGCTTTTGAAAATGGCACTAATCCTACTAAAAAAAACCAGCTATGTACTTTACAGTGTAAATTAGAAAAAGAACTTGTTAAAAAACCAGGAATTACATGTGTTTGTCCACCAGGTATGCAAGTCAAAAGGCACAGATCCCTTTGCCCATTTAGTTTTAAAAAATGGCACTAGAATTGATCTAGCCTTGACAGCCTGCCCAAGTGAATAGCTATTTAGAGTAATATCTTTGGTTCTTCTTGACATTGCATAAGGATTTCCACAGTGAAGGAACCATTTGCAGTCATTTAACGTGAAAAAAATCATGTGAATAAAGTGCATGGTAAGTGCAAAAGTATTCACTCATGTTCAAGGAGGGCCTATTTCTGCACAGCAGATCATCTTACATTACTGGGAAGATTTTACAGAAGTAAAATGATTTCAGAAAGTGTCCTTGAAGAGATATGTGGATATTATCTAGTTAAGAACCTGTCAGAAAATGTCATGAAAGAATAAAGGAGAACTACTGGACTATGTCCCACACTGCTGAAAGTCACAAATTGTGAATGCCAAAGTGTCATAGTGGTGTTACTCTAAAGAGAAGCTTCAAAATAAATTAAATGGGATAGGGAGAAAAAAGTTTTTAACTATAATTCATCATCATAAGCCTACCAATGTTAGGTAGTTTTAAGTTCTATGGATTCCAATAAGACAGTGAAACAGGTGCTTAAATCTCTTCCCTTTAAATATGTGGAGTGACATAGGTTAGATTGTGTTCAAAAATCCAGAAACAGAAAATTTTCTATAGAGTTATTTTAACATCTATACACTGGTTTTGTTTGAGGAAAAATAAAAATAAAAAATGCTGGTGAAAGGAAACTACAATGTGCCAGCCAGATCACAAGCTGTATCACAGGGCAAACAGAAGTAAGAAATGATCAGGTGATCAGGGTACAGAGAACCTCATTTCTGCCTCATAAAACAGCTATATATCATGGAAAGCCTGCTGAGATGCATAATTCTGTCTATATTATAATGCTGTTAGCTTCTGACACAATATTGTTACTTACTAGCAGCATATCCCTTACTGATCAACTAAGGGGTTATTTTTATACAGATATTTAGAATAACTATAAATGAGTTCCAAACTTTTTACTTCAAGGTAGCATTCCAAAAAGCAAAGCACTAAAGCAAATAGTTTCTAGGAAATTAATGTGAATGCCAAACTATCCATCATGGGAGCAAGAAACGATAAATGGTTTAGAAGTTGAATATTGAAATGGTTAGAATAAATTTAATTAAATCTATGGTTTGCGGGACAAGGGAGTAACAACAATAAAAAAGAAGGGAGCCATTCAGTCCCAGCTACATATAATGTTTATCAAAGCTAAGGGTTATTTTTGGAAAATGTTAGATATATTATTCCTATAAATGGTCGGACACAGCTGCAAACAATTCAAAAATGCAAACAGAACACAACTTTTAAAGAATAAAGGCAGGAGTGGGGAAAAGCTAGGAACATACCTCAAGCAACGGCTGTGTGCTTGCTTACAGCCCTTTAACACATTACACCCTGCCATAAAGCACTTAGAAAGCAATATCCAATGCATATTGGATCATTATTAATTAAAAAGAAGAAAAGGATAAAAAGCAGTAAGAAAAAGGCATTGAAGAGAAAGAAATAAGAACATACCAAATCTAGAACAGAGATTGCTGGCATAGCAGTCTGCTGCAGGTAATAAGAGAAGGAAAAAGAAAGATGCTCAGTGAAAATAAGGATAAATTTAGATTTGCACTATGCCAAAAGCACTTTGATTTGTTACTACAGCTGTATAAAAGGAAAAATGAAAAGTACTGTTTGATAAGCTAATGTGGAATTGGTGAACATTTCTAAATAAATCAGTAAAAAATAGTTTTAAAAAGCAAGTTATTTCTGTAAACTGTGTCCTTTAAGATAGAAAACACAGTCCATCTATAAGTGGATAAAGAGCTATACAATTTTTATTGCAAAAAAGCAGCCAATTAGTTACCTCAATTTAAAAATATTTGGTTATTAGAGATGGGGGATAATATTTCTAAAACGTACAAAATGTAAATTTATCAGTCCTAGTGGAAAGGAATGATTTAGCAGATGTTATGCAACAGAGATGACCACCTAACAAAGAATTATAATGCAGATTTTAAAAGAACAAGATTAATGTGTTAGATAACCCAAAATAAAGAATTTTGTTTTTAAATGATATATTAATGTAGTTAATAAAGCTGTGTGACAAAACAAGAGGCAGCAACCACAAGATACCATATAATGAATCTGTCGAGGACACACTTAGCTTTAAGAAACTGATTTAAGTTGCAGTGTAGAAAAGTGAGCCACAGCAGAAAAATAAAAATAAAGCAACGCTTTCATTGAGAAAATGCATAAAATGGTTGCCTTGGAAAGCAAATGCTTTTCACTGTGGCAAAAGCAGCATAATTTATAGACCAATTATTTACAAATCTTTAAAGAATTGCACTACTTTTAACTTTCATCACTGTCAAGTACAAAATCCTTGAGTTAGTTTATATGCTGCTGCATGAAAAAAGTTTCTGTAAGTTTTTAATCAGTTTCTGTAGTTTTGTGTTTTCACCAATGAAAGAACCACATCATCACTCTTGTGGAATTAAAAATCCAAATCATGCTATGCATTTTGACAGATGAAACATGAACATAAAATATGTTGTGGCATTGGCTTCATGAATGTACAAAAATCAAGCAGAATTAAAACTAGGCTTACTTAAAAAAAATACAGGTGACAGTCCTTCACTTTTTGCCCTTATGGACAACTATATATGTATGCAATCATATACTAGACTTAAACAAAGCAGGGATCAACATCTATTTATTAGAAAGGATGTCTAATTTTCCTGTCATTCCCTTGCTATTTGGGGGGCTGGGAGTAGGGAGGGAACTGGAAATAGAGCTATCTTCAGCTCAAGCTTTCCAGTTAGTAGCTTATAATACACCACTTACTTGGACAAAGTCAAAACAGATTAGACCAAACTTCATTATATACAATGAAAGACAGGGACAATAAGAGAGTCCAGTCCTCCTTTATCCTGTGGTGATATCTAAGGTGTTTTTTTAGGCTAACAGACATTTTAGAATACAAACAGCTTATTAAAAGGATTCTCTCATTTTACCCTTGCTCTTCTCTCAGCTTCCAGTCGCTGCATAATCAGCATAGTATCAATATCATCATCTTCTTCATCGTCCTCATCATCATCTTTTTGCTTTGACTCTTGGAGTCGTTTCTGGAACTGCCACTCCAGCATGAGCTTGCGCAGGCGGTCATTCTCTTCAGCTGTTCTATCTGGCTTATTCTGAAGATCCTGAATCTCTTTGCTCAGCATGTCTGCAATGTGCATCTGCTGCTGCTTCTCCAGCTTCTCCTTCGCATCTCGTTTCCAAGGGTCAGGAGATAAACTATCAGTAGAGGACAACTCTTCTTTGCTGATGGTGATGTACTGCAGATCTCTTCGCTCAATGGTTCGGGGTTGCTGCTGGGGCTGTAATTCTCTAATGACGGTTTCCTGGGGTCTCTGCAATGTTGAAGGCTTTTCTGGTTTCACCTGCTGAACTGAAACTGGAGGAAGTAGGGACTGCGCAGGAATTAGTGGCTGAGAACGCATTTGCCCCAGTTTTCTTTCCTGCTCCCGACGCTTCCTGTCTCGCTCTTCCTCCAAACGGGCTTTCTCTTTTTCATACCACCTTTGATGTTCTTCTCTCTTTTTGCGTTCTGCAGCAGCAACCTGAGATGATGACTGTGGCCCCAACTGGCTTGGAGGTGGCGGCGGGGGCGGAAGAGGCAAATCCATTTGCAGCCCATCAAAGTCAGTTGCATAGTGCACTGGTGGAGGAGGGGGAGGGGGAGGAAGGTCTGTTCTGGTGGACTGGGAAGTCACTAGTGATACTGGTTGAGAAACAATAGGAGTTTTCCAGCGACCAGGTCCAGTTTTGGTTAAAGAAGAACCAGGGGGAATAGATTTAGAGGAATGGTTTAGATGCTCTTGGCTTGATGTGCTAGAATCCACAGAAGAATTCATCCATGGATCACTGTCTGATTTGCGATCAATATATTCCACATCTTTTCGTATGGCAACTTCTAGTCGACTCCTTTCTGGCTGATAAACTTTATCATCTCGTAGTTCCTCCTGAGAACGTGTTACACGCTTGAAGAAGGAAAAAAAGTTTTCACATGTTAGAATTCATGTACAGAAAAAAATTACCGAATGACAGTTTATAGCATTCTAGAGTGATGATGAAATGCTTACTCACTTTCCTGTAAAATCAACACTTTCATAAACAGCATGTTGCAACAGTTCCAAGTACTGCATACAGGCTTTCATTCCAAACAAGTTATGCAAGCTCTAGAGGTCTGTGAGCTTTGATACACGATTACGAAATTACTTTGGGAGGAGAAAGAACAGCAACCTAATTTAGGCTGTATACCCATTCTCACAGAGAACTCACAACAATGCCAAACTGAAACTACTTCCAGCTCTGAAACGTATTCCCATAGAAGATGTAGGGCTAGCAGCTTACAAGAAGAACTGAAGCACAGTAACTTATCTAGTCCTGCCTCCAACTGCTGTGACAAGCTTTTATTATAATCACAATTAACCCTAAGAGCAGCACAGGAAGTGGAACCATCTGTTCACTTTACTGTATTTCCCCACTCCTTCTCATAGTTATATAGGGCAGGAAAACATCTGATCATTAAATCCCTGGTAAAATATTCCATCTTCACAGATATGCTGCATTTAGATCACTGTGAAGTTCTCCAGCATTAAGTAAAAACACAACCACTGCACAGCATGCAATACCATTTGATAATAAGGCACCACATACCTTAGAAGCTCCAATGAAACCATCTATAAATTTTAATTTTAATTCAAAATTCCTTAAGTGTTCCTTCCAAGATTTATTTTAGGCACAAAGTTGACCAGATGCAAAAGAATCGTAGTTAGAAACTATGAACAAAGGCAACTTATTTGGTGCTTCTCTATCAATGACCTTAACCATGACCTAGAAAGAATGCATTGTTTGGAATGAAAGCATTTCTTATGCTCTATTAGTTCAGAAGCACTGAACACAAAGCAACTTGTGTAAGATGCACTGTGAAAACGCTACTAGCAGATTGCTAATGACTTGGGTATTTAAAAGCGAACACAACTTAAACAGGCATTTTATGGTTTGACAATAGTTAATGCAGTCTTTGAATACTAAACTGCATTTACAGTCACTCTTAAGACACAAACCTTTGGCAAAAGTAATGTTTCCAGTATTATTTACTATTGCTATGTTTCAAACATCAACTCTAAATATATATTGTCAAGTTTTCATATAAGATGCCAGTATGTATGGAACCTTTTCTTAGCAATTTAGATATACTGTGAACCTTTAATTTCTAATTTTAAAGCTAACCAAATAACAAATAGCAGCTGTAACAAACCAGAGATATTTTTACGGGTACTAAATATTAGGGGACCAATAATCTTATTATTCCATACCACAACACCAAAACCATTCAGTTAACTTAGTTGATAAAAGCAAATTTCTAACCTGCATTGCAACACTGATATAATGATTACTTTCAGGTGGAATTTGGGGTTTCTCTTCATAACTCGACCACTGATTCTGAGCCGGACCCATTCGATCCTGGGATTTGGAGGCTGGGAATGTGAAATATTCTCTGGTGTAAGTTTGTGTTGGGATAGGATATGCTTCAGGTCTGGATGGTAGTATCTGTTCCTGTATAAATATAGAAAGATCATTTACATTTTTGTACCTATTAAAACACACCACACTGTGATTTTTATATATATATATATATGGTAAATGTTTTTTTGCTTGCTACTTCTAACCTCTGTGCAAAGATTTCCAGTAGACACTGATGTTATCTTGTTAGTGGTTCCAGCTGCATATGCATTCTTGGTCCCAGGACTTGGAGGCTGGTCTGTTGAGGGGGGAAAAAAATTAAACCACCTTTGTTGCCTACACAAGAGAACTAATTCAAACTAAGAGAAATAACAAGGCTGATAAACTTGTTTGCTCCTCTTAAATAATGTAAGAAAAATAGTATATATAATTTGTTTCACAGCTAGCTATTCAGGGGTGGAATAACTAGCCTACTGTACATATTTATGACTACTGTATTTTTGTTATATTATGTATATTTCTTCATGTTGTAAGCTGCCTTGAGCATAGTTTTAACTATGGAAAGGCAACATACAAATCAAATGATGTATGCATGTACTTAGGGGTCTCAGTACAGTGGTACCTCGGGTTAAGAACTTAATTCGTTCAGGAGGTCTGTTCTTAACCTGAAACTGTTCTTAACCTGAGGTACCACTTTAGCTAATGGAGCCTCCCACTGCTGCCATGCTGCTGCTGCCCAATTTCTGTTCTCATCCTGAAGTAAAGTTCTTAATCCGAGGTACTATTTCTGGGTTAGCGGAGTCTGTAACCTGAAGCATTTGTAACCCAAAGCGTTTGTAACCTGAGGTACCACTGTACATAATTTTACATAAACATATACCCACTACAACAGGTTCCTGAAAGCCTCTGATTTCTTCTTTGGCTCACCTCTTGTCCCAGGCACTTACAAGCTGAATGATGGCCTGTGAGGACTCACAATCTGATGTAATGCGTTGGGCGTTTCATAACATCTGTGGAGGCCTACCTTCTTTAGAATTTAGCCCCTGTAGCTAACTATCAAATTTTTATTCCATTCATTTTCAGAGCATTTCAGTCCTCTACAGAAACATGGTCCATATAAACATCTTTAAACCATTTCCTGCTTACTTGCTACATTGGGACTAGATCGGTGATCAGCTCGGTTTTTCATCAGTCTGTCATCCCCTGGCAATTTCTTTGGTTCATTATATTCTGTCCAAGGCAACTGGGGGCTCTCAGGGGACCCATTCTGAGCAGAGTTGTTATATAGCTCAAATCCTTCACTCTTTGGTCGGGGTTTACCTGAGCCACGGCGGTCTGAAACTCCAGAAAGAGAGAGAAGTTGTATGAGAACAATCATTGCTTAACTTCTCATATGATTACTGCTTGGATTCAAAGCTGCCGGAACCTTGAAGTCATTCCCCTAATCCCAGATGAATGAAATTGGGTGAAGGGAAGTGAATTGAGAATTTGGACTTAACTGTGAATTTGCCTGCTGTGTGCTGGTCAAATGGGGCTTTAGCCACTGGACACTCTCCTTTCTATTACTAGGAGGAAGGTTCTTTGAAGACAAGCTCAGACAGATGCTAAACTATGAAGCACCTCCTGCTTCCTTCTTAAGGTGAATTAATACTGAGGTGGTAGTATCTCACGCAAAATGAAAGTGGCTTCTAAATGAGAGATGAATCAGGAATCACTTGAATTACAGCTCCTTCCAAGCCAGTGAAATTAACAAATGAACAGAGCTGCCACACAATCTGTATTTACTGGGCCAAAATAAATGAAATGCAGTATTCTCACTCCTATCCAAGTTGGGGAAGCACATAGTCAGGGCAAAAGCACAGGTGTTGCATGCATTGTGTTCTATGTTCAACCCCAGCATCTCCAGCTAAAAGTATATTATGCAGCGGGTATCTGCAGAGTTGCTGCCAGTCAGAGTAGGCAGTACTAGGCCAGATGGATCAGAGGTCAGACTCAATATATGTTTGCCAAACAGTACCAACCCATAGAAAATGTTTTAATCTAATCTTCAAAACGCTTGACAATCTTGACTGTTTTGTCCTTTCAAAAGGTTATTATCATTCCTCAAATTTAACAGAGAAGGAAACAGATTAAGAAATAGTCTCATTCCTTTTGGGGAACAACCCTCAACACATTTAACACTGCAGTCCTTCAGAGAAAGAATAATGAGTGAATTAGGCTGTACTATGTTTATTCAAACACAATTTCTAGAAAGCATGGAGATTTAAGATTGGTTTTCACCCAAAAATGTATGCGGACAAAAATATTTCAAGTTGTTTACCTCTTTGCATCATTGGAGACGGCTGGTTAAGCAAAGTTGCTAAACCATGATAAATTGCTCCTTGTTTTGCTACTTCTAGCGTCACTACTGATCCTGTTCTTGTCATCAGCTCTGCTGCCCTGAGGTAAGAGTTAAATAAAATTAATTAAAAAATACTAAAATTGACAGTAGCAAGATAGTACTAAAGATCAAAGAGAAAGTACACAAAATATAAGTTTTTCAGATAAAAGATAAAACTAATTTGTTTAAAATAGTAATATTTGGAATAAGGGCCTTTTTATGAACCATGAGTAGAATGAAATTTCATCTAATGTCTTGCACGCTAAACAACTCATCCAAACTTCCTCTAAGTAAAAAAAACCCCACACACCACACTAAAAATTGCCGGTTTATTTTCTAAAGCAGAAATGGCACAAATGATTGTCTTTAAAACTGCAAGGACTGCAAGCTTTAAATCAAATACAGGATTTAATCACAGACTTTGGGAATCAGAATTTTCTGAGGCACTCTGAGCTACTATCAGTGGTACTGCAGCAGAAAAGGGTACACTAGTGTTGTTGTTGTTTTGATTGGCTGGGTTGCCAATCTGTGCAATCCCACTTCTGCAACTGTGGCAAAAGGGCTCAATTTTCCCTGTATGGCTCTAATAGAAGCGCTACAAGTCTGTGAAACAGTCTGGCAGACCAAATAGCATAGAGATGAAAAGCGCAGTCACTTTTCTCAGGACAAACCAAATGCCTCCTACAATTCAAAAAACCCAGAGCCATTGCAAGTCACAGCACTACACTACACAAGTTTGAGTGAGCAAATGTGTCTCAACATCTATGGCATGACCAGTGACAGAGGAGGTTGAGAATGGAATCTATGTCAATCAAATCAAGGGGTGTAAAAGATGAGAGGAAAAGTCCTATGTGATTTATAACCACACCACTCTTCTACAAACACATAAAAGCATGACATACCTCTCTTGGGATAGTCCAACCAAACTGCGTCCATCCACACTAAGTAACTGATCCCCTGCAGCTAGACGGCCATCCTGGTTAAATGTTTCATAAGACAAAGGTACATTATACAGTAGGAGATTAGCCAAGCTAAGCTGTGTAGTTTATAACTATTCAAAATTAATCACTGAAATTTTATTAATTTTGTAATTAAAGGTACTACTAACCACATCTGCAGCACCACCTTTGACCACAGACTTGACATAGATTCCAAGTTTATCTTGACCAGCGCCCTAGAAAGAGATAAAACAATTCTTATTACAAATGCACAATAAAGATTGCTTTTTCTGACAAGCAGCAAATCCTGCCATTGTCCCCACATTAATCCCTTCCCACCCCATGCAACTACTAAGCTTGCTTTTCACCTTCCCAACCACACTTATGAAGCCACTCTCTTCTGTTCTGCAGTTCTGCTTTGCAACCATTTTCATCTTCACTCCCAGATCCATGCCTCCTCCTCTTCCCCCTCCTTTCGTGCATCCCCACTGCACATCCTGCTAACCCGCATCTTCCTCTTCCCACACATTGCAACTACTAAGCACCCTTTTCGCTTCCCACCCCATTATGAAGCCATCATCCCCTCCTATTCCACAGACCTTTCATGCAAATGCTTTCACCTGCATTCCCACACCTCTTATTCCTTTTCGCAGCTCTCTGCATTCCCATTTTCACCTTCATCTTCTTTTTCCTATCTCCCTCTTCCTAATTTTTTCAACTCTCCTTTGCACATAGATCATCCCATTTCCATGCCTTCTCCTAGTTAAAAGCCCCCTTTGCATTTTCCCCTCCTCCATGATAATGTATGTTACTGTACCTTTAAGATGAACAGAATTTTAAGCCTGTCAGCTGGAGAATGTTAAGTTCAGTTGATTGATATTGCACACATATGAGTGTTTGCTTGATTAAAAACCCCATTTTCCTGTCAGCTCCCTCCTACCTTGCTTTACTCAAACTTCTGTTACTTTAAACCATCACTTCATATTTTCTCCCCTATCCCATCCCGAATTAATGCACATTCAGGATTGGGACGCAAAACTACAAATCCTCCAACAGGGGCTGTGTGATGACATTATTTACATTTTGTTTTATTATACAAATAGAAATATAGGAGTGTGATGATATTGCAGTTTCGCTTAACAATTTACCCACTGATAACTAAAATATAAAACTATTTGATATAAGTATCTCACTGACCTCTATGACCATCCCTGTAAGGGCAGCCAGTATCACAATACTTATATTACTGATTGGCTGGTGGGCAGAGGAACTGAGGGGAAGATATTAGGTGGTCCAGGGCAAGACAATGCAAGTTCATAGTTGAACTGTGAGGTGAACAAGTACTGACAACTCTTAATTCAGACTCTTCAACAGCTATATCACACTATATCCCTGGTTATTTTGTTAGCTTGCAATTTCTTAGACAGAAGCCCTGCTGAATTTATGTGAGTTGCATAGCATGTGTATTGTTTAATGGCTTCTAAAGCTGAAATGCAAGAATATACTTCTGTGAATGGTACGTGCTAACATTTGCAACCAGTATTAATCCCAACTTTCCACAGCTTCTTCCTTTTGCTTCAAATTCCTTAACAGAACCCTTGATTTCGTAAACCGCAACAAGTGTGGCAGAAGCAAAGGCACATTAAGAAATGTGAAGCAGAAGGAAGAAGTTGCGGAAGGTGAGGTAAAAAGTGCCTTATTTGAACTAGTTGCATCTTGCATAGCATTCTTCGTCAAACCTAATTCTTTGAAGTTGTAAAATCATGACAGGACACCAATGCTGCCCTTCTTCCAGAAGACACAATGTGAGTTGATGCTACGGCAGCCAAGTAGATGTGTGTCTGCTTATCTAAACAGACTTTAGCCACATCAGGTGATTTCAATAAAATATATGTTATGAAGGTTCCCTCACTGCGAAAAGTGAAGTTACAGGGAACCAGGCAGAGGGTCTTCTCAGTAGTGGCACCTGCCCTGTGGAACGCCCTCCCATCAGATGTCAAGGAAATAAGCAACTATCTTACTTTTAAAAGACATCTGAAGGCAGCCCTGTTTAGGGAAGTTTTTAATGTTTAATGCTGTATTGTGTTTTTAACATTTGGTTGGGAGCCACCTAGAGTGGCTAGGGAAACCCAGCCAGATGGGCAGGCTATAAATAATAAAATTATTATTATTATTATTATTATTATTATTATTATGTGCCAACCCTCAATATACCAATCTTATCTTTAATATCTATACAGCACTTAGAACACTTTTTATACTTTGTAAGTATTAAAATAGATTCTAAAGCAAGAGAACTCATCTGTAACAAATTTACTTCCATACATACATGTGGTATAAGTATGGGCATACATATACATATAGTTCCGTATGTACTATATGTATAAGTCAGACCACTGGTCTCTTTAGCACAATACTGTAGACACCCAACTGTCAGCGGAACTTCAGGCAGACTCCATCACAGCCCTACCTGGAAATGGTGGGGATTGAATGTGGGATTATTTGCATGCAAAGCATGTGCTCAACCAGTGGACTATTGACTTTACCTAGCTAGGAACCTTCCTCCGCTATATATGCATGCTCAATTTGCTGCATAACTTTTGTCTACATAGAAGGTAGAAAGGACTGTGCATCTAACTGTCAGAGGGGCACTTGTATGTTTTGTCCATTTTTTAAATCTCCATGTGGAAAATAGAACTCTGAGTGATCTCTCAAGTGTCAGAGAAGAGTAGCCTGATGTTCTGTAAATGTTACAAATCCTTCCATTCATGGAAAGGAGTTGCAATTCAGTGGAGGCTCCCACTCATGGAAGTGGTTTGTGATTTTTTGCAAATTCCCTGCCTCACTGCTATCCTCCAGAGCAAATGTTCACAGTCAGTGAGGGAAAGGGCAACTGGGGGAAACCACCTCTCTTCTGTGAGTGTAATACTGCTCATAGATCTCTGGATCAAAGGCACTCAATTCACACTGTAATCAGGCCATTTACTTTTCCCATTTGGGCTATAGTGGCTCTCTTAAAAGCTTGTTTCTGAGACATAGCAGAACAGAAAGTGAGAATGATATAAAGCTTTTCCCATTCTTTCTATACATTCTTCTTCCAGAAACTGCTAAACAGTATGATGTGACAATATCAGCCACTAATCTTATTTGAAAATCTGAAGTAGTGGAAGCTGGAGTTGGTGAGAGCATGGTGCTGATAACACCAAGGTTGCAGGTTTGCTCCCCATATGGGACAGCTGCATATTCCTGCAGGGGGTGGACTAGATGATCCTCAGGGTCCCTTCCAACTCAAGCTTCATTCTTCTTTTATCCCATCTTAACATAAGCTTCGGAATCCAGAATAAGGGTAGCTATATTAGTTACAATTCATAAAAGAATTAGGTGCTTGAGGCTGCAATCCAAAATGCAGCTATCATTACTTTACATTACTATCATTACTTTAACATATTACTTTTAAGTAAACATACATAGGATTGTTTGTAAGTATGCAGAACTGTTAGACTGTGAACATCAACAATACATGAAAGGTTAGATGAAAGCCGTTTGTTGAAAAATCCATTTTTACATAAATCAGTGGTTTAATGCTGTATTGCACTTTCCTAGTGCAATGATTTTCTTTCTACTATTGTCATTGATAATAGATATTTTCTCCATCATTACTTGAAAGAGTTATTGAGCTTTCCTTTCCAATATCAAAGTACAGGCATAAAAACAAAACACTGCTTTATAGCAAATGTTTTGACTTTTCCTTGTGAAAAGTGGTGACTGGCACTGAGAGAAAAATGTGCGTTTCAACCATGATTGTGTTTAGGTCAATTATGCCATCAAGTAGTTCAATATCAATACTTAGAGCAATTGAAATGACATGTAAATTAGCTAAAGGAACCTCTACAGAAATAAATATATTGAAGTCAGTTAATTTTATTCTTATTTAGTATTTAGAATGTCAATTTTAATATGTTTTAGCATTCTTCACACAGCAAAATCACAAGATTTATAAAGATATTTCTGGATTATGGATAGAAGGAAAAGCCCACATCTTACATTATTCATAATCTTTCAATAGTAAATGAAAAAGTTCACTTGGCAGACTACAGTAGATTAAAACTTCTCACTATGTTTGTCATTAAAAAGCACAGAAAAGGAACTGGCTTAAGGTAAAAAATTTATTGTGTTAGCCTTTAAAAAGAACATCACTTAGCTGCATGCAACAACAAGTAGTGCCAAATGAAGTAGTCACCGACAACTTTAAAAGTTTATAGAAAAGCACTTTTTGAACAGACTTACCGAGGATTCTGTTCTTCCAACGACAGAAAACCACATTTTAACTCCAGAAATACAACTCTACAATCCTTTCTCAGCCTTCGACTACAACCCAAACATCAGTCTGCCAGATTTTCCAAAACACCCAGCAAGACAGCTCTGAACTGGACACTGATATAGCATAGCATTTATCAACACTAGTTACAACCAATGCAATATTCCAACTCTTTGCACAATCAGTTATGCTACTCTGCCTTTAGTTTATCATTAAGAGCTTTATTAAACTATAGGCACTGCCTAGAAAAATCAAGGCGGCCTTTTCAGTAAGATACAGAAAATCCAAATTAAACAGGAAGTAAGTGCTGGCCCACAGATGGGAAGAAGTCGTATGCTAACCCCTCCCCTCACTCCCCATCCCACCCCGTGATATATTTTTAAAGTAAACTGCATGCACACACTGCTTCCAAATCATCTGGATTTCATAAAATGTAACCACAGTGTGGTTGGAAGTCAGGCAGCATTTAACATCGAAACATCTTTCAGGCTTAGAGCACTAAATTCTGCCCTTAGTCTCTTAGTATTACTGCTCCCCTGACCCCCGAGCAATCCAGCCACTACCACCAAAAAAGTACTCCTGCTATAGAAAAGTCTTGCAACAGAAATGAAGCATCAGCAAGGCCACTACTGGAAACCATTACATCAATGGTAGCCAATTTATTCTGTTCCTAATGCGGTACTGGAAACGTGGCTATTGCCTTTTCAAGCCAGTGTGGCTAAGCTCACTGCTACTATCACACAGAACAGCTCATGTTCCTAACTACATGCTAACAGCTAGAAGGATTATCACTACACCTCCTGGAAAACACAGACAAGATTTGAACTGGAAGTCTCAATCTCTTGACAATAGGTGAATGGTTTCTGTTTGCCCTCTGGAACCATGCCTATCAGATAATTTGAAGTTCCTAGGGCATCACTAAATTCCTCTAGAAACTAGAGAATACTGATTTACCTCGGGCTGTTCATAGAACTAATTCTGGATCATGGCTCCAGGGATCTGTCAAGCCAGCACTCTAGTCAAGAGGCCAGACTACCACTGATAAGACAACTGGCTATTTCACAACACCATAAGATGTTAACAGCAACAATATAAGATTTTATCACCTCAAAAAAATGAAAATCATTAATAATGTGAAGCTGAAACTCATACAAGTTTAAAAGTATAGACTTGGGGCTCTTGCTTTCTCCATTGCAGATGAGATGACCAGAACTTTTCTATTTGCCTGGATCCAGAGAATGCAACCTTTATGTGGAAGCAGGCTTAAAAACGCATCCCTACTGGGGATAATTTGTGAGTGTAATTTGGACATGCATAGGAATTCAGGACCATCCCTAGCAAATTGCTCTGTTACTCAATCCTTTGGGAGGCCACGCACATGACCAACACAGTCCCTTTCCTGGACCACCTTACCCTGATTGCTTAGCTTCCGAGGAAGCAACTCTTTCTTCAGATAAAGGGGAGAAAAGTGCACCAGCACTGATGCTGTGTTAAAATGGAAAAGCAATTTGGCAGCTGAGGTGAGGAAGAGGCATGGGAGTGGCAGTGGTAGCAACCATGAACATCCAAAGGGAACGCTTGAGTGGAGGTTGCCAGAATTATGACCATGGGCACACTGGTGCCCTTGAGGGCTTCCCCTAGGGTTCACCAAGCCTCTGAGGCCTTCATCCCATTCAGCAACCCTTTCACCATGAGGTAGATTTTCTTTTTCTCCCTTGAAATGTATACAGAGCCAAAGGAGAAAGTTAGAAAAATGGTGTATTTTCTCACTTCCTCTTTCTACTCTAAGTGTTTTTCTACTGAATATGACTTTTACAGAGATTCATTGAAAAAGTGAAGTGTGTGCATGCACTCTCTCTCTCTCTCTCCCCGGAGAGATAGATTGTGTGATTTCCTGATTCAGGGAAGGTAGAAAAGAAGTGGCCAGAGGATGTGATGAGCACTTGCTCAAAAATCTAAATCTGTCCAGAGCCCTTAAAAAATTGAAAGTCTCCTCTCTAGAGATTCCTAGTGTGCATATTTGCGCTGTGTCTTGCACCTGCCAGAAACAGCCCTGCCCACATTCATACTCTGGGGTAACTAACCATGTCCTAAGTAAAAATGAATCAATCAGCAAAAATATCACTAAAGGTGCATAAGAATAGTCTGAAGTAGTCATCAATTAAAAACTGCCAGATGTTTGCACATCTTCTGAAATACAATTAATAATAAAGCTATGATGATCACTCTCATTCTTTTATACTCAATACATATAAACCACTCAGAAGAGCCAGTTCTTTCTTCCCTTCTGCAACCAAGCAAAGATACAATACTTTGGAAACAAGAAGCACCATGTCCTTAATAGTAAAAAATGCTATACATTTAAAGAGACTTTGAAATACCACCACTGAGGTCGCAGATTAGTCCTATTAAAAATTGTCATTTCCCTCTTGCAACCACCTAGCTTCAATAGGTTTAATTCTTTTCCAGATGAATTATGACTGGAGAAGGGGGCGGGGAAGGCTGCTACACCTGTATTCCTGCCAGAGACTCTTTCAAACTAGGCAATGTCACTTATGACAGTTGTCAGTGCTGACATAGCAAGCTGTTCATTTGTATCTTAATAGCAGAACACAAAAGTGAATGACTTGCTTCTGGCTTAAATGATGCAAGATCATTATTGAATTCAACAGTACAGATCTTAAAATTTCTTCCCTGAAATATAAATGCTGTTTTAGAACACTGCCACCTACCAACTAGCTCTTTAAATTTGTTAAATATGTGGCAGCTTTACAATACTGGTACAGTGCACCATCTGGTGGTTGGAAACTGATGGAACAATAATTCACATTAGAATGAAAAGTCATCAGGGTGAGCCTCTCTGCTGCCTGTTCACTCCCCACACCTCAGTCAATAGGATGAGATGCAGTTCAGTTACTCACTTTATGGCTATCGTGGACAAAATCAAAACGAGAAGAGAGGGACACTGGGAGGGGGGAAAGGGATAGTTTAAGACAATGGGGGATATCTGAAGGGAGGAACACTGAGGATTGGGGGGAAAAACAAGGAGAAATAAATGGAAATGGGTACAACACAGAGGTCAACATGAAAAAGCTACCACAACAAAACCTTTCTCAACTCTCTTCTTACAGTACTCAAGGCTTGTTTTAAATCACCATCCCCCCCCCCCCCACGTCTCTCCATTGTTGTCTCCCTCTTTCTTTCCTCAGCTACCTCATGTATGAGATAAAGGAGCCCTCAAATATTACTTCACTCCTGGTACCATGTGTGTACAGATTCAATGCAGTAATTTAGTACTGTACAAGTATTTTATTAACAAGCAAACACCATATATGTACAACATCCGTCACTTAACCATCCCTAACTGAACCAGCTGACAGTCTTCAAAATTCTATTCTTAAAAGTACAGTAACATTTATCTGCAGAAGTAGGGGGGGGTACGAAAATAGGAGTGAATATGAAAGTGAGGGCACTAAAGGGGCTGCAAAACAGGAGGAAATATTGACTTCAAAATAGGGTGGAAGGTGAAAAGGGTGCTTAGTAGTTGCAACGTGTGGAGGAAGATGAGGGTGGTCTGTGTGTGAGAAGGGTTACAGAGAGAAGGCATGTGCATGGGGGTGAAGGTAAAAAAAGGGCTACAAAACATATTGATAGGGCAGACAATTCAGTAAGTCATGTGCCTTGCCGGTGGGGTGTGAGTGGAGCAAGCAGGAGGACAGAGCTTTCTAGTATATTTATATATTCATACCTTAGCAGCCACAATGCTCAGACCCATCCCATTTTGTTTCTTTAGTGTCACAGTGATTATCTCAGGTTCCTTCCTTAAGGGATGAGCCTACAGAAACAAAGCACAGATTAAACTCTATTCCACAACACTGAGCACAGCAGTAAGAATTCATTCTGGGTACTTTAATACACTTACAGGTAATTCTGCTCACAACTTACTTCTATGTTGCAAAATGAAGCACTTTGAATAGCTTAAGTAAAGCACTAATATGCTATGCTGCAGGAAAAATATAGTAAATCCAATCATCTGCATTTTAACTCTCTAGTGCCACCCTAAATAACAAATTGCATATGGTTAAACTACAGTTTATGTCCTCTACCATAATGTCCAGAAGATAAGTACTTGCCAGGTCAGCATTATCTTGCAATAGATGACTTTCATAATCTGCACCTTCAAAATATATTGTCCAAGTTCCTGGTGAACGTGGATGAGGTGTCAATCTGCAGAAACCTAGAAGGGGTAGGGTGGGGGAGACAATGGAGAACTGAATGTATTTTCCCATGTCTCATATTAGGTAATTTGAGAGTCCACAAAAAACAAATACCATGCATACAAATGGTTCATTACTAAAAACAGTGTTGCTCATCAACGTGACAAGTGCTTTTAAAAGACGAAGGAGACAACACAGAATGTGCATCACATGATAATACAAATCTGGAAAGAAGACACTCCTTTTCTTGATTTAAGGGATGCCCAGATAAAATCTCCATGACAACAAAAGTTGCTGAAATCCTGCATAAAAAATAATGGCAAGAAGAGATTTCCAAACATCTAAAGACAAAATGAATTTGTCTTAGCTGAACTACAGCAAAGGAAGCATTTTCTGTCCCAGTACAAGACTAAAAGGACTAACCTCTTTGGCAAAGTGGATCTAAAAATTCTTGCAGCCCATTTGGGATGTTTCTAACAACATCACATGAGTAACCATCTTCTGGCAGAAGAAAGGGTAGCTGTAGATCAGGGTCCTCTTCTAACTGTACTTCTCTACCATCGCTTCGAGCCAGCTCATCTGCTGTGTTTTCTGCCACTGCTACAACATTTTCTATTAACTCCTAGTTTGGCGGGGAAGAGAGAGAGAGTAAACAATGCTGTACATGAGAATCCAATAATATAAAGTTATCATTTTATACTTTAGCCACCCCAAATTAGCAAATGTGAAAGATGTATGTGATATGTTTAGGTTGATGTTGTCTAAAGCAGATACAAAAGGCAAAAGCTTTCGTTCAACTGTAGCTGTGAGCTTTAACTTTAGTTTCATCCCACCCCACCCGCAGGTGCCCTTTAAATGAAATTCTTCAAATTATTAGAAATATATTAAACATTTGTGATCAACGAGTAATACAAAGGGGATTATTATACTGATACCAAAACAAGAATTGCAGGCATTGATTTTTGCAATAGGAAGAAACTGATTTATACTGGATGTTACATATTTGATTAAATCTGTATTTTGAAGAGCAGGAAAAATAATGAAGGGAGACATTAGGTTTTTAACCTACAGTTTGACTATTTAGCACTAATAGTTTTTTTTGCTCTCATCACCCACCCACCTACAATTCAAGGACTTGTAGCAAGCTACTCCATCAATGTATTCCTAAGAAAAATAAGAAAGTTTCATAAATAGAATGCTGCAATGTGTCCCCAAATTGGAAACACAAATAAGTCCAAGAGCACTGAAAATGCATCATTAAGCTATCTGTTGATACTCAAAACAATGAAGCAGATTTACATGCATCCAGTTGATATGTGACTGCGCATGTGAGCATTGCGACAACCTGGAAATGGACAAAAAAGGGGGTGTAATGGGGCAGAGCACTGTCATATACAATGACCTGGAACACAACCCCCATGAAAAACGGGGGGTGCCTGTATTTTCTTCCTTCTCCATGTGAGACGGAATAAGCTACTCAAGCTAAGAATTACTATCACCGTTTAAAAAATGTGGTTCAGATGTCTCAAACTTTTTATTATTACATAAAGTTAGCATTATTTTTTCATACGCTATCCCGTAACATTCACTATATAAAAAATTATAGGGAAATTTTGTATGTATGTATGTATGTAAGTAAATAAGTAAATGTTAAGATTAACTCACTGTTGGAATAAATGGCTCATCTGGGGCACAATGATAATTTTGTAGCAATGCATGCAGTTGTAGAGAATTGAGTTTAAAGCAGGTACTGTTGATATTTGGAATGTCTTCACGTGAATACTTATCCATAGTAAGTAAAGTAGTTGCCTGAAAAAGAAGCACAATTAGTAGAATCACCTTTATTTTCTTAAGAAACATGACAGTGGACCCTACACACCAAATTGGGGAGTGGAACCCTGCTCTTGAATGAGTGCACATTTTGTGTTTGAAATTCTTAGCACAGGTTAAACCAGAAAATACATTTTTTAAAAAATAAGGCAGTTGGTACAAAACAGCTCTCCTCAGTATGGCAAGAAAACAGACCTCTCTGAGGAAAACCACATTGAAGCAATTAAGCAACTGAACACCCCAAACCCTACTTTGCAGACACTGGTTTCATATGACTTCATACAGGTGGCTAAGTCTGAATTTCCATTGTTAAATTAGTAGAGGAAAATCTTCCAAGATCATGCAAGAAAGCACTTATTTTTCCTATTACTACCAATACCTACTTGTACTATCCTACTGAGATGACAATCAGCAGCCAGCTCCAAGCCCTGTTTTTCTGCCCAAGCTTCAATGTGCCCCAGCTGCTGCCGGATGATGGCTCCCCAGTAATGTGAACACAATCCTGAATCTGGATCAGTAACCAATCGGTTAAAAAGCCACATGTTGATAAAGTGGAATAGCTGGGAAAAGAGCTGTATGGTCAGTGCGGCGTTCACTCTACATCGCCGCAGCAGGGACATGGCTCCAGTCAGCGTATGCAAGACGTCATCTAGAAGAAAAAATACAATAGTTTACTCAGCTATCCATTCCAGGTTGAGCTACTCTGTTAAGTTACTCAGTGTTAAATATTACATTATGACTGGAAGACATTAATAACAATGATGTATTTATCTGCATAATGAAGTAATACTTGTACTCTTTTTTTAAAAAAAAAATTCCCAATGCAGAGAGTAAAAAGCAGCAACTGTCATAGGAAAACCAAAGAAAAAGGAGAAACAAAGGTAATGTCAATCTTCATCAATAAATTAAGAGAATGTGAGGATGGACAGACTTGTTTTTAGGTTCAAGAAGGGGTATAATAATTTGTGTATTATATAATGTCAGCTATTTCACAGATTCCTTCCAGACAAGCCAGCCCTTAAGCATAGGAGCAGCAGCATTCTTCCTATTTGCAGCATGACTGCATATAGAAAATTTACAATAAATTCAAGGTTACCTATCTGCACCTTTCTTTTCTAGAATTTTTATACAGTGGTACCTTGGTTGTCAAACGGCTTGGCTCCTGAACAAATCGGCTCCCAAACGCCGCAAACCTGGAAGTGAGTGTTCCCGTTTGTGAACATTTTCCAGAAGCCAAACATCCGACGCGGCTTCTAACTGAATGCAGGAAGCTCCTGAAGCCGATCGGAAGCCGCGCCTTGGTTTTCGAACGAACTCCCAGAACGGATTAAGTTTGACAACCAAGGTACCACTGTAAATGGTTAATGGCTCCAATAGATATGCATAATTGGTAATGTCTTTAGCACAAATATTATATTTCTATTGTTGGGCACTGCCACAGAACATGGCTTGAAGAAACTGCCTAGGGCAGTTACTGGAGTTATCCAAGTGGGAAGGGTCATGCATTATTACACACAAATAGTGTATTATTACACACAAATACATGCACGGCTACATTCTAACATACAATATCAGGAAAGGTGGATTAGATGTCAATGGCTGCCATGCAGCTTGCTGATGAGGAACTCCTCACAAAGTACAGTACGTCTTATTGTACGTGCAAAAACACATTGCATTTCCCTGCAATATATAAGGTCTGCCACCATGCTCCTCTCATGACAGTAGGCCTTATGCTTATTACATTATATCATAAAGTGATCTAACCTATTTTAGGCCTTTGAGGATTATTTTCTTCTGGATCATCAAGAAATGCAGGCATGTAGTTGTTAAGCTCTGACTGAAGACAATGAACCAAATATCTGGGGGGGAAAACAAATTTTTGTATAAATATTAATATTAAGGCTTCCATCCCTTTAAAGAATATTTAGATTCATGAACATAGAAATTAGGCTGATGAAAACCTGCAGCCATGGAAAAAATGAATTTACCTAAGTGTCAACAATTCAACTACTAGCACAATCCTGCACATATCTCAGTTTCCCACTGAGTTTACCAGGCCCTACTCCTCAGTGTGCTTGGGACTGCATCCTCACTATCTTCACCAAGTTTCCTGAGCAATTTCCCAAGAAACAGCTGCATTAAGAAATATTGCTGCACTAATACTGAATTAAAAATACCAAACTGTGCCAAGTCAATTCCTGTTGTATTTTGAAATTGACTATGATTTTTATGGGATTGTACCCAGGGGATGTTAGGAGAAGAACAGAGATAAACAACAGTCTTGTGGCACTTTATTGTTTTTGTTGCAACTGACACTGGAAAAAGTTACAAGGAGACTTAAGCTAGTGATGACTTACTTGTCCCACAGATTTCAGTGGGACTACACCGTGACTTCCTCCGGGTTCAACCCAAAACTGTTAAGGAAAAAGGGGGGTGGTTGTGTGCGTGTTTTGATGGGGGGTGTCACAGTTTCCCCCCATTCCAGTGGAATCCTAACATATAATCTACTAGCTCTATTACACAACGCAGATTGCTTGAAACTGGAAAAATAACACCAAAAGGAGTTTATTTTTTTACTTCTAATTACACAGGTCGCTTGTACATGTCACTTAATATAAATTAACTCTAATAAAGAATTTTCAGAATTTTTACTGTGCCCAAGTATAAGGATGAACTCCTCCTCACTTAGAGCATAATAAGATGCGCAATGCACCAGTAGATAGAGCAACTAACAGATACAATAAAACAAATGAATTAACCAACTTTAATTTTTTAAAAAATGAAAACACTGGTGATAGCCAATTAATTATACTCTGAGTAGACCCACTGAAATAAGTGCAATAAAGTTCGCTATTTCAATGAGCTTACTCTGGGTATGACTACATTGGATAACACTCAATATCTGCTTTTAAAGGCATTTGGAAATAAGAATGTATAACTTTTCCTGAATAAGGAAAAACTTGATGAACGTACTATATACAGAAATCCAATTATCTTACTTGAAAGCCATTTGAACTAGGTGTGCCAAAACATCTTGTGCATCTAAGGTGATTCGGCTAAGCTCTCGATCCTGCTTAATGAAGTTTAGCAGCTCAGATGCATTTGCCATCCAGAAAGCAAGTGACCCTGCAATATTCTTCTGTTTCTGAAAATATTTTTCAAAAAGTCGTGTAAACATCAAAAGGAAGTCTTCCTCTGGCAAGTCAGCTTGCATTCATTATCAAAAGGCTCTGTTTAGATAGACCAGTACCCCCTCCATATTACCAAATATAACTCAGTTACCAGATATTTGCAAAGAATTTCTATGAAACTGTAAGTAATATATGCTGGACATCTTGCAATTGCTTCAAATTACAAGTGATATTTTAATGATAAATTATTAAATATTCCAAATGCCATTTGTGAAATGGAGTTAGCATGTTGTCATGAAATGCGAAAAGCTTTGATGTATGCATTATCTGGTAATCTGTATGTGCGCAAGCACATGTTGACTAATGCCCATTGTCACCCAGATACTGCTAGCCACTGGCTTTGACACCAAGCAACTCAGTATCGAGTACTGATCTATCTCACCATTTCCCGACCACAAATGCTAGGCCAGGCAACCTCAGATGAGATCCAAAGAACAGAACCACAGACAAAACAAAAAAAAGGGAAGAAAAAGAACTTTTGTCATTATGTCTCCATACTGAAGTGCGTTAAGCAGAAATTATGGAATGCTGATAGGCTGCGCAGTCAAAAAAGGATTTTAGTACTGCATGTTCCAGCTGCTGAATGAGGGTTATGAACTGTTCAATCCAGCTGTAGAAATATTGTATTTTTACATGGAAGCAGCATGAGAAACTGAGCTAAGCCAACACAGCTAGGATCAGTTCCCAGCAATATATCCTACCTGATCAACCTGGTCTACCTCCTGGAGAAAAACGAAGGAAATCAAACAGAAGAAAGAAACTTGTGAACATTCATGGTAGTTTTCGAAATCAAACACTAAATATGAAGGCACAAGACTTATGCTCAGTCACATTAAAACATTTCACCACCAGATGTGATACAACTGAGAAAACTTTGCGCAATCCTGCAAAGAATAACATGGAGATCTGCTCCACAGAAGACACCAGAGCCTTTCCTTTCCATGAGAAGGCAGCTTTACACCAGACTGCCAGACATGTAGCACTGTAGCCAGGTCAATTCAGTTTTCATATATTAAACAGAACTAGTAGAAATGCCAGTTTAAGAGCACTCTTCTGTGGTTGTGAGTGTTTCATTTCCAGTAATTTCGCCACTACAATTTGTGCAGTGACAATTAATCCATCTGATACCTACACTCTTTTTACAAAATTTGTTAAATAATCTTACAGTGCTTCTTAATGGATTCTCACAGAGTGTTGTATCATGAATTTCCTTTCTAAGTTTGGACATATGTACACCCTCAATATGTGCTTGATTACATCATCCACAAAAACCTGTAAAATTGGCTGTCTTTTCTGGATTTTCACTGAGATAGATACTGCTTGTACAATAGCTTATTTTAAAAATGCTTTGAATCTAATTACTTGAATTACTATCTAGGAGGGTCTCTGCAAACAGAACTCCAGTGATTAATTGAAATTCTAAAGTTCTTCCTTCTATTTTACAGTGGACCCTCCGAATATGAACTTAATTCGTTCAGGGGGTCCATTCAAACCCCCAAAATTACATAAATAGAGAAACACTTCTGCGCATGCGGCAAAACATGCAAGTATACACTTCTGGGTTTGCTGTAGCCATAACCCGAAGATTCTGTATCCAGAGGGATACATAAGTAGAGGTATGACTGTACTTTATATTTAAGAATGGATTTACATTTGACTTTCTTGCCTACCACCCTGGAAATAAGATTGAAGCGAAGCATAAACATAATTATAATAAAAGTTTGGCTCAAGCTCCATGGAAACTATAGAATTTGCATGCAACGATCAGGTTGAAAACTATACAGTGCAATCCTGTAGGAATATACAGGAATATACTCCCCTGTAGGAATATAGAATTACAGCCTAAATTTAACAGAGGCCAAAGGGAATATGATAGGTGTATATTTTTGTACTTAAAAATAATTACGTTTTGTATTACATTTCTGTTAAATAAAGGGCTGATCAGATTTTTGCAATCAAAGCCAAACTGATAACATTCAATCTATCACAAACTATTCCACAATCTACTGTGAGATTTGCAGATATGCACTCAAAATTGCTAAATGATGGCAGGGACTGCCATTCCAAGAAACCTAGATGCTACAATCTTGTAAAGGAAGGTGTGCAATTGTCTGCCTCAAAATGCATGCTGTGGCACAATACACTTTCTGGAAGAGTGATAGCCTAGTGCCAGGAGGCAGCAGTAGCATGTTGCTTGGACGAGGGAATCCTACCTCCCAGCAGCAGTGAGCTCACAACAGGGATGGACTGAGGGCATTCCAGGTTGACATCAGTGTCTTGTAAGTACACGTACCTGTGAGATGCTGATGACACCAACCCAGAGCTCCCCTGACCTCACCACTGCCCTGCCGCATACCAGTGCACAAGACCACCACCACCAGGAAGGTACTGCTACCGCCCCTTACAACCCTCAATCACTACTGCTGCCAGGAAGGTTCTACTGGCTTCAATGGGATAGATCTCCATATTATTCAGAGTGTGGGACAGGCAGAACTGCCTTCCAAATCTATAGCACTACTAACGTAACAGGGAGACAGGTGAAGACAGAAATAGGACCATTTAAAGGAAAATACAAGTGGAGCCATAATAAATGAATTGCTTTCACAGACAAGTATGTTTTAATTGAAAAATTAAATCTTGGACACAAAAAACTAAAAAATAAAAACCCTGAGTGATGCTGCTGCTGCTGCTGCTCACTTTGGCACCACGTGTACCAAAAATAAAAAATAAAAACTGAGTGACGAGCAAGCTATCTGCAATTGAAAGCCTGAATTTCTTTTAAATATAATTACTTCCAATCATTCAGGAGACAATGGGTTGGATCCAGGTCCCCCTCCATGTTCAAAACTCTTTCTGTCCTGAAAGTAATTGTCAACCAGAGGAGCCTCCCCTGCAATCCACATGCCACTTCCCACACTGAGGTTTTCTTAACTCTTCACAGTAGTTTACAAGGCATACACAAGGCTGCAAGGGGAAGGAGGATTCCATCAAAGGTGTCTTCCTCCAACAGAGCACCCATGAGAATTCTGGATTCAACACATAAAAACGAGGTGTAGCCAATGTGGGGCCTTCCAAATGTTGCTGTACTCGAACTCTAGCCTGTATGTATGGTGGTCAGGGATGACTGGAGTTGTAGTCCACCACTACCGGAAAGCATCATGTTGACTACCCCTCCTGTAGACAACAGCATGGAACCAAATTTTGAGCTCGAGACCCATGCTGGCAAAGAGTGTTACCCAATCTGAGTCCTACTCAGATTAAACCTATTGAAATTAATGGACTTAGGCAACAAATGAAACCTAAAGGTTGGTATACAACACTAGTCCTACTCAAGAGTAGACCAGTGGAAGTTAATGGAAAAGACTAAGGTTTATTAATTTACTCTGAGTAGAACCTAGCTAAATGCCAATTAAAATGCTTAAATACAGGTGCTTTCTAGTTTTCTAAAACCATGATTATCTGAATCTCTTGTTCAATATCTGACAAAGATCTATACGCAAGTAAGAGAATCCTGTTACTGGTCTTATTTTTGTTTTAGAGGACCTTGATTAGTTTTTTGTTTGTTTGTTTTACACTGAAATGGAAATCACTTTGTGTGGTATTTATAAACTGCCCTGTGATATCCATTATCATACTGGCTATGTGACTGCAGCCACAGCTATCAAGTTAAACAATCCTGCTAAAAGCGAAGTATTTTTTGTAATTAAAAAAAAAGTTAAGCTATGAAAACATATTCACAGAAATTCTCTTAACACTGCAGCTCACCTGTATAACTCCTTCCATCATGCTCACCATCTTGTTGACTATTGCAATGACTTTGTGAGTACGTTCAGCAGGACTGATGTCAGGTCTGTACTGGCTTGACAATACATACCGACATGCCATATACAAAACGTATGTAGGAGACAGCTTAAAATGAACTGTTGAGCTATTGGTGTAATTTATAATGGCAGACAAAAAGGAATCTTCAGCTGTAAAAACAAGATAAACCAAGATCAGATGAATTCGTAACTTGTTCTATTTATAAGCAAGGTTTATTCCCTGCCCTTCACCACCAAGTCCCAGGATGGGTCACAGAATATACAATTATATAAATAGCTTAAATCATTTCAATTATAAAACACATAAAACTGTTCCAAGTGGAACAGAACAATATAGATTCAGCAAAAGAGGTTGGTCCCTCAGTACAAAATACCTTAACTGTCAAAGGCCAAGGTAAAGAGGTACATCTTCAACATATAGCAAAAGACGTACAAGGAAGATGCTGGACACATTTCTGTGGGGAGGAAGGTCCACGATTCAGGGGCTGCTACAGAGAAAGCACTCTCCTGGGACATCATACCCTCCATTTCTAAGGGTAGCAAGAAGTTCTGAGAGCTCTCTCTCTCTGCATATTCAAAGACCTCTGGAGATGGTTTTTCAGATACTTGGGGCCTAAGTTGTTTATTGCTTTAAACTGCAATGTGAACACCTTGAATTGGGTTTGGAAACAAACTGGCAACTAGTGCAGCTATTTCAAAACAGGGGTTATATGAACCCCAACCAGTAATCTGGCTGCTATATTTTGGACCAGTTGAATATCTTAAATTGTCTTGCAGGGCAGTCCATATAGAACACACTGGCCTACTGCAAAGTGTAGAGTGGCCAGATGTTGCTGTAATTTGCAGAGCAGGCCACTGAAGAAAATGGACCACTACAGTATATTGATTTACATCAGGCTAACTTTGTAATAGGTTGAATTCTTTATGCCAAAGAAAGTGTGACTTATCTGAACTAAGAAAAATACCTGGGAGTGATTCTTGTAACCTTTGGGGGAGGGGTGTAGAAATATTTTGAAGGTACATAAACCTTCAAACCTTCCGACAAATGGCTCTGCAAATTTGCAACTTCAGGATTTTTTTCTCTTAATTTTTTTAATTATTATTTTCAACAAAATTTATATACCGGTTGATTTTAGTAAAACCTAAGTAGTTTACAAGTTTACTTAGTAAAACCTAAGTAGTTAAACTTCCAAAGTAGTTTAAAATTCTTGATAAAACCAGTGCCTTTATTTAGCGCGAGAGCTGCTTCTATTTCTGCCTTCATCTCTTACTTCTACTTTGTGGTCCCATGGGAAAGGCATAGGATTGATAGCTATATCCTTTAACAACTATTACACTTTGTAGCATTTCACTGGCTTTTGTAAGGAGTATGACCGGGACTGAGGGGAAAATGTGACCACTGTAACTTTTCGAACTGCTTGCATATTTGAAGTTATCTATAAGAATGAAATAAAAATTGTTAATAAAAAAATGTCACACCTAACCAGATTTTGTTTGAAATGTTAATACTTACAGCTTTCCCTGAATTCAATGCTTGCAGGTAATATCAATTCAAGTCCATGTGCGTCCTGAGGTCTACAGACAGAAAGCAGATCTTTAAAAGTCCAGTTTAAAGAGTGAAAATTAATTCCACTATCAAAAGATACAGACTTTTCCAAAGGCTTTGCTTCTGGGACTTTATACACCATTTTTGTTCACATGAACTGAAAAATACAGTACTGGGGGGGGGGTATTGATTCTCCCCTCTTCTTGTTAGATTCACTCTCAAGTTCTACTTGATCATTAACAAGATAGATCATGAACTGAAGGTCTGCATTATAGATGAATATGAAATTTTAATGAATTTGCAGTGCACAAGGCAGCCTGTCAGCCGCTGTAAACAGCTCATGTTACACACACAGACCCCTGCATGAGGCTACATAAAAGAAGAACGAGAGGTTAGCTTACTAGCACCACACTAAATCCACAGGTGCTACTACAATGTAATAGATACAACCATTTCGAAAACTATGTTTTTATGAGACCTGGAAGGCTGGGTCATATGCAAGTAGGTCACTTAATGAATGACTAATAGCTTAATATGTGAACTAATGTGACATAAAGTGACAGGGAAAATTAACTATGGTTTTATACTTTAAGCAGCCCGTTATCACTTTCAAATGTGTAAACCAGAGAGTCTCTGGTTACAAGATGAAGTATGTGTCTATTACGGAAGTGACATTTACTATGGCCTACTGACTGGAGGGCAAGCCATTTTTTTCAAATCAATCGAACAGCTCCACATGAACAGAAGTTATTAATATTGCAGTTGCTGTATAAGGGATTATTATGATGACTGGAATGTCATGGAGATTAATAAGATTTTGGAACACAGAAATAAAGTAAATAATCAAGCCATCAATCCAAGCATGCGGGAAGCAACTTTATCTAAATTATATAATTCAGTATTCAAATGATTGGTAATAATTGTATAATTGGTATTGTTATAATGAGGCTATTATTGATTTGTAATTGAAAACTAATAAAAATTACTATTTTTAAAAAATCAATCCAACAGTACTACCCTGCAACTTGAAACCTTATGTGGTCATACTTTTCCATTACCAGTAAAGGTTGCCCCATTTTCTCCAGTAACACAAGCCTATTGCCAGCCATTTCAAAATATGTACTGAGTTTAAATCAAAAATAAGCATATATTTCTCTTGACATTGCATAAGAAACTGACAACCTGAAAATGCCCATTGGAAAATAGATGCAGCAAGTCGTTTATCATCATGGTCTCTGCTCACTAACCTCTTTCAACTCAGTTAAATTTGTACTTGGGAACATTTAATTAGATCTGCCTTCATTCCCTCTTTTGACCATAATTTAATATGGCAATGGCTTCCCCAGCTATTCTGCTGCCAGTTACACTTAAATATATGTCTGAGTTGCACAACTCCCCATCCCCCACTTTTAAAGCAATATAATGACTGCCTTAGCTCAGACAGATTTCATAGTAAACTTGAATACAATCTGAATCATGACTATTGGCAGGACTATGAAATTGTGATTCATGTTTTGCTATCTCTTTTACATGAGAAATTCCTGAAGTGGTTTGAAACCTAATACAGTACATTATTCAAAACATGTAATGCTATCTATGGCAAATGTAGTTCTGAAAGTGCATAGGCTTTCCCCAATCCAAATAATGCAAAAGGCCCACTTATTTCTGAAAAGTTGCATTGTCCTATTACTACACCTGCATCTAAAGATTTACCAGACAGCCTAATATTTATACATATTTTCATGCTCTTTTGGTAAAAATGAAATGAACCATATCTACCTTTATACAAAAAAACCAACACCCATGAAATCCTCTGAAATCAAGTATTTTGCCATTAAAAAAAATAAATCACACAATTCTACATCTTACATCTACATCCTACCATATTCTGTCCTGCTTTTGTGGTAAAATGAAGTTGATTATCAAAATATACAGTCTGCCCATATCAACCTTAGAAATTGAAAAACGTTATTTGGTACCTGCCATCCTGCCTGTGGTAATCCTGCTGTTCTATTCTGATCATTGGCTTGACCATGCCTCGTTCAGCTGTGCTGGATGCCGACATTCTGTCACTATCCAATCTGTTGGTACTCTGTTCCACACAAGATTAGAAGCATTTATCACAAAACATATCAGAGATTTGCCTTGCCCACCCTTTCTCTGCAGCTATAAGTTAATGTTGGACACATTTTAGATTGTACTCTCTATTCATGTGAGAAGTGAGTTCCAACAATGCACTCCAGGACAGTGATCCAATACTATTTTGACAGGTACAGAAATTCCATAAAGAGGTTCCTTGATAAAACTATCTGAAAAGGTTGATTTTCAGTTTAAAAATGCTTTGTTTTACAAGACCTAAGTGAAGTGCATAAAGAATGAGAAACCATACTTTAAATTAAGTAAAACTTCCTATGATGGCTAAACCTAGGGAAATATGGTTTGGTAAGCTATGATTAATAAAGTTATGAAACCTTGTTCTGATCCTGCCTAGTTCTGACTAGCCATAGTTTAAACTGACCACAGTTCCAAGTTTGGATGTCACAGGGAAGTGTCATAATATCCCATCAGAAGCTTTCAATCTCCTTCTCTTGTATATATACATCCAAAGAGGAAAGAAAAAGGAGGAAATATGAATGGCTGAGGCTTGTGCATATAAAATAAAACTATGATAATACATGAAGCCCTAAATACGTTTTAGTAATATATACTAAAAATCTGGCCATGAAGTCAGTTAGTTAGCTTTCTTTCAAAGAGTAGAGGCTTACTACTCTTTAAAGAAAGCTTACTGACTGACTTCATGGCCAGATTTTCAGTAAATATTACTAAAACATATTTAAATTATCAGTTGTAAAATGACTTAGCACATTTCTAGGCCTGGTGACAATTTGTTACCTTGCTTGCAGGCAATCCTGTTCCACTATGGACATCTCCTTCCAAATCAAATGTAGTTTCCTGTACAGCTCTAAAAAGACAACATACATTCAAGAACTAGATTATTAGCAACATATAATATCCAGAAACATAGCACAACAATGTTTAGACTAATTGCTTCTGGAATTTGTTACTAGCGACAAATATACATTACCGTATTTTTCGCCCTATAGGACGCACTTTTTCCCCTCCAAAAATGAAGGGGAAATCTCGCTTGGAGAGCGAGAGGCGCACCGACCCCTCTCGCTCTCCAGGCTTCAGGAAGCTATCAGCAAGCCTGGGGAGCCTGTGGGAGTTCCCGCGGGGCTCCCCACGCTGCGGACAGCAGCCTGTCGCCCAGCATGCCCTGAAGCAGAACGCCCCGCGTGCCGGGCAGACATCAGCCAGCCCCACAAGCTCGGGGGACAGCGGGGAGGCGCAGCGCCGCCATCCCGCTGTTCCCCGACCTGGTTTGGGGGGGGAAATAAAGGAAAAAGGTCCCCCCCAAAAAAATTAGGTGCGTCCTATGGGACGGAGAGTCCTATGGGACGAAAAATACGGTATGTTTACACACAGAAAGATTTTATCTCATTTTCAAAGAATGACACTATAGAAAGGTCACTAAAAGTAATTTAGGAAGTTACTTCAAAACTTCCACATTTTAATCTGTTCTGCTCATTGATATTCTTGTCATTATTTAATAAATTATTTTATTATTTATTGCCATTATTTTATTTATTGTTGTATTTATTGTTGGCTCTCATAGTCATTCTATGGAAAGGCAGTGCAGAAATGTTACAAACACAACACACACACTCTCTCTCTCATATGCAAATACAAAGATAGTCCAACACTTGTTTCTTCATGCTACTACAATTCAGGGACCACTGTGATTTTCATCATGCCTAACCTCATGACATATAAAGAATACAGTTAAATGCATGTAATATGAAAGGTGTGCAGAATTTTCTTCCAAGTGTCCTTGGTTTTACAAAATTATAACATTTATAAAATTATTATAGTATAGCATGGTGCCTTTGGCTATGTTGACTTTGCTCTTTTATTAATGGAACTCTACAACACAACATTAGTTTTAAGTATGAATTAAGCAACTGGAAATTCCAAAAGATTTCACAAGATGGAGCAAGAGTATTAAACATTAGTAAGAAGATAATCATATTATTGTTATCAGGGTTGCCACTTGAAAAATGAAACATTGCTATGCCATCACCATCTTAAATAACTTCCTGAGTTTGGGATGATTGCTTGAAAATGGTGATTTACCCAGCTTTGAGTCGTGAACTTTTCACCATGTGTCCTGCATCTAGACGTCCTTTAGGAATGTGATCTTGAACGGGATCCACAAATTTAAATACATGAGAGGTCCCAAACTGAACCTTCATACCACTTTGCAGCATAGTGGTCTCTGAGATCCGCTGACCTTCTACATAAGTCTCGGCATCAATGCTTCTTGGGGTAACTGTAACAACTCCATCCATATTAGTGAGGTCACAATGATGAGGCTGAATTCCTGGACCAAACAACTGAAAATAAATAACCAAAATTTAGAAGTAGCAAAACTGATACCAGGTTTTTTAAAAAAATAAAAATAAAACCTATGCTAATATGTACATAGATGTTTTGGTTTAAATAAGCAAAGTACTTTTTTTCAATATTAATTGCATTAGTTCAGCATCAATTTCCTCAAAATGTACCATGAGTGATGGGATCAAGTATCTTTCAGAAACCACCAAAAGCTGCCATCTGTGAATGCATGTAAGGCGATGAGTATGATGATTGGGTAATAGCGACATTAATTGAAGAATAACTATGTTATCTTGTAGAAAAATACAATACCAACTAGTATCCGTGCTAGTCCACACACATACGTTTACAACTTTTAAAACTGAAGCCTTTTTTATTATATTTTTCTGGCTCCCACTTTATTAATATTTTTCAGTACACAACTGAACATGAAGCTAAGTGATTATGATAGAAAAGGTTGACCAGTAGCATTAAAAAAATATTGGGCTGTATCAAAAGTAACTTCTGCTCAGAACATATCCGACTGAAATTAATTAATCTAAGGTAGTTATGTCCATTAATTTAAATGGGAGCACAGGCAATGACCAATTGTATGGCGGTTACGTTCCTGACACCCACGCTTTGGAAGAATGAGCATAAGCCCTCTCCACCCAGTTCTGCCCCTGGCCCACCTCCTTTTCCGGCTACTTCCAGGTCGTCACACATAAATTGGTCATTGCCTGTATGTACTTGAGTGGGACTAACAATGAATACAAGCAACTGGATACAATCAACCACCCAGATCAACTAACTGTCTAGGTTCTGAAAGTCTGGAAAGTATATCATTCCTCTTCCCATGGTCACACAAAGGTTTCAGCACAATTCAATGTCAAAACAAATGATGGGTTGTTGCAATGATAACATGTTGCAAATTCATGGGGGTAGCCAGGATTTTTATTAGGGGGGACAGATATTTTGTTTGGGGGGCCCCCAGAACCTGAGTTTGCTATGTATTTTTATTGATGTTTATTGATGGGGGGCAGCTGCCCCTCCCTGCTCCCCTTGGCTATGATCATGGTTCCAATGGCTTTAGGATTGTGCACTCTCCTTCCCCCCTGGGGGAGGGGGGATCTAAAGTTGCTCTTAATAATAAACCAATTTTTTTGTCTGATCCAAAAATGGGAGACTGCAGCTTGTATAAACCAAACTCTCTTTCTTGACTCAATAAACGTTTCCTACCTGTATGGAGTTGTCATCAAATTTTTCTGTACCAACTTCTGTCACACTTAACTGCAGACGATAGAGCTTTGGTTTATCTCTTGAGTCAGAGCCATCTGCAAGTAAGAACAAGTTATTTTGTTTGCAAAAGTAATTAAAGCATGTAATTTTTTTAAAAAATGAATATACACAAGGACATTGCATAACAAAACACCATTGCTAGAATTCCAAAGCATATTTCAATTAAGCTTTAAAACAGTATTTATTTCAGTAATTATGTTTATGTTATTATACATAAATCCAGGAGGTCTTCAAATAACTAACACTATAAACATATAAAGACATACTAGCACTGGGAAATTTGAGATAATACAGGAAGAAACATTAAATATACTGAATGACATCCAACTAAGTCACACTTAAAGTAGACACAACGAAATCAATCAAGTTAAGTTAAATCCCTTTATTTCAACTGGTCTACTCTGAACTAGATATCATTACCTGGTTGTCTCAAATTAAGTGATGCTTGGAGTATACCATTTAAATCAATGGACTTCAGTTGGGTTCAACGTGCCTGAGTATAAGTTGGTATGATAGAATCCAATTGTTTTCCTTACCACAATTTCCAATTTGTATATACAATATATTGTATATATTGTAAACTGCCTTGTGATCTTTGAATGAAGGGCAGTACAGAATGTAAATACATACATACATTTTAAAGAGTACAAACAAAATGTTTTAAGAAGTGCTGCCTCCCACTGCCCCAAAAAAGAAACATTGGGTTTGTGCACTAAATTATCCCTGATTTTATCTTTCAGTAGCTGCTGATGTGCATATTTCCCTTCCTTAGGATCTATGGATAAAGGGCAAGTTAGAAATATCATAAATAAACAAATAAAATATTCCATTTAGTGGATTTTCTTTTTTTTTTTAAATGTTGTTCACATTTTAATATATTACTGTTCATGGTTTCTCAGTTTACACACTAACTGCATATAAGTAGTGGTGATGTGCACCATACATCCGAACTTGGCTGCTGGGGAGAATTGTACACATATCTAAAAGTGTAATTCATGGATCAATTATCCTGAGAGACTGTCAGAAGTATTTTGAGGCTATTGGTACAGGTGAAAAGAAATGTAGCAGAGGGGTGCTTCTAGCAACACAACAGGCCAGATCCTTACCTCCTTATCCCCCTGGCAGGCCAAATTTGACAGGTGGGCAATCAATTGACATTGGGCTTTGAAATCAGGCTTGTTGGGACTTCAAAGCTAGCGCAGCAAGATTTGAAAGCCCTGCTGCTGTTTGTAAGCAGCTTTCTAACAGCCCCTATGCTCTTGTTTGACAGAGCTCAAACAGCTGTGTGTATGTGTGTGTGTGTGTGTGTGTGTGTGTGTGTGTGTGTGTGTTCATGCATGTGTGTGTGTGTGTGAGAGAGAGAGAGAGAGAGAGAGAGAGAGAAAGAGAGAGAGAGAGCCCTTTGTGAAAGTTAGAAATCCCATGTGCAGGCAATGATTTCAAAAGAAAGCTGTCTTTTGAAAGCATTGCCTGTGCGCAAGTAGCCATTGTTTGCAAAAGGCACTGCTTTTAACACCCTCTATGCCCATTTGAAGCTCAAACTGGTGGGGGACAGTATCTGAAAGCCCTTGAAAAAGGGATAAATATGCAGTGCAGAAATACTTTACTTCTCTCTATGCTGTGCAGCCAATATAAGATTAAATCCTGTCCTTCCACCCACTGCCTGACACCACCAGTGATCCCAGCAGATGGTTGGGTGAAAACAGCATGGCATTCCAAATGCTACTGTGGGCCAGAGGTTCCCCACCCCTGATGTAGCATTTTTCCATACATGTTGAATTCCTTTTCCCCAACTGAGCACTCACTGGATTCCACTGAACATTCACACCAACCATATAGTAAAGCAGTATTCATTAAAACAATCCTGATTAATTCCAGTTTAGCGAAGTAATATTAAGATGCTCTTATGTTTATCTATTCTTGCTGAAGCACTTACACAAGTAGCTGCTTCAACATGAGACTTTGTTTCAGTTATTAAGCAGAGTTCTCACTCTTACTGCATTCAATACATAAGCATAAGCAACAATATGTACTAATTAAGCAGTCACAGTGGAGAGATCACAAAGATCTGCCCAGATAAAACCTACATTAAAAGAAGAACTTTTAATATAAATGCTGAATTTCCCTTAAGAGAAACAAACACGTTTAACCTCATTATATAAAAGGTAGTTCAATATCATTTTATGTACACACTTTAGGTACTTGGAGGAAGGGCAGTGTGTGTGTGTGTGTGTGTGTGTGTGTGTGTGATTTCTACTTGTAAGAGCAACAGCAAAACTAAGGACCATTGTTCCTTCTAATGCTGAATTACTCAGTCCCAGTGCACCAACATCATTATAGCCAAAATAGGCTCACTGAGCAATAAGAGGGAAATAACAGCAGGCTTGGATCAATCCCAAGGTATGCACTAGTACAAAAAAAATGAGGGGCGGGAACCAATGGAGGCAATTCCGTTTTTTAAAAGGTTTCAAATATAACTGTGCTATCATGTAGCCCATGCCGGACATACCCTGCTCCCTTACTGTATAAGGGTGCTATTAAACTAAGTTTTGAACAGAATTGACCCATTGAAATCAATGTCCATGAGTTTGTCCGGTAATTTCAACAGGTCTACTCTGAGTAAAACTTAGTTGAATGCTACCTATAATGTTCAGACCAGAGGTCATGTGGCAGGCTTTCAAAAGCTATTGCACAAGCTCTTGGTGGTGAAGGGATGACAGAAACAGGAAGGAAAATGAGAGATGGGGAAAATTATTTTTAAATCATTTAGCTGGGCTATAATAAGCTTTTATCTACTGTCAGCTTGTGGTGTGCTATGCAATTGTTTGAAGGAAGAGCAAACCAAAAGACAACAAACTGAGGAGCTGGAACAGAGACAGCTGGTGGCAGGAGATTTTTTAAAAGGAGAGAATGTAATAAGAAAATGTTGTTTAAAAACAGCAGTGAATGACAACCTGATCTGGTTGGAGACAGAGGACAGGAAAAAAGGGAGGCTTATCTCTCCTTTCTCCATACTTTTCCTCACCCATGAAAGTCATCCCATAACTGCTATTTGTGCTCATGCTAACTTTCCTGGGGCAAATGAGGGGGAAGGACAATTTACACTAAGTGGGGAGAAGGGTTTGTTCATGCCATGGTCCTCATCATCCCTCAATAGGCAGTTCCTAGTTAGGTGACGGCCGGGTGTGTGAATCATTCTTCCAGCTGTGTATTTAATCATTACAGTGGAGAAAGGGAGGGTTGTTGTTGTTTTGCACATTTCACATCCCATCTTCCCACTGCAGCCCCAGCACCAAATGCTACAATGTTACAGATGGTTCCCAACACAACATCGAAGACGTCAGAAAAATAACCAAAAATACGAATAAGTCATTCATCATAAAACACCCTTATAATACAGAAAATCAACCAGCAGCAGGTGACAATGAGCTGCATATTGCGTGGCTCATTACAGTTCTCACCCCTCAACAAAGGCCTGGGCACAAAGCTATGTCTTCACCAAGTGACAAAAAGCAAGCAGTGCTGGTGTTGGACATACCTCTAAGGGGAGGGCATTCCAGAGACAGGGCGCTGTTGCAGAGAGGGTCATTTATTCTTATTACAGTGGTGCCTTGGGTTCTCGAACTTAATCCGTTCCAGGAGTCCGTTCGACTCCCAAAACCGTTCAAAAACCAAGGCGCAGCTTCCGATCAGCTGCAGGAGCTTCTTGCACTCAATCGGAAGCCACGGAAGCTGCGTTGGACATTTGGCTTCCGAAAAATGTTTGCAAACCGGAGCACTTACTTCTGGGTTTGCAGCTTTCAGGAGCTGATTTGTTCGGGAGCCAAGCCATTTGAGTACCAAGGAACCATTGTATACTGCATTGCAGGGTCTTACTGGGCTGATTGCTGCTTCAATGTGCTGGCTATTGTGATGTTATTTGTTGCTTTTAACTTAAATGTTTTAAATTATGTGCTTATATGTTGCAGTTGTATGTTGCTCAGTCTATATACACTTCCCACCTTGTGAGGAAATTTTTGTGAAAGGCGGAGTATAAATTTATTACAAAAAATAAACAAACAAACATTTACTCCTATAGAAAATAGTAGGACATGCTCCAGAACAAACAGGCATAAGATTACAAAAGGGGTAGCTAACATTGTGTCCTCCACCTGACCACTGGTCATGCTGACTTGGGTTGATAAGAACTGTAGTCCAACAATATCTGGCAGGCACCATGTTGGTTACCCCAGATTATGCTGTAAAGAAAAACAAAGCCATTCCTATGATGTGTTGCTACACAACACTCTTTGGAAAAGAGCTTCTAAACAGCGAAGTGCTATATTTCGCCACAGTAATGCTCCAATTTTAGAAATGCACTGCTGCATAAAATTAATTAGAAGCATAATGAATGATTACAACATAAGTCAAATTGCCCAACTGGGATTGACACAGTGCTACTCAAATACAAAAAAGGTTGCAATTAACTTTTATTTTTTAAAAAAATGTCTTTTTATAAGAAGTACATATATTCGTGCACACAACTCTTCAGGTAGGATAAGTTTAGTACGTTAACAGCTTTCTGGACCTCCATTTTTTCCCTTAAAAAGGTAAATAACATAAGGGAAGAGTATGCTAATGAACTGAGAGGCCTTAAATTATTTACTTATATTCAGGTACAAATAACATTCAACCAAAGCTTTGCATTTGTTTAAACTTAACAGCTAAACTACTCTTAGCTATTAGGAAAACTATTCAGATATGTAAGTGACACAAAATATTAACATGGCTTTTTAATTATTAAAGTTGTTTGTACTAAATTAATCATGCTAAATTGGTTCTCCATCAATTTAAATCAGTGCAATTGTTTCAAGTGAAATTTCAGAGTGTCCTGCCCCTCCCCCCCCGGCAAAACAACCACGACCTCATTTCACTGCAATATGGTGAACCTGACTGCCAGCATAGAGAGAAAATATATGGAAGCATGGAATAGCAAGTCTGGAAGGGAGGGAGTGGGGTAAAAGAATCACAGATGGGGGAGGAAACAAAAAGAATGCATGGCACTGAGAAAGTGGATGGAGAAAGGTCTTTCTCCTCTCGTAATACTAGAACTCATGGATAGCTCAGTTGGGTACAGCATGGTGCTGGTAATGCGAAGGCGGCAGGTTCACTCCCCGTATGGGACAGCTGCATGTTTCTGCATTGCAGGGGGTTGGACTAGATGACCCTCAGGGTCCCTTCCAACTTGACAATTCTATGATTCTAACATCTAAACAAGCTGAATGTTGGAAGACTTAGGACAGATTAAAAAGCATTTCTTTATGCAGCGGATAGTCAAACTATGATACTTGTTCCTCCAGGAGGTAGTGATTGTCACCAACATGGATGGCTTTAAAAGCGGAATAGACAAATTCATGTAGCAGATCCACAGATGAATCTGCCACTCTAGCTAGTTTGTTAAGGCCCTTCCAAAGATCTGTGAACCCAGTAGAACCTCTATAGACCATGAGGTTCTACAGCACCACTAAGACCATGGAGAAAGGTAAAAGTTAACAATAACTGTCTTAATAGAGAAAACCTCAGTCTGCACTGTGCGGAAAAGCAAGCAGCAGCTGAATAAACAGGGTGCAGTGGGGAAGAGAAGGAGCAGGTCCAGGGGACTCTTGCCAGTGGGCTTTCTGCTGGGATGTGGACCTTAAGCAATGTCCAACCATGCAGATACCTGACACCAGCCCTAGAACTGATGGCAACACAGGCTGACCTGTTCACACAGCAGATGTACCTCTCCTCAGCAACCTGGACATACAAGCATACACCCCTTCCCCCAGCACAACCAGTAAAGTGGAAACTAGAGAGGGACATGGGAGAGGCATACCTCCCATACACTAGCACATTACCTCTGGCCATTCTACTTTTAAAAAGGCTAGATGATAGCATTAGAAGTAGATAAAAGCTCCCTCTTCTGCAGGCCTTGCATTTTCAATAAGCACAACAATCTACTTTATTAACGCAATGAAATTGAAACAGAGCATTTCCTTCACCATGACCATGTGTTTGTCTGCACCCAATTATTATCTCCAGCAGTCCTGCAGGGCTAGCCGTGGGAAGCCCATACCTATCCTCAACAAGATGAGCGTTACAAGATCTAGAGTCACTTACCATCGTGGTTCCTCTTTGTCTCTCTCATTCTCTATCCAACAGCCTTCCCAGGAACATCCACTTGGTGCCATCCTTATGGTTTTTTGACACCAGGTGAAGACCTCTGTTCACCTAGGCCTTTATATACACTGGCCCTCTCAGTTTTTAAATCTGCATTTCTAACTTTGGGGTTCTGACAAGTTTCTTTTTCCTTATATTCAGGTTCCTTTTATTTTTCATTTAATTTTTTATTACTTATTTATTGTAAGCCTCCCTGAGGGCTTTATATTATGGCTACAAATGTTGTTAATAAATAAAATTTGAAAAGTAGGCTGTGCTCCCAGACAGAGGCTAAGGAATAGCAGCAGCCCTGCTTCCTGGACAAAAGCTGAGCCAGAAATGAGCCTTCTCTCCAGAAGTAACAACTGTTATAGCCCTGACAACTGACCTGAAGAGGAATTATCTACTGCAAGCTCTTTACTAGCTCAGCAATAACTGAGAATTATCAGGAGCTTTCTTATTTTTACTTATGAACAGATGACCTAAATAAGGGCCGGGGAAACTTGTGACATGCTGGTTAGAGCCAATGTGAGCTGGGAGCCCAACGATATGGGGGGGGGGGGCGTAAATTGCCCACTCATGAATTAAAGCTTAATAGAACTGCCAATGCAATGACATCTTGGAAACTACAGACAACTCTTGACAATTCCACATTATAAAGATGTATATAAAATTATGTGACCTACTTAAGAGAACTCAAGAGCTTTAGGGCTTTTCCTGTACCACCAAAAAGGCTTCATGCATTATTTTAAAAGTGGTTTAAAAAAGCAAGAATTGACAGAACAGGCATTAAATATTCTTCATAATGGATTGAATACCTTAGTAGCAGCAAGAAAACAGTCTGCTGCTTTAACTGAGATTAAGCCTAAGAGTTTACATTTTCTGCTGGTACACAAATACATTCTCTCCCCGCCCACAGAACAAGTTTATGAAAACACTGCAGCTGGCAGCCAACTTACAGAAATGGGTGATATTTCAGAAGAAGCAGCAGCAACACTACTATATTTCAAATACCATGTTTAACTAAGTATATTACCATTGTTTCTCTTTTGCAAAAAACAAAAACAGATTAGCTACCAACATAACTGAGAAACAAAGGATTCATAAACATTTTTCATTAACAACCGTTACAAAAGAAATCGTGTTCATTCTCTACAGACACACATACACTGCCGCTTGCTCAAACTAAAACTCTAGGTAGTCAAAGAAAAACAATGTCATCTTCTGATTTGTGAAAGAGGTTTCTAATTGCAATTAGAAATGTAAAGCATATTGTTCAAGTTATTGGCCACAAGCCAACTGCATGAATATGCAGTAATGGGCTGCTACATGTGTATAACCTTGATCAGAGAATTTTTAACAAGGCTCATCCACTTATTTGGGAGAAGGCAGCTTCCTGGAAGCTGAATCCAGCCCATGCTATCCAGTCCCAGATTATAAACTGTCAGTTATCTCAGTGGATGGTACATGTGCATGTAGAAACTGAACTTAGATGTGTAATCCCAAACCCTCACCACAAGACCCTGCTAGATATATGAGTACCCAAATTTTACAAAAGTACCAATATTGATGTATGTGGCCTCCCGATGATATTGTTAGAGCATACTAGGGATTTTTAAAAAGTTTAATTTTGAATTATTCCTTTCCTCCACACCTGAAGCTATAGACTAGAAATAGGGTTAGATCTGAGCTTCTGTTCATTAAGGAAGAAAAATGCAAGATCCGTTTTCAAAACTAACAAAAGCCTTTTTTGCTAGCACAGATTTTAGTGACTAGTGAGAAAGAACAGTATTAAATAACAGCATTACCTTCATAAGTGTGATAGTTGAAGTAGGCAAAGTGATTCCTTCTCCCTGGGATTAGAAAACACATGCACAGGACCCAGGTGAAGGCAGCATCAGCAGAACAGATACCATGCAGAACATGCGGAGGAGAGCAGAGAAAAGAAAAGATAGGAAAGAGTGAAACTGTAAGCCAACAACACTTACTCAATTTAAAAGGATGAAGTGCTTTTAACGCTTTCAACTTTAAATACTGCACAGAATATAGAGACATTGGTGTTGTGGATTGATTAATACGATTGTTAAGTAGTTGGCAGCAAGCTGCTAGAAGAAAGCACAGAAAAATCACCAAGCAAAGTGGAAAGGCCATCATTAGCTGTACACAAACTAAAACCTTAATTCATATAAGACTTCCATTTTAATTTAGAAATATTGTGTCTTCCATTCATTCACTGTCTATGGGTGGATGTACTGGGGTACCATCATACCCATTACAAACGCACAGAATATGATGCCAAGGTACGTCCACTCACAACTCTGCTTTCAAATATTAAGTAAAGCTGGAATTAAATGGCAGAGTAGCAGTCTCCCAATATGTTGTCATGTGAGATATTTTCCCTACATCCAGACAATCTGTGTGCAAATACAATCATGTGCACTATCACATATGCTGGAGGTTAAGTTTTATTTTGTTGCCAGTATATGAACTGGGCACCCCACATTATAACTGGTTGCTGTACAAAACCTCCACACGTATTATCCCCATATGAAAGACAGTGCAAATGAAGCAGCAGCCCTCAGTATCTTGCACATTCAAAACTGCATATTCCTTCTGGTAAGAAGAGTTCTTGTTGGAAACACTGTGACTGCCTCAACCCTCCTCTCCCATACCTTAATTTCAGACAAATGAAAGTGAATAATAGTGAAAGAACCACAAGAAAAAAATATCCTCTTTTAGGAAGAAATCTATATGCATAGTAAGATTCACGGACAGGAGGCTGGAGCAAAACATGTTTTCAAAGGCTAAAGAACTGCTCCCTATGGTTCTCAAGCGGAGGCAAACTATATAAAAATCAGAATACACGTGACACATACTCTTAAAGGATTAGAACAGTGGTACTACTTTTGTTGTATTTACCATATTCTACTTGTGACCAGTGGCGTAGCGTGGGGGGTGCAGGGGGGACCGGCCGCACCGGGCGCAACACCTGGGGGGGGGGTGCGCTCACAGCTCTCTGCCCCTACTAAAATCCACGGGTTAGGGGGCGCAAATTACTTGCCTTGCCCCGGGTGCTGACAACCCACGCTACGCCACTGCTTGTGACACAAAAGCCACATAACAAATAACTCCAAGTATAAAGATCACATTTCATATTATCATAAAATTCGAGCTACAATCCAGAACTCCAAACCATATGTGTTTACAATGACACAGGCTGGTTTCAATATTTTCTGATTACATCCTTCAGCATAACCTGAATCTAGTTCTACAACAGAACATTTGCATACATGGCTGATAGGTGGTGAGACTCCAAAAGTCTACTATCACAATTACTACACTGGAAAACCATTGACCCATCACTGCAGACATTTCTGTGTGCTTTGTTTTCCACACTGTAAACCCAGAATATATTTTCCACCTGCGGTTTATATATAGTGGCATGCTTATTTATATGCCACCCTTAATTATAATATTTTCAGATTGGCTTACAAATAAATCTCATGATAAAACAGCAAAAAGCAGCAGGTAAAAGCAGCACAAAACAGTACAGATAAGACTGAGAATTGAAAAGGAAATAAAAATTTTTGCCTAGTGCTGACAAATTATCAGAATAGGAACCAAGCCAAGTCTCCCTAGGGAGAGCATTCCACATGCAGGGTGACACCAGTGAATAGCACTCACCCACCCACCTCCCCTCCCCTCCCAAGGAGCATCAGAAGATGATCTCAAGAGTATAGACCAGGCTACAATCGGAGAAGGTAATCCTTTAAGTATCCAGGCCCCAATATATTTAGGGGTTTAGAAACAGGCCCCAGGAAACAAACCAGGAACCAGTTCAGTTGTTTACATAGCACTGACACGATGCATTTCCATTGTGACAGCAATTAGCAACCAAGCAGCTACAGTTTCAGAACACAACTTGGCATTTCATTTTTTAAAAAAGCTTTCTTTTTGTGCTTCCCTGCTAAACCAAATTTTGTGTTATTTTAAAAGAACAGAAATCTAGCATACAGTAAAAACTGATATACTAAACAGTTTATGTGCTCTGTATTGTCAGCATATTCAAGGAAAGTTATTAGAATAAAGTCTTGATTTAGAAATATAATTTTAGTGAAATCTCAGTTAACAAGCTAGGGACAGCATACATAGCACCATTTTAACTTAACATGCATCATGTGACATAGGGAAGCCTAAGAATTAGTGATGGCCTAAGGTTTACGGAAGGGACGCGGGTGGCACTGTGGTCTAAACCACTGAGCTTAGGGCTTGCTGATCAGAAGGTCGGCAGTTCGAATCCCTGCGACGAGGTGAGCTCCCATTGTTCGGTCCCAGCTCCTGCTAACCTAGCACACAGTGCAAGTAGATAAATAGGTACCGCTCCGACAGGAAGGTAAACGGCGTATCTGTGCGCTGCTCTGGTTCGGCAGAAGCAGCTTAGTCATATTGGCCACATGACCCGGAAGCTGTCTCTGGACAAACGTCGGCTCCCTCGGCCAGTAAAGCAAGATGAGCGCCGCAACCCCAGAGACGTCCGCGACTGGACTTAATGGTCAGGGGTCCCTTTACCTTTTTTAAGGTTTACCCAATGAGACTTAGGCTTGAACAAGGATGTGAACCCAGGTCTAACAACAACACTATTCATGATGCAACACTGGCTCTCAGGCAACAATAAGCCGTAAGCTGTACACTAGTGCAGCACAAGAGAACTACTGTGTTGTGTCACCAGGAATTAATTAAATTACAGGAATTAATTAAATTACATGAGCCTAAACTACTCACCCACAGTAAAGTCTGTCAACACTATGCCTGCAGGATTCATTGTTTTGGCTTTACCTCCACCACAGCAAGTCATTCTGCCACATCTCTGCATTTGGTGCAACTGGATCAATCACTCCTGATGCACAGAACTATCTGCCTTTAGAAGTAGCTGCCCATTAACACTGTGAATGAATCACTGAATTCCCTCCTTCTGATAAGGCTTGTTCTAATCAGCAATTATTACTATTACAATTATTACTAAAATAAGGGGTGAGCTCCTCTGAGGACAAATAGTTATCTTACACATTGTAAAAGTAAACCTTTGCAAATGTAAGAGTGGATTTGTGCCCCCAATTTTAAATCTGAAAATCCTTAAATCAAATAGTATCAGCTTTGTAAGTCATATACTCTTCTGCGCTCTGCACTTATCTGTTGCCAAGTCTATATTAGCCAGGTCATATAAGATTATACCTTGATCATAAGGAACCCCATGCTTCTTGTGGCTTTTGGACTTGTGGGGGTGCAAAGGTGAGAATGCAAGGGTGGAGGAGCTGGCTTTGGCTGTTCATATTCCTAAAAAACCTGGGGGAAACTTGCAGCATTCCTTAATATGAAGCATTTGCCTATAAATGCTGTTAAAAGCTATTTTTTCCAAATACTGGTTAGAGAAGATTTGCTTTCACAGACTGATATTAGCCTCTGTGAGAACAGTATGAGCAGCTGGTAGAAATAAGATACAGAAATAAGGACAGTAGCTTATACAGAAATAAGGACAGTAGCTTATAGAAAGGGCTGTAATATATAGGAAGCACTGTAGCATCAGTGGTTGAGCACCTGCTTTGCATGCAGAGGGTCCCAGGTTCAATTCCTGGCATTTCCAGGTAGGACTGGGGGGAAATTCCTGATCCGAAACCTTGCAGAGCTGTTGCCAGTCAGTGGAGACATTCCTGAGCTATATTGACCATTGGACTGACTAAGTACAGTGGTACCTTGGTTTACAAACTTAGTCCATTCCGGTAGTCCGTTTTAAACCGAAACCATTCTTAAACCAAGACACGCTTTCCCTAATGAGGCCTCCCGCTGCCGGTGCCCTTCCACCGTTCGGATTCCGTTCTTAGACCGAGGTAAAGTTCTCAAACTGGAACACTACTTTTGGTTTTGCAGAGTTAGTAAACCGAATCGTTTGTAAACAAGACTGTTCTTAAACCGAGGTACCACTGTATAAGGCAGCTTCCTATGCTCCCATTACTAAAAACAACAGCTTAGATACAAATATGGCCAAATTTATGTAAAAGGTGCACTCCACTCTGGGAAGGACTATTCTGTTTAACTTATTCATCTTATTTTCGCCCTGCCCTTTATCATCTGGTCTCAGGGCAAATACATCATAAAAACTCATAAAAATACAAATGCTATATAATAAAATACCACATTAATAAAAGCACAGCATCAATAACATATTAAGAAGGCAATAAAAACATGAGAGTCAAAATCTCAACCCCTCCCAGAAATATTATACCTCACTCTAAAGTGTTGTGTAAGAAATGTGAAACAAAAGTCAAAAGATGTTGTTACGGAAGCAGAAGCCTGAGATCCAACACAGAAGCTACTTATTACAGCACCCTGTGAATCCTTGTGCAAACCTTTTCTCCGTGGTGCAAATCTATCTTCATATACATTTATCTTTAATGTGGTACCTATGTATACAATTTGAAACAAAACACTTCAAAAATGAAAATCTATGAAGTTTTATTCTAATGGAATATTGAAATGTAAGTCTGTTATTTTCTTTACTATTATGTGTTTTTTTGTTACCTCAGTGATTTCATGGATGACTATATCAAACAAAGCCTCTTCTTGCTTCAAAAACTATCTGATGAAGTTGCTTTATCCAACTTAGCCAAAATTACCCTTGACTAAAGATCACGAAATCTTAAAACTTCGGTTGGAAACTGCAATCAAAATAACCCATCCCTACCAATTCTATTCTATAAAGCACAATAAATGGAGGATAGTGAACTCTAAAGTATTAGAGTCCATCAGGGTTGACCTGAAAGCAAGTGATTCAAAAAATGGATGAACATTATTGTAAAATAAATTCTTACCGGGACTTAGTTCAACCAGATAAGGTAGCTTCTCTGGATGAAGGGAAGAGCCATAACCAGACCCGTCAACTCTTTCCTTCCCCTTTAATGGCTTTCCATCAAATTGTTTCTTCAACTTCTTTGGAACATAATCAGGTGGTCGCCTTTTCAACTGAAAGACCAGTATCCCTAAACATAAAACCACAAACAAAACATCTGAGGTCTGTCCTGTCTTCAAGGTATAGATAAATTAAATTCATATTAAATTGTACATTATTAACTATACTGATTTGACTGTGCTCTCCTAAACAGTAATTATCAAATTGAAAATTAGGATTAAATATAAGGATTAAAGAACTATAATATTTTCTATTCAACATAATTTATTAATGTTCTCTAGAATCCAGTGCTCTAGAGTACATTAGATCATATTTTATATTCAAATGGATAGCCTTTTTCATTCTAAACAAACCACAATCAGTAAGCCAATAACAAGTCTTTGCAGCCCAGGGGCAGGAGAGAGGATCACAGAAAAAAAAACCTGCTTTCCTTTGCATCCTGCTGACTGAAGCCTCACCATTCACTGAGCAACACTACTGGATACAAAGCCTTGGGTACAAAGAATGGATTGTTGGAGCAAAACAAACCATGAACTCCTGGTTCAAATGTAATGCTAAGCCAGAGATCATGGTTTGTTTCCTCCCAGGTGAGCAGAAAGGAGCAAAGTGGAAGCGATTAACTTCTGCAATGTATGACTTTCCATCAGCCATTGTTTGGTGCTTCATGAATATACCTGGAGGAGCCTTGGGCTCATGACTCCTTTCTCCCCTCATGCATGATGACTGCCTGTCAACAAACAATTGTTTCAAATCCTGATTAACAAGATCATACAAACAATAGCCTGATCATTCAGACACTGAGGCAAACCATAACAGGATCAGACAACAGGGACTCATCCATGTCCAAGGGGAGAAACAAAGTGCACAAGTTTTAGGTTTAAGGCTAATAACCCACTCCTCCTCCTGGCTTGCTCACAGTGCCTTGCCAGTATGTGACCATTGGGTTTTATTACATATTATGAACAACTAAAATTACCTTTGTCACTTGGCCATTCCCTGAATATCTGAAGTGGGCACTCATCATCATCAAGAATAGATTCTTTAGCACCTTTATCATCAGAATGTTGAGCACCAGGAGGAAGCATGACCTACAGAAAAGATAAACTATGAGTTTGAACAGAGCAGTTACCCAAGGATAAACACTCAAAGGCCAAACCACCCTCTCCTTTCCTTTCTCCAAATGTAAGCAGTACATAATTCTGTTGGTACAAAGTATACCATGCCATATTATTTGGGAGGGGGGAATACAAATAAAAAATTATTATTATATTACCTGTGCCCACTGCTCAACCAAAAGGTAGTAAGAATGCATGCTTTCAAGTTTTATGACTCTGATATTACAAAGTAGGTTGTGAAATTTTATGCCTGCATCACGGCTGGTAATATAGTATCACAGTGGCCCTGTTCAGCCATAATGAGAAATCATGGTTTTTCTGTTGTGGGAACAAGACTGCAGAAACCTTGGGCTCCCATGATCCTTTGTACAACAGAAGATGGAAAGTTTTCATTTTTTAACCAATCACCATTCCCCATTGCATCTTAATTTGATCAACTGCAATCTGTTATAAATGTGACTAGATAACAAACCAGGATTATGAAACCATAATCTGATGTTAACTAATCATAGTTTGCCAAATTCAGATGTAATGGGGAAGGGTCACTTATTCAAACGCAAAAGCTCTCAATGCCTTCCTCCCTATCACAAGAAAGAAGGACTGAATGCCCAGGCTTGCTGTGAGACATTCACAGAACAGAAAACCATGGTTTCATGTTTACATTTAAACAAGACTAAACTCTGAAATATCTGCCAAGTTGTGTATCATGATCAAGAAGGTGTGGGGGAGACCATGGCTGACAATTTAGGAATGACACAAATAACTTTATATTATGACTTCTGCTTCAATATGCCAGAAAAAGATGTACACAAATACAATAATATGCTTCCACAAATCTAAGATTTGGCTAGATATACGGTATATGAATTCTACTACCAAATAATAAATCAAACCATAAATAAAAAGATTTTACTAACTAGCACAGAAAGGAAATCAGCACCCAAGTGACCACAATACAGAAGACCCTAACACCAGTCACCTCACTGCAGGTTACTCAGGGTTACAGTGAAATTAGTTTTTACCTGTGCATCTTCTTTCTGCTACACGATAGGCACCCTATTTTCCTTCCACCTTCACTTAGTAAAGGCAACAATTCAGAATGCTGCTAGACAGCAAACTTTCCTCTTTCCTGCCATAGTCAATATCGATATCAAGGAAAACCCTAGCTCCAGTGCCTACAGGCCTAAATTCAGGCTTCTTATAGGAATGTAACAGCCCTTGCAACTTTTAACAGAGAGAACTGTACTACTACAATTCAGGGTATCTACTAGATGGGAAAACCAGAAACTTTAGAGAAAATGGCACTGACACTGAAAAATAATTGGCTACATACACAAACCTTTAAAGAGATATCTGCCAATGATGTGCTGAAAAAATCCATACTCAGGAATTTTTGTACTATGTTTTCAGAAGTCTGATAAATTATGTTCATAGTATGTAAGGTACTTCAAGGATTCAATCTTAGAATTGTCTGAGATTGTAACAAGAGTTCCTCTTGACGACCCATTTTAGCTTTTGCCCATACTGCAATGAGTTAGGTAACAACAACTTTAATCAACCGTCAAAATAAAGCCCACAGGGATGTCTATCCATGCCAGTCAACAGGACTATACCACTTTTGCTCATGGTACTACAGCTGAATGTCAGCATGTGCTAACAATAACAGCTGTCTGAGGCTGAGGTGGCATCTGATTGGAACTTTATGCCTTTTAGTCAAAACCTTAGTTTGCTTTAAAAACAGATGGAGAATACTATTCAGCACTGTTAGTTTTCACTAATTTCTGCTACTTTCTTCAGGGCAAGACGCCAAGCAAGTTAGCCAAGAACCCAACAGATAAAATCACTTGACAGGATAATAAAGTTATATGACGCTAAAACTAAGATTACAGCCCAACCATACCGACCCTAAGATCTGAAGAGCCTGAGGAACCAACTTATGTTGATACAGACAATAAATTATAAATAAGCTGAGTGGGGAATCTCCCCACCAGAACATCATCATTTAAAAAACCCAAGCAGCAGGATTTTTTCAAGAACTATTTTCTTTAATCAATTTACTCACACGAGCAATACAGTAGTCCTTGGGGTTTTCCTTTTCGAGACCATACTTCTCCAGTGCTTCAATAACTGCAAAGTCTGCTGTATCTGTGGTAGATAGCAGGATTGTCTTGTATGGTATATTTGGTTTCAAACTGTCTGCATAAATCCTCAATGTACCACCTGAAAAATACATAATTTGTAACTTAAATTAAAAATATAATGAAATGTAAGTCACACAACCTAAGCACTTGAACTGATTTTCAGTATCCACTAAAACAGCAAAAAGAAGGAACTTAGGTATTTGCGTATTTATACTTCAAAAGCCCCTGCCTTGAAGTGTCCCCAGGAAGACTAATGGAAGCCAGCTCACATTCTGTAAGTTCCACCCATCCAATGAATATTATTGATTTACTCTAAATTACCACCTGAATCTGGTCTGCCATCAGAGCTCCGGAACTCTTGCATTCTCTTTTCTAGCTTTTGCTGTCTCCGTCGTTTCATTACCACCTCTGGATTAGATATTGTTCGTGTGAAACTGGTCTCAGGCATATCTTTGTAGACCTCTGCGGCAAGGCGAGAATTCTCACTGCCAAGAGTAATTTAAGGTAATAATGAAATAGCTTATTTATTTCAGCACTTTTTATACCGCCTAACACCATAGTCTAAAATAGGCTGTATCCTTATAACCTTACTGTACAATACATATTATTCAGTTAAATCTAACATACTTAAAATGACTGCTGAAATAAAAAGGTCTTTACTAGGAGCTGCAAGTTCAACAAAAAGGGGAGGGTGGTTTCTCTAATCTCAGCTAGGAGGGAGTTCCACAGAGTTGGGCCCACAAGACTGAATGCACACTTCTTGTGGATACAAGCCATGGGGGACCACTAACAGTGACCCCCTTGAGACCTCAGTGACTGGTCAGGGATATAGGGAGTCAGGCACTCCTTAAGGTTTCCCAGATCCAATCTGTTAAAACATGTAAATTAAAACAAGAGCCTTGAATTTGACCTAGCAGCATATGGTCAGTTTGAACCAAAAGTCTAGCTACAGTTTGTTTGCACAAGCTGGTGCTTCCAGAACAGGCTTGCAACTTGCTCTACAGCAGGCATAGGCAAACTCCGGCCCTCCAGATGTTTGGGACTACAATTCCCATCATCCCTGACCACTGGTCCCATTAGCTAGGGATGGTGGGAATTGTAGTCCCAAACATCTGGAGGGCCGGAGTTTGTCATTCCTACTCTACAGAGTGCACTGCCATAATTGAGTCTTGAGGTGACCCATACATGAATCACTGTGGTCAGGCTTTTCCTGTCCCAAAACAGCTATAGTTGGTATACCAGCTGTAGCTGGTAAAAGGTACTCCTAGTTACTAAGGCTAACCAAGCCTCCAGTAACAAAGATGGATCCAGGGGCAACCCTAAACAATGAACCTGCTCTTGAAGCATACAAGTGCACATCACTTAAAAGGTACAAAACAAGAAACATAAAACATACATATTCTATACCCTGTAGTAAACATCTACATGTTGGGGTAGAGCCAAACTTAAATCTTCCATGAACAAAAGGGCTATTTCTATCCAGCAGAGGATTGATGACATGCTTACAGTATTAGGCATCTGTCATCTACAGAGGAAAAAAGTCTCTGCTGATTATAATCAAGGCGATTTAATATTCCCAACCTCCTTCAGAAAGCTTGAGATGGATTTACCATAGTGTCCAAATTCCATTTTTGCCTGTGCGCATGCACACACACAAATATACATATACTACCTCGAAAAAGGAACCTACATAAAACCATCTTCTCTTTGTTGCTGTAACTATTGGCTTTAAACAGAAGAAAAGTAACACTAAACTGAATCTCCCCATTTGGGAGAAGTCATATTTGACCAGATGAAATGCATACATTCAATGGGCAATTTACAGAACCAGATAAAGGAATTTTGTCAAAATGAAAAGAGACATTCCTGAGAATCTGAAAACTCTGTTATTCAGGCCCATTCATATGTAGTGAAACAAGCATGCTTATCCTGGTGTGGTGTGGTGGCCTGGTCTGGATTGGGAGTCCACACCAGTTTCTACTGAAAATCACTTTCTCTTGACTGCTTTTGCTTTTACTGGCGTCTACAGTGAAAAACACTGCCAGGATCAGGAACACATTCTGGATTGGGACCCTATGCCCGCATTCCCCAAAATAGAAGTGACCAGGTTAAGCCTGATTGTTTACCTGTGCGTGTCTAATACAATATGTAGTTTGGCCGCATTTTTTTAAAAAAGCATTAATGGTCACATTAGCCTGCCAATCTGCATTTCCCTCACACACTAGCTCTGGAAGAGAACAGTTAACTCATTCTCTCTGATTATGTAAACTACCTTTGGATGCAATTTATAACCCTTAAGTTATGTGACGGTATTCAATGAGAACTTGTATACACCAACCCTGAAGGAAGTACAATACAAAAACTATTCATATATTTTAAGAGACTTGTCTCCCCAAGTTAAAGTATTCATCTATGTACAGATAAGACATTGTACTATTTGATGCACTGATACTCACATATCATCCCCATGAAACAGCCCATCACCATCTAAAGCTTGCCGTGATGCTTCTTTATCCCGCCTCTTTTTTTCCTTCTTTTCTTTTTTTGATAAAGTCCGTTTGAAGTTCTGAATCACTCCTTCTTTCTCTTGTTTTTCAGGGCCATTGCTTTGAGCCTTCTGAAACAAACAGTGTTTAGTATTATGATCTACTGCAACTCTGACCACATTAATTTCCAAATAAAAACTTATTTCATCTTATTTGAAACATGATGCAGAGTCAGGCGACGTATTAGGATAGTCTGTCCTTGGAGACAATGGATCCAATTGGTCTCCTGGCAGCCTGGGTGATCTTCTGGCTGATATGACTGGTGTTCCCACTGAAGCCCCGACTGAAGTGTGGAATGTGCAAATAGCTCAGGCTGTTGATGTGTGTCCCTGAGCACTCTATCTGCTTGATAGCACCAGTTTGGCTCCTTGGTGTACACCAGAACTTAATGCAATAAAACAAGCTTCAATGCAAGAGGAGGGAATGCTGAATGCTCAGTATCAAGCCTACTGAGTGGCAGTGAAAGCAGCAAAGAAGACATACTTAGCTGCCTCCATTGCAGCCTCAGTGTGCTGTCCAGCAGAGCTTTTCCACGTAGCATGGTTCTTTTACAGCTTGGCCCAAAGCAATACACAGAACTGATGGTGGCTCACTGTAATTTCTTTGCACAGAATGTTAAGGGTAAAATCACTTGCATCAACCAGGACCTCTGGAGTAATCTGACCAACTAGCCACCTCAGCAAGTGTCAGTTGAAAATTCATTGACTGTGAGCAATACTATGATATTTTAAGTTACTTTGTTGACTATGGAAGATACCCGAGAGCCATTTCGCAATCAACTGCCTAGCCTCATCAGTCAAGTCAGTAGCTAGCAGAGTTGTGATCCCTGCTGGCTGCCCAGCAGTGACAATAAATCAGAGCAGACTGTCTGATGACACACACTAATAGGCTGTAGAATGTGACTATAATGGAGAAGGATTATCCAAAACTCTGTCATATGTACCCATAATACATTGCCAGATTTGTTGTTGCAAGCCCAAAGGCAATTTATGAAAACTCAAATGCATTTACAGTAGTGTCAAAAATATACAGTAATATTGCTTTCTTTTACCTTTGGAGGAAGTGCATCATTTTCATTCTTGAGTACAAATCTTCCTTCTCGATCATCTTTGTTCCAATTTAATTGTACAACTAAAGGTTTCTCGTCTATATCCAATCTTCTTTCTTCTTCAAAATATGAAATAAAGCATAACTAGTGGTTACTTACTATTTCAAGATCAACGATTGCAGTACATTGACTGTTAACTTATTAGCCAAACAACAAGATTTAATTTATTGCACTTCTAAAGCAGAAGACCATATCAGATCTTTCAAAGCAGTGGTAGCTGACATGGTACCCTCCAGATGTTGTATGTCAGCTCCCATCATTCCTACTGGTCATGCTGGTTGGAGCTGATGGGAGCTGCAGTCCATAACATTTGGAGGATACCTGGTTAGCTGCCCTGTTTTAAAATCAGAGCAGAATATGAACCACTGGCAAACTGTGCCAACAGGCTACTCAGACGATACTAATATTTATTCATTTCAAAGTTCCTTCCATAAGTGAAAGGGGGGGCTCCTCTACGGCTCCTATTTTTTATTTTTTTAAACAACAGTTATTAAAGCCATATCCTCACTACCATTTCAGATAAATATTGCTCACACAGCCAAAGCTAGAAACTGACAGGTTAGCAATTACTTCATTTTTAAAGTCATCCTTCTGCTAAGAAGTAGCCTCTCAAGATATAGTTACAAAAACATATTTAGGAAATATCCAATTTAAACTCAAGAACATGTAATATAACTTTTTAAAATTCTGGATGTTCTGTTAGATTTTGTAAGACACTTTTGAACATCTCTATAAGAAATGGGGAATGTGGATTAAAAGTTTATGGTAAGAGATTAAAATAAATTTGTAAGCCTGAAACAGCTTTTAAAACCAATAAAACAAAACAGCACTTTCGCTAGATCATGCTGACTCTCAATTCAGCTTCAGTTTACCAAGACATATCCAATCCACTACCAAATCAAAACACAAACTAGTTCATAGTCAATATTCACATTCCTAAACCAGTCCAGAATGAAAGAAAACGGAGTGTCATAAACACAGTGATGATACCAAACTCCAGATATCCAGACATCAACATCTAACAGATTATTAAAAAAAAATTAAAAGCAGTACTAGCAAGACAGAAGCCCAAAGCATTTTATGTCAAGGTTACTTCTTAAAAGCTGAAACAGTAGACACTTAACAGTTCCAACCAGTCAAGAATAAGGAGAACCCACAGAAAAGCAGATATGCACACAAAAAACACTTATTACAAGCAGCCCTAGAAAACCTAATGAAGTTCCTAACTATCAGCTGGTATACAATGTTAGCATCAAATCCTGACATGAAGCCTGAAGAAAAACTTCAGTTTTTCTTTTCTAGAAAATTTGTATAATTTCCAAAAGAGAAATACACAAATGAGTAAAATACTTTAAAATAATTATGAAAGGCAATGTCTGCACGCTATATGTACATGTACTGCTTGGTATATTACAGCCTGAAGAAAAAGATGTCAATGGAAGAGAGCATTAAGGAGTATTTCAGAGTTTGGCTTAACAATCTTCTACTGTTATTTCTAAGACAATGAATGGTTATTCTGTTCAGATGTGCAATTCTGAGCTTTCTGTAGAAACCGTTTTCCTGCATGATTATATTAAGATTACACATTGTTTCTAGCAAGCAGGGTCCTAGAGAGAAATCAGTAACGAGTGCAAATGAAAGAAAGTAGTTGTGTATATTGCTTAATACCAACTCTCTTTAAGAGGTGAGGTACCACATTCTGAGCCAGCTGAAATTTACAATCCATGTTCAAAAGCATTCTATTAATTAATCTTGAGAATACAATAATTCATATTATCATTACTGTGTGGACTAATAGCTGGCATCAGTTAATGAAAAATCATTCTACACTACTGTAAACCCAGCATTGTGGACATGCTTCTTTAAAAAACAAATCTCAGAACAAGTCTCCAAGCCTTCAAAAACCAATGCAAGATCTTCCTCTTCATTAAGGCATTGGGAGACTTTTTTTCTGAGGCCACATCTTGAGGTCTTACATTTTGAATCTGAATTTTCTCATATTGTAATTTGTGAGTGTGTGTCTTTGTTATGTTGTTTTATGTTGCAAGTTTTCAATATGTCATTTTAACTGACAATTTTGTTGTCTCTAATCAATGTAACTGCCAAGGGAAACTGCCAAGCAATGTAACTGCCAAGCAGTGATTGGAAATTACTTAATCTTCTAAGCCAAATTTTTCTCCCTCTCTCTCTGCAATTAATATAGATACAGTTTTAAGTTTTGAGTAGTCTCAAACTTAATACACTAACCTCCACTGACGTGCACTTCATAAAGTGAGTATTTAGGGGATGATAACATCCGCATATCCGGCCGAAATTTCTCCGCAAGTGTTTCTATCACATCCTGAGTTGTAGCAGTGCTAGACACACGGATACATTTTGTTGCAAAATTCCCAGCTGCTTTGTCTTGAAAATAAAATCTCATAACTCCATGGAATTCCAGATCCTGTAATGAAATAAAATAGAATCAATGACATTTTGTCAATTCACTTGCTTTTTTATGTAATAATTTATTTCTATACATTTATCAATGATTTTGCCTCTCCAGTACACCAAGTTATTCTTACATATTCAACACATTCCAAGAAAAAAAGTGTATGAGTGGAGAAAATAGTCTCTTATGTTTACTTTCCCTACAACTGGAAATAGCACATAACTGCCATAGCAAATAACTCTTCTTCATACCCATACCCTATATAAACTGGAGTGCTTTGATTTTAAATATGCTTAGTTCTGTATCAGAAACAGTTTAAACAAATAACTCCAAGTGAGCTGCATTTGAAACTTGACTACTGCAACGTTTTAAATTTTAGCACTTTTCATGAAGAACATGTTTACTGATCCTAAAACAACATTTATCATGGTGAATGCATCACATTAAGATTCCACAACTGAATGATCTGTATCATAATAGTTCCAAATTACATCTTCTGCCCTATATATCTGCCTTTACCTTGAGATTTTCATCAGAGGCTCTTTTTTCAAGTTTCCCCATGTGACATGAGGTGGTGTCAACCAGAGAAAGGGCCTTATTGGTGATGATCCCCACTTATGGAACCCACCCCACCCCCCAGGGAGACTCAACTGGAGTCCGTCCTATAAAATTTCACGAATGAAATCTGAGTTATTTGAAAACAATACACAAGGTATATATAGACTTTATAGACTGATGTTTAAACACAGTGTATTAACTGCACCACTGCTTCAGGTTTTATTACAACTGGTTAATTGTATTATGATCATCCTAAGCTTCATAAACCATGAATAAGTACAGAAAGGAGAAAAAACTTCAGGCAAATGCAGAAGGGTTATTTTTTATATTTTCAAAATTATGTATCCTAAAATATTTAGAATGTCCACCAAAAAAATTGCAATTATGAAAATAGATCCCTGCATTATTCCGCAATGCTAGAAACTTGTTACATGCTTTAGTACAATATCAGTCCATCTTAGTTCTCTCTCACACTCGGACTGCTACTGGCAACATCCCTTCACTTCTAGTATATTTCAAGTGGTTCTTTCCAGCTCATCTCTTAAAGGAACATTACCCTCACAAAGCAGTCTATCTTCTTCAGACAGCCAAGGTACATGATCTGCAATAGCTGCATTCTTACATTAATGCACTATGCATTTATCAACTTGGGCTGATGTAACAACTGTGACCCTACATGGACAAATAAAGGCTAGTTGGCCAGTTCTTGTAACCTCTCAGTTCGATTACTATAATGTGTGGGTCTGCCTCTGAAAACAGTCCAGAATCTCTTCATTTGATCCAAACTAAGGTGGCCACATTATTTGAGCATGATGGATAAATACCATCCCTTTACACCAGTGCTTCATCATCTGCACTGGCTTCCAGTCCACTTCTGGGCTCAATTCAAAACTCCAGCTTTAACCTTTAGAGCCCTAAATTCAAGTTATCGAAGTAGTTGCCATGTGAAATTCTAGGGAATTATCTGGTAAAGGGAATGTGAGATAGTTCATATACATGCACAACATAGGACTTTCATTGTTTCACAGGAATGTTTATCGTAACTAGGATAATGATATCCTACGTAAACCCACAAGCATCTTGTGAACATCCAAATACTAAGCAGCAAGTAACGTACTAAAAGCCATGACAGGAATCTCTAGGTCTTACTTGCTAGGGTACACTGGAAACCTCCACATTTTCTCCACAGTACAAAACTAATGCGTAAGTGCTAACTCAGCAGCTCAGCAACAAGATATGCACTCACATATATGCCCCCTTCCACCGAGGAGTACTGCCCTAGCCAGGGGAAGAAGCGCAGAAGAAGGGAGGGGGCAGAAGTCCTCCTGAGACTTGTGAAACCTGGAGGGTCAAAGTGAGAACTAACTAACTAACTAAATAAATAAATAAATATGGGAGCCACTCAAAAATTGTATGTAAAAACAGACTGGTTAGCCTTGCAAAAATAATAATCAAGAAATGATCCCCACCTGCTTATCTACTCAAGTGATTTGCTCACTCCATAACTTACCCCATTTGCTCACCACATACCCCACATACTTCCAGTAGGAAAAAGAGAAATCATCATTTACACCAGGGGTCAGCAACCTTTTTCAGCCGTGGACCGGTCCATCGTCCCTCAGACCATTTTTTTTGGGGGGGGGAATACACAAATTCCTATGCCCCACAAATAACCCAGAGATGCATTTTAAATAAAAGCACACATTCTACTCATGTAAAAACACGCTGATTCCTGGACTATCCACGGGCCGGATTGAGAAGGTTGCCTATCCCAGATTTACACTGTGCTGTTTTACAGTGCAGTACTAACAGCAGTCCCTCCCACTAGTCCTCACCACCCCATCCAAGTTATGAATGCCAACATTTTTTCATGGGTCAGAGAGAAACAGTTGTGGCATGTGAGCAGCTCTTCAGAAACTAAGCACATACTTTCTCTTGATCTCTCTCCCTGCAATTCACTAAACCAAATTCAGATACGCAAATGCAGGAAGACTCATTGGCTCTCTGGCCTAGTCTTCATCTACTTTCTAAAAGGCAAGAATAGATCTAGGCACATACGACTCTCAGGGGAGAGCATTCCACAACAGATAAGGTGTGGCAAAAGCTGAACATTTATAATTTATAACTCACATTTCCTCTCTGAATAGAGATGCCCAAAACAGCTAAAGCAATACACCAACAACATAGCAATGATATTTCATTTTAAAAAATCTCCACCACAACAAAACATCCAAGAACTGAACACAAGAGAGCCAGACTATAAAACCCCCTAAAACCACAAAAGTCAAAAGCTTTTTATAAAAGAACTTTCTAGTTGAATGAACACCAGCAAAGGAGGAGATAACCTAACCTCCTGTGGCAGGGAGTTCCATATAAATTATGGCTCTATTTACTCCATTGGCATTAGGAATTGTCTGAAGCACTGTTATAAAGTTTTATGTTTATATATACAATGCAGAGTTAGGAGCAAAGGTTCCAATTTGTATGTCTTAAGAACTACCCAAAATGCCTGTTGTTTCAATAGGTAAGTTGCATGCACAGACAAAGAACTTCTGCATATTGTAAAGGCCACTCGGGACCTCTGCAGAAAGATGCCCCTGTGGAATCTCTGTCAATGAAGGCTGAATACCCAGTGTTAGGAAGAAGGGGCTCTCGTCACAAATTTTTCCAAATACAAATTTGTCCTAAATACAATGCTTTATCATAAAATTGTATGACGACCATTAATTGACATGCAAGGGAAAGTGTACATTAGGCTAAACCTGAAGTGGTCACCAAGGACAGCAATTAAAAAAAATGATGTCTGTTTCTATTTAGACAGCAATATTCTGAATTCTATTTTTTGGTAGAGTGCAATGAAATGTTGGGAACTGGCTTTTCAGATTGGGTAGATAGACATAAAGAAGAGCCATGGTAGATCATAAAAAATACTCTCTTCTCTTACACCCTTTTGCTCTCGGCGATCAACCAAATGCACATGGGAAGCTCAAAAGAAGAACATGAAGGCAACATTCCTCTTCCACTTGTTCCTCGTAGTCACTGAAAGCTTTATCTTCAATACAGTTGTCTAATCTCCCATTAAACACAGACAAGCAAAACGACTTAACACTGTGATAGCTGGGCTGTACAAGGACCCCTAAAATGCAAAGAATGCATCTCAGGTAGACTGAGAGTTAATCACAACACATTCATCTGCATTACAGTGTCACACATTTAAAACTTCATGAGTCTGTTACCTCCCATTTCCAATCCCATTATCTGGGATAAGGATTGTTTTTTGCACCTTCTCAACTGTGTTCCAGACAATTTACTCACCACTACCACAATTACTACCAGTCACCACCACCAAGCAGAGTTAAACAGGACACAAACAGAACTGAGCCAAGCCCTAACTTCACAGGTCCCATTTGGAGTTCAGAGTCCTTCTCCACATTCTCCAGATTTGTATCTCCCATATAACATTAGACTCTGTTCAACACAAATTTCAAGATGAGTGCTCACAATATTGTTGGCAATTCAGCTACAATGTAAGTGGTACAATTATTACCAACGCCTACAAAAGTGTATTAATACATTAAAAAGCAGTCTGATATAGACTTAAGACAAGAATGAGTTGTCAGAGTCAGCAGGTCTACCTTTTCCTTATGAAAGGATACACTAGCCCTCACATTCAGCCTTATATAAAAACTATCTTTTAACTAGAGAAATAGCCTACAGTTTTCCTGGGCTACTTATCTTCTTGTTGCCTAACCCTTCTTCAGAACTTGGGTTAACTATATCCCATTTTATTACTGGACCAGCTTTCCCCCCTACTAAATGCTAGCATCTAGAAGGTGATGTTTCTGTTTTCTTGCTATCAAACAATAGCATATATTAATATTATGCCCAACAGAACACAAGAGTAACAATGACAAAAAAATATGCTACTGAATATATAACAAAAACAGACAAAGGGGGAAAGCAAATAATTGTGGGTATCTCTTACAAAAGCATTTCTTATCATTACAGGACACAACATGGGAAACTCCATGAAAATGTCCCAGAATCACAGAATCATGTGTGAGAACATGCATTTTTCCCCATTAATCAAGCTGAAAGCAAAGACATGTTCAGCTACATTACTTTATAACATTACGTTTTTAAATTGGACAGACATAAAATTCATATTAAATGCCGAAAGTCTACTGTATGTACAGATTTAGTTACAGAAGGGCTAACAGCAATGAGAGAAATGATAAAATATTTGAAAATGAATTTCAAGTGAAAGCAACAATAGTCTGAAGAGAGACAGAAAACAGTACAGTCATACCTCGGGTTACAGACGCTTCAGGTTGTGTTTTTTCGGGTTACAGACCGCTGAAACCTGGAAGTACCAGAACAGGTTACTTCCAGGTTTCGGCAGTTGCGCATGCGCAAAGTGCTGAATCGCAACCCGCGCCGCTGTGGGTTGCGAACGTGCATCCAGAAAGGATCACGTCCGCAACCCGAGCACCCACTGTATTGTTGAGAAACAGTGCCAATGAAATATTCCATAAACCAACAATATATTCAGTGCTTTGGTTGTTATGAAAACCCTACAAATGTGTTAAGGATCATAAGAATCTAAGCTTATCCATGTTTGCTTTGAACACACATTCCTGCCATCTGATTACAAAAAAGAGCAAGAAAGAAACAGCTTGATATGACAGTAAGGGATCCCAGAGAGGAGACTGCAGCATTCCTGGCCCAGACTTCCTCCTGCACTGCTGCAAGCTAAGCCATGGTTTGGCCAAGCATGTTATCCAAACCCAGGTTTTTGCTTTGTCTTCTCCAAACAAACCATGAGCTGCAAACCACAAAACAAATATTGGTTACAGTCTGTGGTTTTTCTAGAGCAGGGTTTCCGAAACTTGAGTGTCCAGCTGTTTTTGAATTACAATTACAATAATCCCTGACCACTGGTCACGCTAGCTAGGGATGAATCGAGTTGTAGTCCAAAAACAGCTGGAGACCAAAGCTGGGGAAACCCTGGTCAAGAGGAAGAGAAACAAGAGCCCACCGTGCCCAACTGTCTTTTGATCCACCTTTCTTTATGTCAAGTTGGTTACACAAGACACTGCGCTCACAACCTGAACATTGATCCCAGAGGGAATGACAACAGGATTGTGCTTGTAAAGCCCATGAATTCAAAGTCAACTTCTTATGCACGCTGATTATTTGACAGAGCTTGAACAAATCAACACACCTTTGTATATTTATATTCATGCTTACTATACTGCTTTGTTTGCTTATTATTTGCAGGCTACAACATGTTCCATTTGTATTGCAGCTTGCAAAAAACAAGCAAACCACCACAATACAACTTTAAAAAAATCACTGCTGTAATGAGAGTTCGTAGTTCGCTATTTAATCTTGTTATATTTGTTTAATTTCTATTTTATAAGTTAGCCCGAAAAATATTTAAACTGAAAGGCAGAAAGTTTTAAATAAATAAAACTAAACAGAAAAGCAATCAAGTATATTACTGTACAAAGAGAATTACATACATAAACCACTCTGAGGACTTTATTGCTTAGACAGTAATTCAGTTGTACAAGCTAACAAACTTGTCACATTTTGCATGGATGTGATTTTTAATGTTCTAATGAACCAAAATCAGATTTTCTCGAGGAAATACTTCTTCATGACTATGGCTAGCATGTTGGGATTCACCTAATTACGTCACATATAATTAATACCATCATGGCATGTTCAATGGAAGGTGTTTCTGCCCAAATTTTGACCATCTCCCCCTTTCTACTGTTGTGATATAGCCCATCCTATTTTAGGGGTTCAGGAAGGGATAAGGGGGTGAAAAAGCCACTTTCTCTCAACACCCTTTCACCAACACTTCTCTGAATAAATATATATGCATATCCTGTGTATGACAAGAAAACTTGTGTGGCAACTCTGGTCAGCTCCGGTACATACTCATAAGGAAATGCTGTCACTTGCCTCAGATGAATCAGAACGTTGCCTTAAATAAAATTTGAATGAACAGCATTCTACAATACCACATTCCACAGGCAGAAATACCATGACATATCAGTAATAATGCAAGTCATCTTAAATATGTTTCATCCATTCTAATAATATGCAGTGCAAGAATTTCAATCTCATTTTCAGATCACTAGGTCAGGGTATTCTGACTGAAAGCCAAAGGCCAAATCTGCCCATAATTGCTACAGCGGGGAGAGCCTCCCTTCCTTTCCCTTTACCTGCCACTTCTTGATGGCCAATCACACAAACCTCTCTTATACCTGTTTCCACTCCAGACCAGAAGGCCAGAAGCAGCACAAATAGCATTGTTTTGAAGCTTGCAACAGGTTTATTTCTACAGCCTTGAACTGAAGTCTATTGTTCTATAACATGTCTGCAATTCCATGGAGTAGCAATACAACTATCTGCTGAATGTAACAGGTTATTCAACCATTAATTCAAGTGCAGTGGTATACAAAGGCAGGACACAAAACCATAGAATGCTCATAAGGATTATGAAAGTTTATTTACTATTGGACACACACAAGATTAAATCCTGGCTGAGAGTGATTCTTTCTATCCTACTGAAGCCCAGGAAATTTTTTTTAAAAAAATTCAACTACTGCACATTTAAAGTTGCATCCTCTTCATATGATGTCCCATAGGAGCACATGTGTTGTCCCAGAGTTTGATTTTGTCTCCCATACTTTTTAACACCTATATGAAGCCACCAGGAGAGGTTATCAGAGAACCTGGGGTGATGTGTTGTCAGTACAATGGTGACACTCAACTCTTTCTCTGGGGTTTGAAGGAACAGCCTGATCTAGATAATGTTGCATTCCCCTAAATAAGCAGGTGTGTAGCTTGTGGGTACTGCATGAGCCATATCTGTCACTTAAAGTCACCATGGCTTCAGTGGCAAATAAGCAATAAGCACTCTCCCAATGCTACTCTCTAGACTTGCCCCTACAGAGAGGATCACAACCACTACAGTTCAGTGTCTCCAATAGCAATCTCAGAGTGGGTCCGGGAGGATGCAATGGTAAATAGTATCAAAAGCCACAGAAAAATCAAGAACAGTAACATTCCCCATGTCCCACCCTCAATCAAGAAATTAGGGCAACAAAGGCTGATTCAGTCCTATATCCAGGCCTGAACCAAGAACAGGAAGGATAATCTAGACTACAGTAATATATTCTATGAGGGGCTGCCCTTGAAAATGGTACAGAGGTTTCAAAAGAGAAAACCTTCCTCCACACCTCTGCAATGGCCTCCTCTGCAGATTTTAACAGGCAGGCAAGGCAAGCAAGCACAGGGGAAGAAGGTTTTTTTTCAGGTATTGGTGACTTAAATCATGTAGGGTTTTATACGTCATCATGAGCACCTTAAGCCAGGTCAAAAATGCCAATGGCAACAATGCAATACTGTCTCCTAACACTGATTCAGCACCTGCACTGCCTCTCCTTATTCAGATGGAATGGATATCCTCAGCATGCCATTGATAACACTTCAATTAATTTTGGAAGAAGAGGTACCAATGAATCAAAAAGTAGCAAACATTAAACTTTCAATCTCAAGAATCAGGGAGAGAGTTTATTTGAGCATTACTCATAAAATGTTTTACTGATAAGGAATCTTAAAATTATCATAATGAAAGCCAGTTAACACCATCTCCATACATCAGTCTCTCAATTTTCTAGATCTCTACAGCATCACAGCATACCAGTCTCAAAGTTATTACTTCATTACACAGCTTCCTACCCCACCTTCAGTTACACAGGCCAAACCAGAAACTATTTTTTATAACACCTCTCTGGGTTGTATGAGTCATCATCTTACTTCCTTTTATAATACAATCAAAACAGCTGCTCAGATTTAAAACAGATAACACTCAATGAACCTATATTTTCCTTCAGATCAGAGAGCACAGTAGCCACCTTTTATAGGGAATTTGCTAAGCCAGTTTATTGTGGCAAAACAGAATGCAAACTTTGAAATTATCAACCCAAATGAGAAGCTAACTATTAAGTTATTCAGGACAAAACTGCTTTCTCAAAAGTTTTTCTTCTTTCATAAATATTCAACAAAAATATTAAGGTAACAGCTATGATGCATTTTGCCACAAGAAAATATTAATGCATAAGAACAGGGGGTGGGATACCATTTTGAGTCTAAGGGCTAGATCCGGAACTGTCCAACCCTTCCTGTCCCAGCAGCACCCTTGTTGAAGACCACTCCCCCATCCTGCAAAAAGACAAAAAAGGATTGAAAAAGCTAAAACACATTTTAGTCTAATTGCTGGGAAAGCAGTTTCCATTAAAAGTAAACTGTTTCTCCCAGTACTGTTCTTTGAAGCTGGCCCACACTTATCCTTTCAACCTCTAATAGAGACGGAGAGAAACTAGCCTACTGCACAAAGATTTAAAAAACTGTTATTTGTTGCTTCACCCATTTTTGCTTTGGGCAAAACCAGCACCTCTGGCAGGTGGCCCCAAGAAGTTTGCCCCTGAGCTGGAACAAGTTCCCTACCCCTGCAGTAAGATCATTTACTAACTGAAAATGTCAATAAGACTATACTGTGACTAACCCGTATTTATTTATAATTTGAGAAATCAACATACTACAGAACTCAGGTAGTGGTTCCTCGGGTTAAGAACTTAATTCGTTCTGGAGGTCTGTTCTTAACCTGAAATGGTTCTTAACCTGAAGATCAATTTAGCTAATGGGGCCTCCTGCTGCCGCTGCACGATTTCTGTTCTCATCCTGAAGCAAAGTTCTTAACCCGAGGTAATATTTCTGGGTTAGCGGAGTCTGTAACCTGAAGCGTATGTAACCTGAAGTGTATGTAACCCGAGGTACCATTGTAGTTGGATGCCATAAAATAGGAATAAAAGATTACCGGGGGCAGGATGTCAGCAGATGACCCTAATGAGATCCAAAATGACATATCTTGGATCTTATTTAATACCTTTGATGACGTGCAGCCCCTGGTTCCACTAGAAAGTTCACAACACATCCTTGAACTAATAAATCACCTTTGTTTGATCCTGAAGTCAGATATTTCCCCCATTGTAAGCTGTCTTACTCCTGTTTAACAGGAGGACAATGGATTTTAGCTAATAAATTTGAAATTTAACATGTTTATATTAGACTGAATTGTGAAAGTTTTTTCTAACTGACATAATAAACTAATACAAAAACCCAATGTATATTTTTCAAGATGATTCTTATGCATCTTAGCAGCAGCAGGAGAAAAAAACAAAGTGGGAGGAAGCTCAGGTAGCTGGAGCAGGATATAGGTTACCAGCTGCTGAAGAATTTTCACAGTGCTGAAGTATGAGGGATCCTTTTGTCTTGGTCACATTGCTGTTACAGTACTTGTCTTCTAAGATCTAGTGTCAGGACAGGCTATGATATAAATACAATATACAGCCAAGATTTCAATCACAATCCGAGACGGCTCTGGTTGTCCTAACAGATGATCTCCGTAGACAACTGGATTGAGGTGGGTCGGGACTGCTGATTCTTTTAGATTTGTCAGCAGCCTTTGACATGGTCGATCATGATCTTCTGGACCACAGCCTCGCCGACAATGGGGATACAGGGCATAGCCCATAAATGGCTGTGCTCTTTTATCTCTGGTCAGGAACAGAGGGTGACGCTAAGGAAGGAGATATCGTCGCGCCACTCCTTAGTGTGTGGAGTGCCGCAGGGTGCAATCTTCTCCCCGATTCTTTTTAACATCTTTATGCGCCCCCTTGCCCAGATTGTCCGGAGCTTTGGGCTGGGCTGTCACCAATATGCTGATGACACTCAGCTCTATCTGCTGATGGATGGCCACACCAACTCGGCCCCGAAAACACTGACCAGATGCTTGGAAGCTGTGGCTGGATAGTTTCGTGGGAGCCGAATGAAACTAAATCCTTAGAAGACAGAGGTCCTCTGGCTGGGTTGGGATGGTATGGGAATGAGGGACCAACTCCCTTCTCTTGCGGGGGCCCAATTAGTGCCATTGCCTTCCGTTAAGAGTTTGGGTGTAATCCTTGACACCTCCCTTTCCATGGAGGCGCAGGTTACAGCAACAGCCAAGGCGACATTTTTCCACCTTCGCTGCGTCAAGCAGTTGGTCCCTTACCTTTCCCTCCCCGACCTGGCCACAGTGATCCATGCGATGGTCACCTCCTGGCTTGACTACTATAATTTGCTCTATGCAGGGCTGCCCTTGAAGCTGTCCCAGAAACTCCAGCGGGTGCAGAATGCCTCAGTGAGGCTCCTCACAGGGTCTCTGCCATGGGAGCATATTCACCCAGTGCTTTTCCAGCTGCACTGGCTCCCGGTGGAGTACAGGGTCAGATTTAAGGTGCTGGTTTTGACCTTTAAAGCCCCACAAAAGACCTTAAGGTCCATAAACAGCAACACCCTAGAGGTAAGAGTTGTTCCGCCTGGCCTTTGGCTTAGAGTCAATTTGATTCCCTCCCTACTGATTCCCTACTGTTATTCTGATAGATAAACTACAGCAAAGCACATACAACATTTCAGATACACTGGCATCTTACAATCTCTTAAGGTTTCCCATCTTATAAACAAAGATACACAATAGTTCCTTTATTTCTAAGCCCAAAACTTTTACTATTCTAACCGTGAGCTTATAGCCTTATAGGTTCAGAAAACTTGAAACATACCTTAGTTTTCATAGATTACCAATTTACTTAAAAAGAAGCATCAGTTAGCATCACTCCATAAACATTTTCAAAGTGTGATCCTTTCAATGAATAATTACTAAAAATCAGTCAGGACACAATCCTATGACCCTTTGCAGCTGCCATAGGATATTACAAATCTACCTGTCCACAGGGAGAGAGGGAGGTCCACCTCCAGAGGCCTCCTCAAGATTAAAAGGGTATGTCAAGAGTAGATCTAGGGAGGCTTTGGACCTGAGGGCTCCTATTCACTTGACACAGGAGGGAAAATATGCCAGCCCTGGAGATGGTGCCCTCATTTTCTCTTCATCCACTCTCCCTCAACATCCACCCAGTAATTACAAGTCAGATTTGGCAGTTGCTTTGGCCACAGGTTTTCCCTCCCCCACTCCATTAGGATTGTTCTGCCCAATAATTTCAGGAGTGTCAGGCAATTGTAGAAGTTTCTGCTTGCTAGTAACAATAGGTATCTGAATCTCTGAATCACACATTATCCCTGTATGCAGTGTTTGATCAGTTAGATTAGCCTAGTTTAAAAAAAAACAGCAACATCTGATTGATATGCAGGGGAGTCCCATGTATAAACATCTGCTGCCTATTTTAAAAAGCTGTTATTAGACTTACATATAAACACTATGAATGACAAGCATCATCTTAAAAGAGGCATTCACCCCTATGGCGGCTGCTACAACATGCATGCACAATCTGAAAATATAACAAATGTCCTTTTTTACTTCAGAGGAGCTACAATTTCTTTCATATTCACATTTAAAATGATTACTTGATTAACGCTGCAATCTTGCACAGATGTATCCTACACAGACATTTCAGAGAATAAATCCTGCCAAACTCAGTAGAACTTACTTACTTATTTATTTTAATTCATACGAAGATCACAGGGCAGTTCACAAAATAAAAAAACAAAATGAGAGCACAATATACATAACACAAAAAACCCAATATTCACCCCCCCAATCATGTTTAAAAGGCCAAAGTACCATCCTCTATATTAGAAATAACTGAATGATATAAGCAATACAGATCACTAAGGCATCAGCCAAACTCTTACTTCTTAGTTACTAATAATATTTGCATTGAAATGTTATCTTCATAATGTGTAGCAGCACAATTATGAGCTTGTGCTACTGCAGGTAAACAGCAAATCAAAGTCTATGAACCAGGTCAGAGGGGTGCAGGAATCAACCTGTTTCTCCAAAAACTTCTTATTAATTTTAGTGAGAACAGCCTTGTGCCCATCTCTTTGGCCACAGAGCCTATATAATGACACAATAAAGGTAAAGGTACCCCTGCCCGTATGGGCCAGTCGTGTCCAACTCTAGGGTTGTGTGCCCATCTCACTTAAGAGGCCGGGGGCCAGCGCTTTCCGGAGACACTTCCGGGTCACGTGGCCAGAGTGATGAAGCTGCTCTGGCGAGCCAGCACCAACGCAGCACACGGAAACGCCGTTTACCTTCCCGCTATTTATCTACTTGCACTTAGGGGTGCTTTCGAACTGCTAGGTGGGCAGGAGCTGGGACCGAAAGACGGGAGCTCACCCCGCCACGGGGATCCGAATCGCCGACCATGCGATCGGCAAGTCCTAGGCACTGAGGTTTTACCCACAGCGCCACCCGCGTCCCTAATGACACAATAGAAAGAGGCAAAAGCAGAAAATGGGACTGTTGTGTCACAGTCACACTTTTAGATCTAGAACAAGGGATACAAGACATCCTCTTATTTCATATGCAATATTCAAAAGCGGTCATAGATTCATATAATCAGACTGTTAAATGATAGGCTCTTTGTATCATGTACTGCTTATTGTATGGAATACAATAAAAGCATTCCTCTTTCAATCTTTGATATAGCACTTACATGATGGAAATGTCACGGGCAATCTCAAGTATTTACTTTTAGAGATGATTTTATTATTATTTATGGAATGTATACCCCATTCTTTCAATTTATTTCTATGTATTTGAATTGCTCAGGCTACCTTACAATATTTTTTTAAAGAACATTAAATAGCAAAGCATAAAAGAATTCAGGTGCAACAGATAAAGATATATTTAAAATTAGTGCTAATCATATAAAGATCATCAACCCAGACCCTGTGATCATCATGATGCCCCACAAGAGGTCCAAAGGGTGGCAACACAAGAATAAACATCCCCCCCCCTTTTTTAGAAAGATACTGGTGAGTGTCCTGCCTACTCCTGATGCAAAACAAGGTACAGTGGTACCTCGGGTTACATATGCTTCAGGTTACAGACTCCGCTAACCCAGAAATATTACCTCGGGTTAAGAACTTTGCTTCAGGATGAGAACAGAAATTGCGCGGCAGCAGCAGGAGGCCCCATGAGCTAAAGTGGTCTTCAAGTTAAGAACCGTTTCAGGTTAAGAACAGACCTCCAGAACGAATTAAGTTCTTAACCCGAGGTACCACTGTACATGTTTCAGAAACAAAGAATGTGGGTAGGGGATCTGGAGGCAAGGAAGGGGTCTAACCAAGATGAGGGAGAAAAGCCAACTCCTGCAGTGTAGACTGTTTGAAAGAATGGCACAAAGAAGACTTCAGGGATGGTTCCAAAAAGCTAAACAAATGAGGATGTGGTGCACCCTCGGTTATAGGAAAAACCTATCATATTACCTCACTCTCAAAAAGGCCTTTTCATAGAAATCCAACATAAAAAGCAGTCACCTTATTAAAAAAAATCACTGTTGGTATATATAGCTCAGTACTGCCAACACTGACTGGCAGCAGCTCTCCAGGGTTTCCTGAAGAGGTCTCTCATACCTGTACCTGGAGATGCCAGGGACTGGAACTGTGGCCTTCTGCATAAAAAGCAGATGTTCTCTACCATGGAACTACAGCCTTTCCTCTGGTTTGGACCAGAGTATCATTACCTATGTAGTAGTGTTTCTGAGACAATCCCAAGTGACATCAATTACATGCTATGCCACACAGCAAAAGCCAAGTCATAGGAGCATTTCCACTCCTCAAACCTTACTCTAATAAGGTGGTCTTGCTCTTGATAAAAGAGTGGTAAGCTTGGACTTTTCAAGATGTGCAAAAAGAGTAATGAGTTCAATTATGGTGGAGTATGCTTACCAGCTGACACCATTCCTTCACAAGGGGTGATTTGATTAATGGCTATCTTATAAATGTAACTTGCATTAGATAAGACTTGAGGTTCTGCAACTAATTAGGGCAATTGTAACCTCCTGATTATGGCGGTTACATGCTTAAATCAGCCCTGGCTTGAACCACAGGGGCTTTCCTCAATGGCTTCAACTGCTCAGAGCTTAGTGAAATCACACACATAGCTCTGGGAATGCGAAAAAGATTCCAGTAAACAAAGGTCCCCAACAACTCCTGAAAATACTTACGTGCAAGTTTTATGGTCATACAAAAAGTAGCCCCACTGCTATTAATCTTTATGTGAAGGACAAATAAATTGCATGGCCCACATGACCAAACACACCTAGAAGAATCTTTCAAATAATTAGAAGCCAGGCCTAAACAAAACAGAGAGAAAAGTATACTTCCAAGAACAAACTTATAGGGTGTGATTTAGTTTGCTGCAAGTTTTATTTTTTTGAAGGATTCAAATAGTTGTTTTAACACCTTTTATCAATAATTTTATTGTTTTGTTCTTTTTGTGAACCACCTTGTAGAATTTTTTTACAATCAAGTGATACATAAATGTTATCAAATGAATGAATAACATTTATGAAATAAAGTTGTTTCTCCTTAGGCAACCATATACTTGTGATTTCCCCTCTCCCAAAAAACTTGCAATTTATATGCTTGAACTATTTGATCAAGCATACCCACATAAAAAATGTAATGTAACACAATGGTGAAAATTCTACAGACCCCATTCTCACAATCAGATAGCACTACCAGCATTCTCTTCTTGACTGGCCATGCACATTTTTCCAGAAGAATAAATGAGAGTAAGGGAAAGGCAGGCTATTATGATAGGCTAAGGCATATAAAGGAAGTATTCATATCATAAGAACACAAGGGTCTTGCTGGATCAGACCAAAGGCCCATATTGTCTAGTATCCTGTTCTCATAGTGGCCAACAACATGCCCATAAGAAGCACACAAGCAAGACCTGAGCACAACAGCATTCTCCCAGAAGACATCTTTATTCAGTTATATACTATGTGCTTATATCAGGCTTCACAACCTTTTTGGGTCTGGAAGCACATCACTACATGTCCAGATCTGATTCACGTTATGACATTATCACACTCCCAAGCTATTCCTGATTGGCTGGGATCACTCAGGGGTAGAAAAAAGACTGGCCAAAGAAAAAAGGTACAGTGGTACCTTGAGTTAAGTACTTAGTTCGTTCCGGAGGTCTGTTCTTAACCTGAAACTGTTCTTAACCTGAAGCACCACTTTAGCTAATGGGGCCTCCCGCTGCCGCCGCGCTGCCAGAGCACGATTTCTGTTCTCATCCTGAAGCAAAGTTCTTAACCCGAGGTACTATTTCTGGGTTAGCGGAGTCTGTAACCTGAAGCGTATGTAACCCTAAAGTAGAAGCAGGGCAGGGCAGGTTGCAAACTGTAGCAACATATCACACTCATTGGGGTTCAAGGAATTCTACTTATTTTGCCTCTCATGTTTTCTGAGGGAAAGACCTCTGCTCATTCCGAATTTGGATTGTCATTTTTCTGCTCCTGACTTACACAGATCAACACACTTCATTTTCCAGTCAAGGAATAACTCTTACAAGAAAGTCCATGAAAAGATGGCATAAAAAACAATGCAAAATTTGGGCCCTTATGAACTATATATTACAGAAGTGATTCCCATAAAAGGAATCTGGCTACATTATCTAGTCATTATTGTGAGTCAAATGTACTTCCTAGTAGCATCAAACCATACATCAGCTGTGAACTTACTAAGAGGCATTAGGGAAGCCACTTTCAGTCTCAGCCCATCTGCAATATACAGATAATTATGCTTTTCAGACTGTTGTAAGAATTACTGAGGTAATATTTGTAAAACACTTTGAAAATTTGAAGAGCACTGCCCCGAATTGCACATCACAGTTAATAATTTACAGTGATGACATCTAAGAATATTCTTTCACTCCTTCTTACTAGTATACAGGGCATGATTCCCTGGCTTCATGCCATGTCCATACCTGGGATCATGATTTATTTCATGCCAACAAACTGCAAACAGTACGCCAATAACAAACCTTGGCTACGTATCATTGTTTTTTGTGAGTGAATTCCTGTTTTAGACATAACACAAATCCAGGGATTATGGTTTACTTCCTCCAGCACTGGGGGGTAGGGGGAGAGGGAAGAATTTAAATTGACCTCTTGGTTGAAATCAAAGTAAACAATTCACCATTCACCTTAGTGTGGCATGCAGTATGAATCACTAAATTGTTACTACTTCAATTTATAACTTAGTTGTTTCTGTAAAATAATTCAGCACTGAACATAATTGTGGAGTCTTCTCTTAAACACCTTTCCGACACCTATCTGGGATATTTCAGCTAAACTATGCTTTCACAGCATGCCCATTTTCACAACTTATGCCCAATTAACTGGATACATTATGTTTGCCTGTAGCAGACCGGCAATTATACCACCCATGACATATAAAAGTGTAGTAGAGCATAAAAAAAGTAGAGCTGTGGGGAAGGAGGTAGAGGGGGTACACAATGAGCAGTCTAGTTGCCACAGTGGTGGAGACACTCCTGCACCACAGTCAGACAGGAGGAGACGGTGGAACCACTGTGAAGGAAGTGCAAGGCTTGTGTGTAAATGGCAGTTTGGAGGAAATGAGAAGAAAGTCACAACATGGCTCAGGTGGAAGCCTTACTGGACACACTCATCCAAGAAACATTTCTGTATTGCCAAAGCAAAGCTTTTTTTAAATAGTTCAAACATGCACAAAGGCAGTCAGGTTCACCAGAAGTCATCTCATGGCACACCCAACAACCACAACAAAGTTCTGCCTGCACCTGGAATTTTGTGTGTGTGTGTTCATTCAAACATGGAAGGTTGATAAAAAAGGCATTATATTGCATTAAAGATGAAGCTTAAAACAAGCTCCATAAGAATAAATAATGAAATTAGACTAAGAAGCCATCAGAGGAACATGTAGGTCTCAATGCTCCAGTCAGAAGCATAGATATTTTAGCATTATGTGTAGTAAGATAAGAATCAAAATAAGTCTACAAATGACTGAGCCCTGGCCCATTTGACAGGTCATTTTTCTAGTTCTACCAGTCCCATTATCTAAAACAGATTTGAACAGGAATATCACAATAGATTTGAATAGCTAATCTAAGACAACTGGATCTTCAAGCTCCTATGTTGGCAGCTATCAACAACGTGACTGCACAACTCTAACCTGTCATAAAATGGGGAGATCCAAATGATCAGATATAAAAAGAACTCTAATAACAAGCCACTTCCAACTATATTAGTGCTAACACTTTTTGAAATGGAGATAGATCACATACATTTTTGTTTCAGCAGAAGACCATGGAAGGCTTATTATTACATAAAATGTAAATTTAAACACTGCACAAATGTGTAAGGGAACATAAGGGTATTTCCTTTAAAGCTAAAATGAGTTCAGGATCTTTGAAAATAAATCTGAAATAATTCTCTCTAGATGTTAACTATTTAACACTAAAGAAAATAAATCAATTATTCATCACTGGGCTTTTGTTAACAACTAAAGACTAACCGGAGCCAAAATCAAGTGTAAATTTCCTTCTTTTCCTTGGGAACAGGCACATGATCAGCCTCCACCCAATAAGCAGAGAGCACAGTCTTGTTTTGCCAGCAGAGAACAATCTACCTATCAAAACTTCCCCCACACCACCTTTCATACTTAACTCAAGCATACAGACTGACCAGCCAAAAAGAATGTTGACAACAACCTGATGGGGTGTGGCTTTAACTTTTTAAATTTTAAAAAAGTATCCAATCTTTTTCATTTAAAAAAAGTTTTAGTAGGAAATCTAAGTTTTTCCTGTAGAACTTGTTCCCATAATTGTGAAACTTGCTCATAATACTAGTTTTATGAGCATATTCAAAACCATTCTGCTAATATCATAGGAAAGGAAAGCCCCCCTCCCCTTTTAAAGCTCAGCAGCTCATTTTAAGAAAATTATTTGTGGACAGATGCAACACTTTTTTACAGGTTAGTTTCCAAAACGGGTAGACGATTTTTGCACTCCTTTATTTCGGTTAGATGATAATAATTACATCTCTTTTCCAAGTCTTGACCACACCATCCCTTTCAATTAAGAGCAATTCCCTGATAACCCTCCCTCCCCCTTTCACCCCGGATTCCTACACAACAAGCCTATTCTTATTCGATACACGCCAATGTTTTCCCCGCCAAACACACACAGAGAGAGAAACAAACGCTCCCCTGCGACATTTCCTTCTAAGCTAAGCCACGATGTTTCAGGGCACGGCAAAAGGGGCAGCCTGTTTCCATAAATGCCACTAGTCCGCGAGACCACTTCGAATCAAAGGAGTACTTTAGTTGGGGGGGGGGGGTGGAATCGACGACCAGCGGTGATAGTGAGGATGACGGGGAGGGTTCAGCAAACACTAGCAATCGCTAGAAAGAAAGGCTGAGCCAAACCCTGGAGGGGGCGGGGTGGGCGAGCCCCGTACCTTGCCGGGCTGGGGGCGCGATCGTAGGAGCTGCAAGGCATGGGGGGGGGGAGCTCATATCAAAGAGAAACACGAGAGCAGCGCCTCTTCCTCGCAGGGTGTAAATAGTCAGATTGGGGCGGGGGGAGGGATACTGTCTTTACAAAAGAAGGGAGACACGGCGGGTGCAGGTACGGGAGGCTTATCTCGTCGCCCAGAGCAAATGAGGGCCCGTGCAGGTCGGCCGGCCGGCCTGCCTGCCTGCTCCGCATCCAAAGGGGATTTTAGGGGGCGCTGGACATAGTGGGCGCGAGGAAGGTCGGAAGGCAATACTGTAATGAAGGATCTCTTTTCCCGGAGGGGGGGCGAGCGGGGGGCTGCCGGGTCCCTCACCTCGGGAAGGGGCGGAGCCTCCCCTCCGCGAGGATGGAGGCGTCTGTAGGAAGCGCCGCCACCGCCGGCCTCACCTCCGTAAGGAAAGGAAGGGAAGGGGGGACAGTAGCTGGCCGGGAGATATGTCCGTGTGGGGCTGCGTGTGCAGACGTTGATCCCCTCCCCCTCCGCCCGCTTTCGGCTCCGGGGAGGGAGGAAGGGGAGAAAGCCGGGCGGGCGGGCGCTCACCTCGGTGGGGGGGCTGATCTCGAACAGGTCCAGCCGGTTCGCGTTCCAGTGGTTGATGATGTCGGCCAGCTTGCGCCGCTCTTCTTCCCGGCTGCCGCCGCCGCCGCCCGACATCCTCCTCAGCAGCCCTCCGGGGCTCCCGGAGCCAGGAGCTACACGGCGGGAGGGCCGCGCGGAGTTCCCGGCGGATTTGTAAGGGGGCGGAGGGGTCCGAAGGAGGGAGGAATCCGGTCGCTGGTGCCGCCCCTCCTCGCTCTCACCAGCCCAGACTTTGCCCTCTTCTCGCTTGCTGAGGGAAGCGCGGAGCGGCTCCTGGCTCGGTGGCAGCGCTTCCTGTTCGGTAGCGTCTCTCAGTCCTCCGCCTCGCGGAAAGCCGTCGCCGCCGCCTCCTTCCCCGCCCCGGTTGTCTCCTTTCCTCCCTCCCCGCCTTTTCTCTCTCTCTCTCTCACATACACACACACACAGAGGGAGGGAGAGACACCGTTCCGTGCGCGCGGCCGCTCAGCCGTTCTTTCGCGAGCGCGTCACAAACGCCGCTCTCCTCCTCCTCCCCCCACCCATCCTTCCTTGCGCGCGTGCGCGTGCGTGCCTCCTCTGTGCTTCTAATGCTCGGGTGTCAGGTCAACAGCCCGGCGAGCGCGCGCGCGGAAAGAGGGCCGAGCGCACGGTGCTCGCGCCTCCTCCTCCTCCTCCTCCTCCCGCTTCTCTCTCTCTCCCCCCGTGTGTGAGGGGGAAATTAGCAGTTGAGGGCGTTTTGGTTTGAACTAAGCGAGGACGGGTAGAGAGCCGCGCGGTAGCCTGCCGTGGCGGCAAGAACAATGAAGGGTGGCGGCTGAAGGGGGCTGGGTTTGTGCGTGGCGGCGGCGGGCTGCGGAGGCAGGCGCTGGGGAGGATGGCAATCGCGTGAAGGGATTAATTGTTGTTTAGCCATGGTGCTCTCTGGGGACTCAGAAGGGAGGATTGCAGCCTTCCTAAGCGTGTGCGTGTATATAATTATATTTCCCCCCCCCAAAAAAATGTAAATAAAAGCAGGGTGGAACTTGCTGAAATAAACCCTCTCTTCTCTGCCTGCGAGAGTTTTGGCAAGTCCCGGTCACCCACCTGCAATGCTTCATGTTTAAAATTGGAATAATAGGGAAATCTATGCACAGCGAATTGCTATGCAAGTTTTTGCTGGGAAGTAAGCCCCACTATAATAGGCACGGGAGGTTTCTCCTCAGGAATTATGTTTAGGACAGCAGTTTGAGAGTAGGGTTACCCACAATATTTAACTAGGTAAGATTTGAGAAGGTAGTGTTGAAATAGGTCATCTTTCAGTAATCCTATGCACGCTTATCTGGGAGTTGGTCCCATGGAAATCAGTGTGGCTGCCTTCTCTGTACATGGGCATAGTATTGCTTTGTTCAAGATCACTTATTAGGAGTAAGGCCCATTGATCGCAGGTGGGTTGTGTTGCACAGTTGCCTCCAGCAGCTCTTGCACTAGGACTGGAAGTGCCACAGGGAAATACTTCCCAAGGAAGGATAGTACTTATAGGCACAGGGACCTGGCACAGCCCTGGCAAAGTAGGCCCTGCCAAAGTTGTTGCTTCCTTGCAGAATCCGCCAACAGCACTTAGGATGAAAAACTGCACAGTAAGAATCTCTGTTGAGTGACAGAAGCGGGAGGGTTGGCATCAGGATATCGTAGAATGCAGTTCCCTGTTCATATTATGTGCTTGTGAGAATGAATAAGCCTGGCTTCTGTCTAAAATTAAAGATTTTACCATTTCCCCAGAGAACAGCTAAAAATGTATTAAGCTGATTGTATTAAATTAGTTTATCCAGATGCATGGACTACTCTTAGGCTTACACTAGTCTGGTGGTGAGAGGCTAGGAGAGATAGCAGGTGTCTTGGAGCAGGGAACTGAGTGGAGGTGTACATGGGCACATGCATGCAAACAAGATAAGCATTACAGAGCAGCTGAGAGCCTGTGATTGGTATGGAGAAAAAGCAAGAGAGGCCATGCCCATCAGACCGGTTTGGGGAATGAGTCATCTCTTGGAGCAAGGGAAGTAGATAAAAGTAGGGGGGAGAATAGATCTCTGCTCATTGTACAATATTCATCTGTCCTTAGGCAATGTTTTCATACACATTCTCTCCATTCTCATTTGTTTCATAATAAAGCTCTCCAGTTTTGGAACTTGCTTTCCCAGATACCAGAAAAATGCTAAGCTTGCCAATTTTCTGGGAGTACCATAAGCCTTCACTGTTCAGAGCAAGCATTTTGTGGCTGGGTATTAGAGGATTTTTTTAAGGATAACTTTTAGTCTACGTATATTTAAGTGTTTGGATAACATGTTTCTAAGTGTTGAGCTGTGCTGAGCCCTAGGAAATTCAGTAAAGCATAATAAAAGTGGTGGGAAGGAATTGGTAAATTAAATAAATTGATTGTCAACTCAGATAAGAGGTATGCCTCAGTTTGTTAATGGTGGGTCTTTCCCTAAGAGTATTCCCACGGGATTGTAGTTCTAGTCACTTAAGTTCCTCCATTAATCAAGGACTCCATAATAGAGCATGTGCATAACCTCTTGGGTTCAATCCATACTATCTCCCATTTATGTCTCAAGTATATTGGCATTTTTAAAGCTATTGCTTTATTTGACCCCAGTGTCAAGATTAGCAAAGAACTGCTGTGGGTATAGGAGGGTTTTCTATCCCTAAAAAAACCCTTGTCAGGATCCAGTGAGCTCTGTGTGTTCCCCAACATTGTTTTCCATGCAGCCAGGCTTACCCAATTTCCTCTAGTGACTGGTGCTCCTCTTAATGCGGGGGTCAGGGCATAGGAGTATATATGGTTTTTTATGCCTCTTGGTTTTTCTCTGTTCGTCTTTCTTGCAGTGCCAACCCTTTTAGTTGCACACTCTTTGCAGGTATATGAAGTAGTTATTCCAGGAAACTCTTTGAAAAGCCTTGTTTTTAAAAATGGGGAAAATAATACTGACTCTTCAGGAACACTATTTTTAGTCTGTTTCTTGTAGCTTTATTATACAATCACTGAACTGTAAAAATACATAAATTTTACTTCCTTTTCTTGGTCATTATCCTCTTGTATTCTGTTAAATCTGTGTTTCTGTTAGAGGGATATCTTTGCACAAAGAAAATTCAGGCCTTTCCCCCAGATAACCCATTCATTATTTTTGGGGGGTAGGAAAATCCAAAAGTTAATAATTCAGTACATGTTTTGATTGGATTTCTGTTTTTTTACTTGAGTGCTTTAGTTGTATTTAAATATGGGTTTCAAAAATGTGTATCATCAGCCAATGTAAAAGGCGTAATAGAATTATTTTAATAAACTTTATAATTCAGTTGTTGGGGGCCTCCTGTTCCATGAGAGTTTTGCACAAAAGCTTTGGATATGTTCATGTGCCTCTGAAGAGGCCACAAGACGGTATTTAGCTAGCATTCTCATATGCATGTCAAGAATCAGAAACCACAAATGTATCAAGCTCATGTAATACCTTTGGGAAATTGCTGTCAAGCATAGCCATGCATGAGTGCTAGTTAGTGCAAGAAGGGGTTAAGATAATAGAACTGGATTTCTAGACTTGGCCCCCTTCTCTGATGAGGGAGGAAGTGAAGTATTCTCTTCCTGTTCCATCTCTCTCCGTGCCATGTAACTGATTAAGGAAGACGTGTCTAAGCAAACAGCAACTTTAGAGCATATGTTTGAAGCTAACTTTCTGTATTTTCTAGCCAAGGGTATTTTGCCTGCGTTCTCCTTGCTGCTGCTTGGATAAATGCATGAATCTGACCTTTTGAACGTTTTGTAAGTAAAGCATTTTAAATTTACTTAAAAGTGTGTGGTCTGTTCATTGCAAGGGATAGAAAGAGGGGAATACTTTGCAAGCGAACTAAACAGGATAAAAAGATTTAACAGTCTACATTTCCATACTACACTGCTGCTTGACTTATGTGAATTTAAACTCTGTTACCAAGTGTTCTCTCCTGTTGGAGAGTCTGTTTAGCCCCACGTTTTGAATCCAGGTGCCCAGCAGATTCTTTTGTTATTTACCCCACACACGTGGGCCACGGGGCTTTATATTTTCCTCCTACAATACCTACCCTGTCATTGGTACAAGTTACTTGTTCCAACTGTGAGCTATCTGAACAGTTGGGTGGACCTTATCTTTGTACTTTTTTGGTTACATTTTTTTCTCATTTACTTTTTAAAAATAAGGTGGGGAAAGTGTACTCAGATCACAGCTTTGCAAATGTAGTAACAGCAAAAAAGAAACAAAGCCCTTAGCATTCTTAAAGCCATGCTCAAAAGCCTATTATAGTCACTGTTCCATGTGCATTCATCTGTGGTTAGAAAGTCCAGAGCCTACACTCACTTGCTGAAGTCCTATAATAGATAACTAATCTGATCCAAAGCTTCTCCTGAACTTTTATGCAAGAAAGTTGCATGTTTGTAGGATACCTCTAAGCCAAGGGTAGGAAAATCTGCGGCCCTGCAGATGTTGCTGGACTTCATCCCCAGTCAGTATGGCCACTGGCCAGGGATAACAAGAGTTGTTGTCCAGCAACATCTGAAGGGCCACAGGTTCCCACCACTGCTCTAAGGTTTATGTAGATTTTATTGTACTATTATAATCTGTAAAATTATACCTTGTTTTCTTTTTAAGGAATTTCATTTCTAAAAGATGCAGAAATTACCATAAAATCCATAACGGCTGGAAGGGATAGTTCAAATAATCAGAAGTATCTGAAAGCCAATATAAAATCAAGGAAATGATGAGTTGAGGGCCTGTCCTTTTAGTTATTTGCTATTTATATATGTATTTAGCCAACTGCCACAGTGCTCTAAAAGGATCCACTTAAGCTTAGCTGAGGTAGGCTCATATCTAAAATTTATTGAATTCCTTTGCCAACACTATACAGTACTGGAACTTATTTTCTAGTACATGGTGTGGTGACAGAATATCTTGTGCCAAATATAAAGGTCAGACCCTAGTCCTCATTGTTGTAGAGATAAACTTGAAAAAAATTAGCATCTACTTATCCAGAAACTTAACAGCTTCAGTAGACACATGACTGGGTCTTATGGGGTCTGCAGCATTGTCAGTAATTTTGCTCCTCAACTATTTTTTCATACCCTCCTCTCACCTGAAAGATGTGCCAGCTACTTCCAATCATTTCCATAATTCTGTAATACAGCTTCAACTTACCACTGGCTCTCATTGGTCGTCACAACTAATTTCCCTCTGCTATTCAGTGCCTGCATAATTTCTCAGTAATCTTACAACCAGAATAAATGTTGCACATTTCTAATGTTAACATGTACAACGAAATGACTTCAGAACTCGGATCAGGATCAGATTTCTGGGTCACTGAATTTAAAGGCCAGAAAGTACCTTTCAAAGATAGATACTCACTCAACAGGTTTTCTGGAATTAGATTCAGCAGTACACCTGAAATAACTTACAAACTCTCTTACTGTTTTGCTTTGTGCCAATGTCCTATGATCTCCCTTGCAGTCGGGCATAGTAAATGGGTAAAATGGGGGGGGGGGGGGGCTTTGTTTATAGTCCTCACTGCACCTAAAAAGCAAATGTTGCTATGTTGGTTCACGAAAAGAATAAAACTCCAAAATCCACGTAATCTTTATTAGAACCAACCAAAATTGTCACTAAAGTGTGACAAGCTTTTGATTTCTCCATAACTCGTCAGACAAAATATTACATAAAACAGTATTACATAAATACAGTATTGATGAGGTCAACTTGTAGACACAGTTCCAAGAAGGAGATTGCAGGCTGAGTAAATCCCTCCCAGGTTACATACTATGATTCTGGGATGAAGAAGCAACAAAGGGAAGTTTTTCCCATAGCACTGGTATCTAGAGATAACAGTTCTCTCAATTATACCAGTTTTCTTTTGTACCTACGATATACTTTTTTTAAAAAAACAGTTGTCTATCTTGCTTCAGATGTTGCTATACTAGCATATATACATCTATGTGCAGTATTTCTCTCCATATGTCACTTTCATTTTTTACCCTCAGTGCTTTGTCCACTTTGAATTGTTATGGTGTGCTCCTGCACTTTTGCCAATGTCTTTCCCTTTCTCATTTGGTCAATAATAAAAAAAAACCCTCATATCTGGGGGATAGTTTGTTCCCAACCAGATACTCCTCAGCTTCTGTCAACTTTCCCTGTTCCACCCCCTCAATCAGTTTAAAAGAGAAGTTAGATTTTTCAGGAAAGGGAGAAAAATACATTTAATTCTGCTGTTCCTCTCTGTACTAGGGTAAAACACCTGTTGAAGTAAAAGACTGACATGTTTGGACAGTGTTAACACAAACTAGGAAATAAAAACTTTTCCTTGCAAAATTAACCCATCCTCATTTGTTGTGTAGATTACATGCATCAAAGTATCATTTAAGCCAGCTAATTAGATTTAACATGCGGTTTTCCAATATGAGGGGGCGGGGTGGACTTTATTACGCCAATGAGAATTACTAATATATTTGATGGCATTCCGCTTCCTAATTCTACACATGTAATTCATATCAATTGCATTGAGACCCTACATATGTGTTTAAAGCCGTATCAATCCTATGCAAAGTTAGATGCCCAAAGTGCAGTCACTGATGTGAGTAATCAGAAGGGCCATTGAGTTGAGTAGAGCATCCTCCACTTAATTGAGTATTGGATTGCAGCCTAAGCCTGTTGAAATTAATGGGCCAACTATCAAAAAGTCCTGGGGTTTTAAATTTAGTTATTTCTCATTTCACGCCCATTCCCATGAGTTGCAAACAATTATATACAGTGGTACCTCGGGTTACATACGCTTCAGGTTACAGACTCTGCTAACCCAGAAATAGTGCTTCAGGTTAAGAACTTTGCTTCAGGATGAGAACAGAAATTGTGCTCCGGTGGTGCAGCAGCAGCAGGAGGCCCCATTAGCTAAAGTGGTGCTTCATGTTAAGAACAGTTTCAGGTTAATAACGGACCTCTGGAACGAATTAAGTTCTTAACCCAAGGTACCACTGTAATAGTATGCCAAAAGAATCACAACTTACAGCACAATCCTAACAATGTATGCTCAGAATTAAGTCCTTTTGAATCCAGTAGAGTTTACTCTCAGTTAAGTGGAGTTAGGATTCCAGCCTAATTCAAGTAGACCTATTTACCAACTGCAAAAAAAAGCTAAATTATAAAATAGCAATTGAAGATGACAGACCAATAGTCTGACTCAGTATAGGTCAGTTTCCAGAGCCCTTACCCCCCCCCCCGCCCCCCAAAAAGTGAATTCAAAATACATACTACTTTGCCTCCAGTGTACTTCCATGACTTGTTTGGGAAATGGTGAACCCATGACGTTAGCCGCAATTCTTTTTTTAAAAAATTTTTTTATTTATCAATTTTTCTAAAACAACAGAAAAAAAACATTCCAATTAAGTTTTACATCCAATTCCAATCTTTGTACTTTTTGGACTTCCCTCAGCCTGTCGGAGAATTTTTCATATTATCACTATTACTCACATTTCTTCAGATGTTAGCCGCAATTCATATCTACCCCGTATCCTGTTCTTTCTTATTAAATACTGTGTTTTGAGAAAAACGGAGTAACTTCACTGCATTTTAAGACAGTACAGTAATATGTACACAGCCATAGATGATGTTTTTATGGTTTCAAAATGTTCCCGACAAGCCTTGGCCTCAGTTCATCAAGCTACTTGTGCATATCCCTGGGACGAACTCAGCATAATGTTCAATGGAGTGTACAGGAGCAAAAAGTTCTGCTCATGCAGTGGGACTCCACACCCCCCACCCTGCCTGTTCTGGGTTTTCCCTCAACCCACCAGAGCAGATTTAGGGGGTGTGGAGGAAGGACAGGACAAAAAGGCCAGTTGTGTGAGCGGACCTTGTTCTGCTCATGCAACAATTTAGTTGAACCAACCCCAGATGTATGTGAATAGCTCATTTCACTTCACTCAAAAGTATATTAACTGCTCAAAAATAAAGCACCCTGCAACAGAGAAGCAGATATATACCATTTGGGATTTCTATGATACTGATAACACTGGGAAAGTAAATACTCTACCCAAAGTAATTTCATTTCACCAAATGTAGGATGATTTCTAAATTGATTCAAGCTAAACATTTAGTTTAATGACAGTAATGTATGATCAAAAATTGATATTTTTTGCATAGTATGTGTCCCACTGTTCTAATTAGCTGATATGAGAATCTTCAAAATATGCAGGCATATGTAAGGCACCTGGTTTTTGAAGAAGGAAAAGCCCCCACCAAGAATTAATTAATTACGGCTCAGCAGCCCTCTGAGACAAATAAATGTAAATGTTGCTTCTTCCTGCACCCCCCTTTATAAAGCAACTGAGGCATAGTAAGATCTATTTCTGGTAACAAGCCATGAGAGGGTGTGGATGCCTTACTAGGCAATTACAGTGGTGCCCCGCAAGACGAACGCCTCGCAAGACGAAAAACTCGCAAGACGAAAGGTTTTTTCGTTTTCGAGTTGCTTCGCAAGACGAATGTCCCTATGGGCTTGCTTCGCAAGACGAAAACGTCTTGCAAGTTTGTTTCCTTTTCGTAAAACCGTTAAAACCCAGGGTGCATTGCTGGAAGAGGTGCAGTTGCGACTTGACCTCGAGGAGCAACACATTGCACGCGGTGTGGTGGCCTTTCTGAGCTTTTTAAAGAGTTTGCTGGATTTTGAAGCTTTTCCAAAACTTCTTTTGCAGCTGTTCGGTAAGTTAAACTTTTAAAACTTTTTTGGGTTTTTGGATTTTGGGTTGGGGTGTTTAGAATTCAAGGACTTGGTGTTGGGGAGGGGTTTGCAAGAATCTGGGAGCTTGTGTGGTTATTTCCTGCATTTTTATGATTTTCTGTGACCATTGGGCCATGTTTATTTTTTTTTAAAAAAAAATCTGGCTTTGAATTTTTGAATTTCTGTGTGCTGGGTGGATGGGGGAACAGCTGGGGAGGGGTTTGCAAGAATCTGGGAGCTTGTGTGGGGTTTTTTTGCATTTTTATGGTTTTCTGTGACCATTGGGCCATGTTGGTTTTTTTTGAAAAAAATTTCTGGGTTTTAAATTGCTGGGTGGCTGGGGGAACAGCTGGGGAGGGGTTTGCAAGAATCTGGGAGCTTGTGTGGTTTTTTTTTTGAATTTTTATGGTTTTCTGTGACCATTGGGCCATGTTGTTGTTTTTTGAAAAAAAATTCTGGGTTTTGAATTTCTGTGTGCTGGGTGGCTGGGGGAACAGCTGGGGAGGGGTTTGCAGGAATCTGGGAGCTTGTGTGGGGTTTTTTTTGCATTTTTATGGTTTTCTGTGACCATTGGGCCATGTTGTTTTTTTTTGAAAAAAATTTCTGGGTTTTGAATTTCTGTGTGCTGGGTGGCTGGGGGAACAGCTGGGGAGGGGTTTGCAAGAATCTGGGAGCTTGTGTGGTTTTTTTTTTTGAATTTTTATGGTTTTCTGTGACCATTGGGCCATGTTGGTTTTTTTTGGAAAAAAATTCTGGGTTTTGAATTTCTGTGTGCTGGGTGGCTGGGGGAACAGCTGGGGAGGGGTTTGCAGGAATCTGGGAGCTTGTGTGGGTTTTTTTGAATTTTTATGGTTGTCTGTGACAATTGGGCCATGTAGTATTTTTTTGAAAAAAATTCTGGGTTTTGAATTTCTGTGTGCTGGGTGGATGGGGGAACAGCTGGGGAGGGGTTTGCAACAATCTGGGAGCTTGTGTGCTTTTTTTTGAATTTTTATGGTTTTCTGTGACCATTGGGCCATGTTTATTTTTTTTTAAAAAAAAAAATCTGGCTTTGAATTTTTGAATTTCTGTGTGCTGGGTGGCTGGGGGAACAGTTGAGGAGGGGTTTGCAACAGTTGGGGAGGGGTTTGCAACAGTTGGGGAGGGGCTGGGGGAACAGTTGAGTTTTTTGAAGACTTTGGTGATTTTTAAAGCTTTCCCAAAACTTCTTTTGCAGCCATTTGAGGATTTTGAAGACTTTGGTGATTTGCAGCCATTTCGTAAGTTAAACTTTTAAAACTTTTTGGGGGGGTTTTTGGATTTTGGGTTGGGTGTTTGGAATTCAAGGACTTGGTTCTGGGTTTGAATTGCTGATTTTCTTTTTCTTTTTTCTGAGTTTACAAAGGTAACAGCTGTGCTGCCATGGGACCCAAGAAGACTGCTGCTGCTGCGGAGGCCGGCGAGAGGAAGAAGGAGAAGGTGACGCTGGAGATGAAGAAGGAGATCATCCGGAAGCACGACGGTGGAATGCGTGTGACGGACCTCGCCAGGGAGTACGGCAGGAACCCATCGACCATCGGGACCATCCTGAAGATGAGGGAGAAGATCCTTGCGACTGATGCAGCCAAGGGAGTCACCAGGATCGTGAAGAACCGCCCAGCTGTTCTGGAGGAGGTCGAGAAGTTGCTGCTCATCTGGTTAGAAGAGAAGCAGCGTGCAGGGGACACAGTGACTGAGGCCGTCATTTGTGAGAAGGCCAAGGCCTTGCACGCAGACCTCATCCGGGAACAGCCAGGAACCTCGGCCGAGCCAGAAGTCTTCAAGGCAAGCAGAGGCTGGTTTGACCGGTTCAAGGCAAGATCCGGAATCCACAGCATGGTCAGGCATGGAGAGGCTGCCAGTTCTGATGTTCCTGCGGCTGAAGACTTTGCCTTGGAGTTCCTGGAGGTTGTGAAGACGGAGGGCTACGTTCCACAGCAGGTCTTCAACTGCGACGAGACCGGGCTGTTTTGGAAGAGGATGCCCAAAAGGACTTTCCTCACACAGGAGGAGGCCAAGTTGCCTGGCCACAAGCCCATGAAGGACCGTCTGACCCTGCTCTTCTGTGCCAACGCAAGCGGCGACCTGAAGATCAAGCCCCTGCTGGTGTACCACTCGGAGAACCCACGGGCCTTCAAGAAACACAAGGTCGACAAGGAGCGGCTGAGTGTCATGTGGCGATCCAACAGCAAGGCTTGGGTCACACGTGTGCTGTTTGTGGACTGGGTCAATCTTGCCTTTGGCCCTGCTGTCAAACAGTACCTGCTGGACAACGACCTGCCGCTGAAGGCTTTGCTTCTGATGGACAATGCTCCTGCTCATCCTAAAGGCCTTGAGGTGGACTTGTTGGAGGAGTTCAGCTTCATCAACATCATGTTCCTGCCGCCTAACACCACGCCACTGCTCCAGCCGATGGATCAGCAGGTCATCGCCAATTTCAAGAAACTCTACACCAAGGAGCTTTTCAGGCGATGCTTCGAGGTGACTGATTGCACCACCATCACCCTGCGGGAATTCTGGAAGGACCACTTCGACATCGTCACCTGCTTGAAGATGATCACCACGGCCTGGAACGGGATCAGCCAGAGAAATTTGAATTGCGCTTGGCGCAGCCTGTGGCCGGACTGTGTGGCACCAAGTGACTCTGATGCACCAGAGTCGACAGTGGTGCAGGACATTGTTGCCTTGGGGAGGACCATGGGCCTGGAGGTCACAGAGGAGGACGTCTGCGAGCTGGTGGAGGAGCACGACCACGAGCTGACCACCCAGGAGCTGGTTGAACTGCAGTCAGAGGTTGCGCAGGAGCAGGCCTCGCTGGAAGAGGAGGAAGCAACTGAGGAACGGCCGTCCTCCAAAGAACTGAGGGACATTTGCCAGAAGTGGAAGGAGGTGCAGGCTTTTGCAGAGCGGCACCACCCTGACAAGCACGTGGCACATGACCAAGCGAACACTTTTGATACGACGGTCATGTTGCCTCTCAGGGAGCTGCTGAAAAGGCGGATGAAGCAGCAGACCATGGACAGGTTCCTCAGCAAGAAGCAAAGAGTGGAAGAGGAACCTTCTTCGAGTGGTCCCCAGAGTCTTAGAAAATGTAATGTACCCTTTTTGATTTTTAAATGTTTTTCCTGTCATGTTTAGAAACTTAATTTATTGTTCCTTCAATTTTTGATATGCTCTTTAAAGTATGTGTGACTTTAAAGAGCAGTTAATAAACTCTTGTTGTACCAAATTTGGCTTTGATTGGACTTTTTTTGACCATAGGAACGCATTAATTGAATTTCAATGCATTCCTATGGGAAACCGTGCTTCGCAAGACAAAAAATTCGCTAGACGAAAAAACTCGCGGAACGAATTAATTTCGTCTTGCGAGGCACCACTGTAGTACAAATAGCCAGAAAGTATTTTGTTGCTAGTGCATGCTTCCAAGTTTTATTGATTTTTGCTGTTTAAAATATCAGTTTCGGAGTAGTTCATGAAATATGTGTTTGTGCAGTTAAAAGCAATTCCTTTTAAAAGAAAAGTTTTTTTTTAAAAAAAGTTAAATTATTAGCTAGATGAAGAATTGACATAACCAAAGAGCTATATGTTTTCTGTTTGATTTTTCCCATTTGTAAAACATCTGGTAGCTATGTTCATTAAGGGCCTCATTTTGCACCTCATGATGTACATTTTTGGATGATCCTGACATACCTGCCCGTTCAAACCTTTGACCAGAAGTGAAACTTCTTTAGCACATTATGCTGCAAAATTGCCAGTATCCTCTGCTGGCAGCATGACACATTCAGCTCGTGAGAAGGCTTTCACAGGCACTATTAATTTGCAGCCCACCATTTAATCTGGGAATCATAGTACCACTTAAAATCAGTGTACTTAACTCTTGCACCTCCATTCTAATGCCAGCTGAGATTGCTCATCACTGGAACAAAGATATAGCACAGAATTTCTGACACTGGAGCTTCCAGACATTGCTATTAGGAGCAGCAGTAGCTAGTAGTGTCTAAAACAGAAAATACTGAACAAATCCCTGTTGCAGGGATTTGGGGCTACCATTTCTGTTTAGATGCAGTAGCTCTCCTAATTTCCTCTGCCCTATGTTACCCTGTTAGTAGTCCACATTGAAACAGATCAACCCCATCTCTCCCCTTGAATTCTTGGTTTGCTGGTGTTCACTAGTCTGAATCAGTTTGCAAGACGCTCACCTACCATAGTGCTTACAACACCTGGAAAAAGCTGATGTCAGGATTCATCCGTGGCATCTCAATTCCCGACTTTTGCCTCAGCATATCCTGTTGTGATTCTTTTATGATGTCCCTGCCATGTCAGCATAAAATAAAATCATGCTTCACCACATTGTGCAGCCTGACCTGTAAGTACACCTTCTTTTTCTATGTGCTTGAAATCTAGAAATTTGGAACCAGGCTGTTTGTCTCATATGATATAAAAGGTTCGGTTATTTTTTAATGTACTTATTTGTAAAGTTTTAAAGGGGGGAGGGGAATGTGTGTACATTCAATTTAAATGTTGGCCTTTTTAGTTCCTAAAAACCATAACTTGTTTATTTACTAATACAATAAAGAGCTTAATGGAACCTTTAAAACAAATATATTTCTATCATCAGCTTTTGTGCCTGTTGTCAATTGGCAAATTTTACGCATACATGTCTAGACAGAAGACTGGGCAGAGGAGGACTGCCAAGAGGCAAAAGATCCAATCAGAGCCAGTGGCAGAGGAAGGGGGGCGGCTTGCCCCAGGTGTCATCTCTGGGGGGGGGGTGACATTCGGCGCACTACCCGCCCGCAACTTCCAAGCCTACCCCGAGCTGTCAGGGGGAGGGGGGAGCTGTGCCACTTTGCCGGCGGCATTCCCCCCTTCCCTCTTCATTTTGACAGCTGGGGGAGGCTTCGGAGTTGCGGGCGGCGCGGTGAATGTCTGCCATCAGCAGTTGGCTCCGCCCCCGGCTGCAGGGCGTGCACACCGCTCCGGGCACCTGAGCGGCTATCCCGCACCTCGGAGGGCACTCTCAGCGCCCCACCCCCTTCGGGAGCACGCCCACCTTGGGCAGCGAGGGCATATGCTTCGCCACTGATCAGAGCATGTGCAGAGTTGATCACTCAGTACTGGTATTGAACTGGTACCCCTGATTAACATATAAACATTAACAAGGGACAGTTACTTTCCATATTGAGCTTGCTCCTCCCAATCTCTACTGATCCTAAATCTGATAGTTTCAAGTGGGCATATACAGGGCTGGCCCAGAATGTTTCTGGCACTTGAGGCAGAACAGAAAGTGGTCCATCCCCATTCCTTACCCCCGCTGCCGCCACCATCTTATTACAGGAGCAATTGCTGGGCCTAGATATGCATCCCTGTTGAGTGGGCCATTGTTGCTGGTACATAGTTTCTTCAGTTTGGGCAATTGTCTTTAAGTAAGGATATTCAAGTCATGTGAGAAGGATAGATTGTCTTTCAGAATAGACTGCAGTTCTTTGATTATGCGCTAATAAAGCTACTATCCATATATTCCCAAGTTTCCTAGCATCTAATGGACTTCCTTTTGCAAGGCCTGCTTCACAGTATCAATAGCAGCAGCCTGATAAGGACATCCTAGATGTGGTCCTCCTTCCCACTTTCTTCTAAATCTGGAATATCTAAAACCAGTCGTTCTGCCAGGAACCATTGAGGAAGCAGAATTTAGCCATCTGGATTAACGTGACAGACTATAAAGCTGGCATGAGATACAAATATATGTGGCTGAGGAATCTCTTGTATAGTCAGTTCCTTTAGTATTAAAACAGTAGATTATTGATAATCTTAAGAAATGTGCTCTTAGATTTTAAGCCAACTTTCTAATTTTAATGTAAAATTTTTAATACAGTGGACGCTCAGGTTGCAAACATGATCCATGCGGGATGCACGTTTGCAACCCACGTCTGCGCACGCGCAGGTTGCGATTCAGCGCTTCTGCGCATGCGTGACCATCGAAATGCAGAAGTAACCCGTTCCAGTACTTCTGGGTTTCGGCGGTCCACAACCCAAAAAAACGCAACCTGAAGCGGCTGTAACCCAAGGTATGACCGTAATCAAATTCTAAATAAACATGATTAATGAATCGTTCATTTTGAGAGCTTCTCCAAATCTTCACGTTCTGCTTTGAGTATTCCAATGTAAAAACTGGCATTTAACCCATAAAAAACTAAGCAAAGCTAAGTGTTCCCTATAAAGTAATATGCAAATTCCTTTTATTTCAGGACTCTCCATGCTTATGCACAATCCTACCTCTCTTCACTTCAGCTGTAGGACCAGGCTGTCCATTGGATACATGGGACAAAATTACACAGATGTAAAAGAATCTCTAAGCCGTCAGCGCCCAGGCACTTCTGCCATTAAGATGCCATGTATTCAATGTAAGCACAATCACATACAGTCATACCTCATGTTATGGACGCTTCAGGATACGTGTCTTGGGGTTACGGACCGCGGGAAACCCGGAAGTACCGGAACAGGTTACTTCCGGGTTTCGCTGTGGGTTGCGGACGTGCCTCCGTCACAGATTACATCCACAACCCGAGGTTCCACTGTAATTTGGTTCCAGGCACAGGACTGAACATCCAAAAAGATCCACTTTCATTTTATAAAGATCTGTTTCAAGCCCATAGGGTTGGAGGAAGAGTGTATGGACAATGGAATCTCAGAACCTTGAATGGGAAGTTGAACAAGTTATGCAGTGTTCAGAAGTGGGGCTTCAGTAACCTGCATAACTCAGTGTTCCTTCTTATAAGCAGAGAATAAATTATGCAAAATATGGAAATACATGCAGATTTGCAATTTATACAGGAGTCAGAATACAGATTAAGTGGACTTAGAAATTTATTTTCTTAGTGCAGAATAATATAGCTTTCCACACCACTGTCTTCAGCAATTCTGACAGTAAGGAATGCAAGGTTACCCAATCATGCCATTAGAATAAGTTGATGGATCGTAATATGTGCACATGTGTATAAAGAATAACTAAATGAGAACGGCATCTTCTCTGTTTCCATTTGCCATTAAAACCATTTAGTTCATGGTGCTTTTGAATCATCTGAAAAGAAGAGGTAAATGATAACGTCAAGTAAGCAATCCAGATTGCCTTCAAAATTTTCAGACAAGAATAAATCAATGCACAAGTGAAAGCCACAGCAGGAAACCATAATAACCAACTGAAGTTTCATTTTCCTGTCTATTGCAGTGGGTTAATATTGCAGTGCAGAGCTTTTTGCCCCATTACTCATTTGTGAGAAAGCAAGAGGTTTTAGACAAAAACTTCCTGTGGATTATTACTTATGAGTCCCCCCAACTTTTTATTGAATTTTTGTTGCATGCAAAACCTCTTTAACTATCATATTTACTTTTTTATGTTCTTAATTTTTAATGTTCTTAATTCAATAGCATGCATCAAGTTATTGGTTTGCTTTTGTTTTATTATGTATTTTGTGTTCTCGTTTTATATTTTTATGTTGTGAACCACCCTGTGATCTTCAGATAACCAATTAAAACTCAGGTATACAAATTTAAACAAACAAATAAATAAATTCTTACAGTTTGTTAATGAAGAAATTAGCAACAGGAGCAGGTGGGAAATAGGCTTGGAGGTTGTTCACCTATACACTGACTTAAAGGCTTTCAGTCATGATATAAACTAATTAAGTGAGCACAGAATTGCTGGTGAACCCCACAAAATTGCAAGTCACTCTGTGTGTATAATAGACAGCTATTCCTAACTACAGAACTTGGGAACCAAAAGCCTATCTTTCTGACAGGCAATTTGCTAAACAAGCTTCAGTTTAGATAAGAGATGGGATATATGAAACTCCCTGCAGAACACTCTGCTTAATGTAACCGAAATGCCATAACTTTTGGTCACACTCAATCTAACCTTGTTCTTAGAACACTCTTGTACCGTATTAATCCAGATTTACAGACCAATCCCAAACATAGTTACATGGAAATACATTTCACTGCATTCAATAGGATTTACTTTTCTGGTAAATGTGCTTATAGGATTGTAACCTAAATCATTCAGGATTTGCCTGGATATTTTGTACTTTAAATGTAATGTAGCCATCACAAAACCTATTTACAATATCTCCCTTCCAGTTCACCTGGAGCACTTTATGGCCAGAATTAACTCCTAACAACAGAGATTGTTTAGTCTACTATTTATGTAACTCACATGTGTCTGTCATGGGGGCTGGACAACTTACACTTTTTAAAAGATGTTTGCAGACGGAAGGGAGGATTTATCCAATAACAATGGGGTATGATGTTTCATGTGACTCTAGGCCCATGTCTTACATATAATCAACAAAACTTTGTCCAAACTAGGATTACATTGCTCCAGCTTTCAAAAACCAGTTTCCCAAAGAGTAAATGCTATGGTTTGTTTTTGATTCCTTACCCATTTCAGTCTGCAGTCATTTACACCAGCAGTAGCTAGCCCATATCTTTCTCACTAGCAAGAGAATTCGATAAATATGGGACCACCACCCAATGTGTCCCTGCTGCTTACAATTAATCCCTCCCCGTCTCTTAAGTTTTTATAATGTACTGGGTTTTTCGGCATCAGTTCCTGCAGTGCCATAATCTCAGAGACATTTCTGTTCACACAACATTGCTGCAGGTTAACTTTCATGTTGGATGCATTTTGACACCTGACCCCAATCTCAGTACTTTTCCGAAGCATGGTGGCCTTTTGCATCATATCTACAAGTGCTTTAAAGCATCGTGTTATGGCTCAATTGTTGTTTAGCTCTTAAACAACAGGTGCAAGATTAAGAATCAAGCAGCATGTGGCCTCAGTGTGTGCAAAGTAGTGTTCCTGCCAAAAAAATAGACTCCTTCGGAGTAGTACGTCTTAACCATTTAAAATTATGTGGCTTCAAGTCTTATTGATACATAATATGGGATAGAGACATTATATTCAGAAGAATATTCCCTCAAATCTTCCTTCCAGTTCCTCTCTGTGGGTTGCATCCAGTGCTGTATAACCAGAGTTCCCTTTGCACTATAGGGAGTTGCCCTTCCTCTCCTCTTCCTTCAGACCCCCAATATCTGATGCAGAGGGTTCCCCAACCTTCTGGAGCAGATTTTGAAGATGCAAGGGGGGAATGCAGGGGAGATGAGGGGGGAGTTCCCTTGTGTAAACTGGAATTTTCTGCACAAGTGGAAGAGCAGTATTGGATACAGTCCAATACAGTCATATGGTACTGCAGGGGTACTTGGTGCCCTCCAGATGTTGTTCAACTATAACTCCCATCAGCCTCAGTCAGCATGATCATTGGCCAGGGATGACAAAAAGATTAGATCAGCAACATCTGTAGAACACCACATTGGCTACCCTGTGCCTGCTGTAAGGCTAAGCATATGGATGCATGAAATAAACACACGTCCTTCTCCTGTGACTCCATCTCTCTTATTTTTCTCTGGTCTCCACTGTATTGAATTGTAGATGGCAAGCTTCTCGGGATAGGGGCCTGTATTTTCCCAAATGTTATAAAATAAGACTTACGTAGGTAACATGCTTATGATGCAATCCAATACATGTTTACTCAGTAGTAAATCCTGTTGAGTTTAGTGGGATTTATTGCAAAGTACGTGTGTACAGTATAGGATTTCATCCTGAATTTTCAAAGTACTATAATCCCCCTGATTGGCTTTATAGTGGCAGTAAAGGAAAACAATTCACTTCAATACTTGTTCTTCCAAGGTTTTTCTTTAAACATTTTGCTCTTTTTTCAAACACATTTGTCTTCTTGCCTTTGCATCATCCAAATACACATTGTTAAATGATTAAAGATTGTCAAATCCCAGTAGATGATGTTAGGGTATAGCCTGTAGTATTGCAGCCCATTTTCATGCAGGGTTTTCACCATTAATAACCGACTTAACAAGCCAAAACTAAACATTCCCAATGTTAGAGAAAACTGCACCTGGAATCATAGAAATGTTTCTGCCCCCCCCCCCCCCGACACAAAATGGTAACCTTAACAGAATGTGATTGCAACATCCTTCCTCTTGCTACATAGCTACTTGAGCACCCAATGGAGGGCCATTTCACACAAAATATGTCCTTCAATTTGACTATGAAGGAATTTTATGAAACACAGCCATATGTTCCTGGAAGACTGCTAATCATGGATCTGCAATTGCAAATGATTCTTTATGGACAGTACCGCAGATGATGGCACCCTCTGGAAAACAAGGGCAGTGGCTATGTTATACAAATTACTGCAATAGAAGACTAGTGTGAAACTACACACGTGTGAACTAGATTTCAAAAAGGAGTGAAACATGGTATTTCCATGCTCCTAAATATAATACGGGAAGCAGTCCTAGAGGCTGCAATAAGCAAAAATGGAAGGGGCAGATGCTGTTAGAGATAAGCAAACTTTTTCTCTTTTCCTGCTGCTGAATATAAAAAAGAGATACACTGTAGATAAATGACAATTAATGGCAATGTAGAAAAGGCAATTAATTACAGTCAGCAAATGGCACGAGACAACGGGTAAATGGTGATGGATTAACAATCAATTAAAGGCAGAGAGGAGACCATCTGTTAAAAATGGTAAGAGTGAATGTTCAGTTGATCGATATCAATGAAGAGCTAGGTATAAGATAGTGAACAGTATTAACAATGGGCAGGTACTCTGCACCTGATCTTAGCAGTCTCTCAGAAGAAGGAGAGTGAAGAATTGCATGCAAAAGGAGTATGAAGCAAATAGTTAAACTATTCCAGGAAGAGGGAGACTTGAAGGTCATCTCATTAGCTCTAACGGGCCAACGCACTAAAATGTCTTATGATTAAGAATTTTTGTGATTATTATTTTTTAACAGTTGTGACAGCAGTGAAGACAGTTCTTATGAACATATTTTAAAGGTGAAAAATATGCATGGTATTTCAAGGATCTCGGCCCTTATGGATGCTCTATAATCATGAAAGGCAGGATTTGAAAACTATTTAGTTAGTAAAGAGGAATCTAAACATGCGATTGAAATGTGGAGATTGGAATGCTACACTGAAGACACAAATATGTTCAGCTCTCATAATCTCATTAGAGATTCATCATCCATACATTGTTGCTCTTGCTTATTTGACAAAATAGGATAAGCAATGAGAAAGATGGCATACGGTTGGCAAGCATACATGAAAGAAACATATATGACTCCAGATGTGTGAGCAAAGAAGCCTGAAAGATTACATAAATTGGGCATCTATGGTTACAATCCACAAATTCAACAGAATGTGTAACCCGCTATGTTCCACTTCACATAGAACAGTCACCAAGCGACCCAAACTTGTCATTTTTCACTGCACCTATATTTGCTTCATTGGTTTATATTTGTAAGCCTCTTTGAGCCCAGTGCTATAGGGTGACCTAGAAATATTCTTTAATATTATATGTTCCATACTGTTGTTTTTATTTTATTTTTATTTTATTTAATGTAAGCTGTTCTGGGCAACTGGAAGGGTGGGATACAAATCCTCTTAATAAACAAAATCTATTGATGTTGCTGACATCGTTCTGTCTGTTTCTCTCTTTTTCCATTGCTTAATTTCTGCACCTGCCACCCATTATCCAGTTTGCCCTAACCACACTTAAGTTGCAGTTATGGCCCTTAAAAAAAGAAGAAGAAGAAGATTACATTTGAGCCCTGCCTATAGTAAGAGACCAGACTGGAACTCTTTAAGACTGGTGTAGGCCAAAGCAATTTAAGGACAACCAGACATTTGCCTTTTATTTGAAACACCCAGGAATTATGGCCTGTAATTCAGTGGCAGAGTACACGCCTTGCATTCAAAAGATTGCCATATGAGCAGATTTAAGTCAAAATTAAACACTTTTGAAACTCCACGCTTATACCTCTTTGGTTGAACTTTATGAGTGGCTTGTTGGTGTCACAGATTGTGTTTGTGACTATCAGGACCTAGGGCTTATTTTAAGCCATAGCTCCCCAGGATTCACGTCCTATTTTCATCTCTGGGCTCAGACATGAAAAATGATGTAGTAAGAAAGGAATGCCTTTCCCTTGCTACTGTGTAATCATGGCCAGACGGTCCCCATGAGTCTGGGATTAGGGGTGCAGGTTTACAGGTCATTGGTCAGGACTTCAAACTACACATCCCATGTGAGAACCCAGCAGCACCTCTCTGTTTAAGAAATGTGTATCATATTTCCAGAGTAGATCTTCATACCTACTGGGTGGCAAATTTGTGTGGGGAGATGCACTTATCAGAGGTTAAGCTCCCCCAAAATGCTACAGTAGTTACTTTTGAGAAAGAAACCAAATCACCCTTTTACATGGCAAAATTTCAGCTATCATCTGCTTTTAGCCCCCAAGAAAAGAGAAGCAGAATTCATTCAATTTATAAGAAGCTTATGATGTCAGTTGTGAAATGTCAACAGATAGCAACTTAGTCTAATCCCCAAAAGATGACCTACTTGAAGATGTTTGACAGCCTATGCAATCTCTTTGTGCAGAGTCAATGAATGTCACTTAAAGGAGCTGAATTTCAAATGTATCAGATTTTGTACCAGCCACTATATTACTATTGGATCCAATTTTGACTTTACTGTCTGACATTTGAGGGCAGAAAGAGTGCTAAAGAGGACATTATGTTCAGCCACTGCAAACTCTGCAGGATTCTACCTCAAATCTCTCATGTTCCTTTAATTAAATGCATCTCTAGAATGTTCACTTCTATTACCAAAGACTTGAAATATGAACTTCATTATTACATTTCTTTTAGAATGAGCCTGTTGCCTGGCTGTGAATGGTCCTGAATGTCACACACTGAAATCTGGGTGTCAGCAAGCAATTTATCAGGAAGGTAACCAAACTGGGAGGATACCATGCCCTCAAGCTGGCAAGCAATGATGGACAGCTTGAACGCAGTTGATACTGAATAACCATGCCAGAGTTAGAATTTATAAGGAAATGTAGGCTCCCTAGCTGGAATGACATCCTCTGGTCATCTGAAGCACAGAGGAAAAGCAGGCTAGCAGCAACCTACTTTGGCAATGCAGCAAGGAAGGCAGCTGAGTCCTTCCTTACCATTAACCCCAAACTGAGCCCTCTGGTGCCTTGCATTATATTAGGGTTGACAGCTTTATTCCTGGTTGCTTTGTTACGATTGGCTACTGCATTTGTCCATATCCTGTCCTCCAATGGGGATTAAGAGCACTGGGAATTGTAGCTCTGTGAGAGGTAAACCATAGAACCCAGGATTTGGGGGGTAGGGAGATATGCATTAAATGTATGTTATACAGTATAGCCAATATAAGTTGCTGCCTGTTGACGTTTCACAACTACCGGTAGTTAGGGGCAGCTTGTTTTCAAGCAACGTGCATTTGATAGAGCGCAGTGGTTTTCATGCACATTTTTGTCCCTCATTTTAAACAGGATTCCAAATATTCTGCTCTGTGGATGTTCCTGTCAAAAATAGTGCTTTCAGGGCAGCTGAAATATTTCATGACTGACTGTAAATCTTTTTTTAAAAAAGAAAAAACACCAACCAGTCCTTTTCTCTGTCCTTATTTTCCTTCTCTGCTGCTGATTTGGTGCCATTTTCCCTTGTGATTATGTACTGTCTTCTTCCTTGATTAATTGAGCTCCCTGGAAATCACATAGTGATGCAACATAGCCAGATTTGGCTAGGCACAGCTACAGGCATCACTGAGGACAAATGAAGCCAATTCAGTCTGCCTGCCCTCACTCTGAATATGCAAGCATTTTCACCCCCTTCTGACAGCAAGCAGGAAGGAAGGGCAGACAGGTAGACAGAAAGGACTAGACTGGACAGTGAAATGGGGGGGGGTGGTCAAGAAAAGCACCTTCAGCTTTGAGGAGGTCTAATCCTGGATACTAAATGACCCGACTGTTCCACCATTGCTTCACATCTCCTGTTCCACCCATACCTGGCCATCTGTAAGCAGCCTTGGGCTGCTCCAGCCGTGAGGTGTAATTTTGCTGCATGGCACAACCTCCAGTTAGCTGTGCTTAGAACATTCTGGTGACAAGCTCTACTCTTTCCACATGGAAGGAGCAAGTGTGATCCTTCCCTGCCAAGCTATTTTGTAAACATACATGTACTGCAAATCTGTTTCACTCAAACAAATATTTCCAGAATATGCTTAGTTAAGAAGCATATTAAGAAGCAAATAAGTGATTGGGCCTGAGATGATTACATAAAAAACACTGGAAAGCGGCTTTTTTTAAAAGGCAATCAGTTGAATAAGGACAGTCAGAAAACACCCAGAAGGATTACTGTTCTTGATAAATATTACAATAACTGTTGGAATAAGCCATTGCATTGAGGAGGGTTATTAAAGTTATGTGGATTTTTTTACATCTGGAGAAAGAAACTGGTATTTATATTGGTGTTAGTGCATCAGATAGAAAGGCTGTAACATATTTTGATATATTCAAAACCTAGGTGATATATATAATCTATCACGTGTCTGCACAACTTGTGACCCGCCAAGCTGAAGCGACCAGTGGGAATGCCATGAGTCTCTGGAGCTTTCCACGTCTTTGATCTACAGTTTTACTTCCTGTAGTGCTCTCTCCACCCAATTTCTTCCCAACACTACACCCTTCCACTCTTTGTGAAGTGTCCCCTACCTGCTGTGTAATTACCTCCTATAGATTTTGTAGAAATGTTTCCATATCCAGGTAAGACTGGCATCTTGGCTGTGTACACCCCATACAGTGGTACCTTGGTTCTCAAACTTAATCCGTTCTGGAAGTCCATTCTAAAACCAAAGTGTTCCAAAACCAAGGTGTGCTTTCCCATAGAAAGTAATGCAATATGGATTTATCCATTCCAGACTTTTAAAAACAACCCCTAAAACAGGAATTTTACATGAATTTTACTATCTCACGAGACCATTGATCCATGAAATGAAAGCAATAAACAATGTACTGCAGTCACACAACCAATCAATCAGTAGCTGAACTGGGTCCCACACAGTCACAAAAACAAAGCAAAAAAGCCGCAAAAACAAAAACGAAAGATAAATAGCAAAAACAGACAGACCTCAGCGTAACACTCAAAATGGAAGTGTGGCACTCAAATTGGAACACGTTTGGCTTCCCAAAAAAGTTCACAACCGGAACACTTCCAGGTTGGCCGGGTTTCGGTTCCAGGTTGTTTGAGTACCATAACGTTTGAGAACCAAGGTACCACTGTACATTTAAAGCACATCTCCCCGCCACCAAAATAACCTGGGAACTGTAGTTTGTTAATGGTGCTGGGAATTTTACCTCTGTGTGCGTAAAACTACAGTTTCTAAGATTCGGAGGCGGGATGTGCTTTCACATACATGAGTGAAACAAAACCTGAGATCTCAGCTATAAAATAATGCTCCTAGGTAAATGGGTGGGTGGGGGATCATAGGCTTATTTCCTAAATAGATTTACCTTCTGCCTTGTTGCCAGCTGCTTGATTTCCATGGTCTAGATGAGATCAGAGAACCCGTTATTATCCTCCAGCCTTTGTGTAATCTTCAGGTTTGGCTTTCTGTTACTGTTTACTTAAACCAGCAAAAACCTGCTTATTGTTTGTGATTATCTGCGCACCAAACGTAAAACTCTGTTATTATTGTAGACACAAGACAGAAGGGGGGGGAGGGCTTACGCTTTTCATTCTTAAAACTGCAGTGTAATTTGTGGCAAGAGATTATTATGACCCTATGGGAATCAGAACATCACTGACGCCTCACTTTCAGGGAAGATATATAGGAGAGGCCTTCACTCGTGATATTTATTTTATTTTTATTTTTTTACTCCTGTAGCTTCTTAGTAGGATTCCCTACCCAGTCCTGCAGGTTTGGATCTTCTTGGTACAATTTTATTTTCTGTCTAGCAGTGTGGCCTATATAAAGCAGCAGATGAGGGCAAAGAATAATGACTTTACCTGGTGACCCATTACAATGTATATAGAATCCATGTTTATTTGAGCTTTGCATGGGGAGTGCAAACTGGACCTCTTAGGCTTCGGATGAATCTTCAGTTTTATGGATTCACTGAAGACCTTTAAAAGGTCAGGCTTTATATTTCCTCACATGTAATATATTCCTTTCATGTGCTCATAAAGAAATCCCCTTCTTTCACCAATGTATGCAATAAACCAGGGATGATAAGTCAGAAATCAAGGAGATCATAGATATAAAGCCTCTTAATAAACTTTCCAGAAACTAGAGTCAAGGATGCATTTCTCAAAAGGGAATGTGTCTTTTTCCAAGAAAATTGCCAGAATGCTCTCTTAATATGCACTGATTTAATAAGCACTTGAATGGATTGGGGAAATATAAGATTAGATCAAGAAACAGTTTCGACTCAGAAATAGATCCGATTTTTTTAATAGCAAAAACCAAAACTGATACAAGACGAATCTTGAGGTTCAGGCACACCCTAATCAACATTTATCAGTAGCCTCATCAATATTATTAAATGAGAAGGAAGAGGGGGTGATTCATTTAAGAAAATGAATGGGAACAGATCGATGAGCAACCACATTGCCTGAAAGAGAAAGAGTCAGACTTTTCATTAATTAAAAACATTTGCCATTCCCACTTTTTTATTAATTAAAGAACTGCTAGATTACTGTACTGTAGTCTGCAGGATGATTTTAGCATTGTTCAGTGCTCATCACCACATTCCTTATTACTGCTTGTGATTATGCAAATGTTTCATTCTTCTGAGTTAACTCTGAGTTAACTTCTGAGTTAATCATACAATCGTTCAGGGGGTTTCCAATCTGTGTCAGAGAGGCTTAATTTGGACCATTAAGTGACCCTTAAATCAACTTTCTTTGCATTTTCTGCTTCTGCAATTTGAGTGCAAAAGCTCTTCATTCAGTATAAAATTAGCTCTATTCTGCACATTAACAGCATTCACAGAGTACAAGAGAGGCTAGATAGTGAAATGTGAAGATGCCCACTGATTTCTTTTGATAGATTGGATCAACGTATCCATAATTGAGAGTCACTGGTATTCTCCTTCATCTTTACATTTTTTCTCCTCCTCAGACACAGTTACACGCTGGAAAGGATCTACAAGTTAGCAGTGTTCATAAAGTGGTTGGAACATCTTTCTGTCTGGCATTAGACACTGGGCCTTGTTCATTGGCTTCCTATAATTAACCAGAGAGCATACTTACCTTGGAACAGCTTCGGGTGTAACTTGCAAATCATGCAGTCATATCAACGTTTCCATTTTTTTCACTGTCATAATGTGGGAGGAATGGTATGAAACCTTTCACCAATATGTTGATGGATGATGTGATGAGTTATTTTTGAAACACACCCCAACTCGGAGAAGGAGGAGAACAGGTTGTTATTCCTGCCTGTTAATGAATTGCAGTCATTTTCTCATCTGCACTTATTCCCTCCCAGTACAAGCACCTGTTTCTAAAGTCCACTTTCTTGATCACTCTCTGGGTTTAATTTACAGTGTGATCCTATGCATGTGTACTCAGAAGAAAGTCTGTCTCTGTTAATTGGGGCTTACTTTCCGGAAAGTTCATAGCATTGCAGCATTAGTGCCACAAATGGAAGCTTTGCTTTGTTACTTTATAAGTTATTGATCACCTGTGGGATACAATGTGAGCATAGTCATGACTGATTAGTATCCTAGATGGGATATTCTGGAACTACGGTGTTATTCTGTGGAGAGCTATGGAGTCTGAGAAAATATTTCACATCAATTATTTGGGGGCGTTTACGCACCGAGATAGAATTTCTCACCTGCTTGAGTGTATGCCACTTGGCTAGAGATGAGAAGTCCTACAACTTATTGGAAATATTGATTAGAGCTAACAAAAATCTGACTGACTTGCATTTTCATTAAACCAGACCTCCATCTGCCCTTTCAAGATGGAGACAGACACTGCTTTTGGGCACATGTCTGACAGCAACTCCAATAAACACTTTACAATCATGTTTGCTGCAGGTATACTAGCATTGCTGCAGGAAAAACCCGGGCACTATTCCAACCAGACAACTTTTTCTCTAAAGAAATGCATTTATTCTGCATTTTCATGCATTCATATCTTTTAAAGAGCAAAATGCAAATAGCCCTTCTTCATTGTCTCACTGAATTAACCAATGCTAACATTTCAATATAAAGCCTGCTTAATAGGCCATAACTTGAAGGGAAATGTCTGGGATACTGGCTTGGGTGGGGAAGTAGCAGCAAATTATTCTCTTATCTAACCTATGCATCAACATCATAATCTAGGCGTAATTAGCTAGCATCTCACACCAAGCAGTAAAAGCAGAGAAGCTGGCTAAGCATGTCTTCCAAACTTTGGAATGATTTGTAATGTATTCAAGAGTGCAAGGTGTGCCACAGGCTGAATGCCTCACTTTTATTTAAGCAGAGCTCTCATGAACATTTTTGTAGTGATGTCAGCTGCAGCACAGAACTGCCCTAGTGCTCAGAAACTCGTGGCCAGCTAAAAGAGTCATTTTCCTCAAAAAGCAGGATGGACTTCAATCGAACTGTGAACATGGTTTAAGTCATAACATTGTGCCAGCCCTGGATTGTCCATACCAAAGACTGTAGTGGCTACAGTTTGGGGAGAAAGCATGACCAACAAACAAACGAAGATATACATGTTAATTACCAGTTGCTGGAAACAATCAAATGAAACTTTTTAAAAAAATCCTGAAGGGATAATGTCAAGGTAGTAACACTATACACAAGCTTCTATGGTTTGTCATTACAGGAATTAATTTAAGCGAGCCTGCCGTGGCCATGTGGAAGAGGTCAGAAACTTCTTCTACTGTCTTTGACTGACTGCAGCTTTTCATTATGTCAGAACACCATGGACAGAATGTGGTTCCAAAGTTTAGCCACCCCTGTCTTAATGTGACAGATGCCCTAGTCTTTTAGAAATATAACCACCCAGTATTAGCCTCTAAGAGTTCATATTCTAAAACCTTATTTATGTACACAGCGTAAACATATTACAAAACAGCAGTCTCTTGTGGCTTGAAATGAAGACATGGAGAAGCCGGCCCTTACATTGCACTGTATGTGTGAACCGACCTTCTCCGGCCGTTTTCACTGTCCCTTGATAAACCTCAAAAGAGGAGGGGAACAAGCCTGGGGGGTGATTTTGGAGTGCAACTCTGTTTGTACATGAGAGAACCCCCTCAGGAGAGAGACCTTAAAAAAGGTTGTACATGTTCCACAAACAACCGCAACAGAGAATTCAAATTAGAGATGTGGCAAATGGAGAGTGGAATGTAATCATCCAAGGGTCAGAGCCAGAGATGGTTTTAGGGTAGCACTGGACACCGTGTTGCAGGGGCCGCCACAACAATGCTGTAGAACGAGCATGAGAGGTGGAGTGGTGCCAAATTTTAACATCATGCAGGGCGCCCCTGAAATTTGAGAGCCCAAATTCTGCCACACTGCCAGAGCTCAGGGGCACCACATGCATGTTCACGACATGCAGAAGGTCCCAGGTTCCATCTGCAGCATCTCCCCATAGGCTGAGAGAGACTCCAGCATGAAACCTGGGTGAGCCACTGTTGTCAGTGCAACCAATACTCAGCTGGATGGACCAATAGTCTGATTCAGTACAAGGCAGTTTCATATGATATCCAAGTTCATGCAAGGAATGACTCACACCAGGGAGAGTATTCTCAGTCCCTGAAAGATATTTGTATCATATTTACTGGAGCTATTTTTAATGTGTTTTACCTTTTAAAAACTACCTTTTAAAAAAATAAGAGTGTTTCCAAGGAGTTATATTACAGAACATTGCTCTGTTAGTGGTTAAGTCTTTTATTATTTGTTTGAACAGATCTATGTTTTCAGACAGCTGTCAATATTGCTGCCTTTGTCACTTTAGGATTGTTTTCATTTCTTGTTTGTTTGTTTTTATGAGCCCAACTTGAGCAGCCTATAAACAATTTCATAAATGAATAAATAGTGTTGTGAGTTTTGGGAGGCGGGTTAGGATGTATGATGCCTGAGCCCCTTCTAATTCCTGAATCTAGCAAGGATTAAAACCTAATGAAAGATACCATTGTTGAATTAGCCAGGCAGGGGCCATAATAAAGCTGCTCTGTACCAGAGGGCAAATGGATGGGGCCCCTCCATCTGGCTGGTAGTGAGGACAATAGCCATAGAGTTGTGTTTGTGAGCTGGGCTGGAAGCAGGTAGAGGCCAGGGAGTGAGAGTCATGCTTGATTTCTGCTTGACTCCAAGGCTGTGACTAAGGGAGAAGCAAGATCTTGGGGGAGGCCCTCCACTGGAGGCTCATGTTATATGTACGTGCAAATAAACCATGTATCTTAAAGACTCCAGTCTCTGCTGACCCTCATTCCAAGGAAACCACCCTGGGTAAGCACCTAGAACCCTGGGAATACTACACCACTCAGAGATTGGGGTAGCATGTAACAATACAAATATGCAGCAAGACGGAAGCGATGTGTGATGAGCTAGTTCATAAGAACCACTTGCTGCATGAAACAGTCTTATAAGATAAGGATTCTGTTCCTAACACCGTGCTGCTTCCTGGTAGCAGTGAAAACAGCCTAACCTCCATGACAAAGCGCCACCACCGCAGAATAGTGATGAGCAATTCTATAGAGAATACTCTTCTGAATTAGACAGCCAGTGTGGCACAGGTTTAAAATTGTGCTGCCAAGAGAGACAAGAAGACACACCTAAGAAAACTTTGCAAGCAGTACTAACAAAGAACTCTTGTGATTTCCAGCACAAAACACAAAGGAAGCTTTCAAAGAGGAAAAGCAGCGTTCCATAGAGTCAGGCTTGTTTTATGGACTTGCCATGCCTCATTCATGAGAAAAAGTTTTGCTGCTTCATATATTACACAGGACCCACCCCCACCCCCCACACACTGTGTCAACATTTTCTTGTAGTATTTCTTCTTACAACAGTCATTTGAAGCAAGTCACTAATAATCTCACTCTTCAGGTGGGAATGGAGCCTGAGAGAGAAATAGCCAGAAAGCCATCAATGGTCCACAAACAATCTGGCTTAAAATACCGCATTGAAGATTTCCTGGAGCAGAGGTGGGGAACCTGTCTCTCTCCAGTCATCATTGGACTCCATCATCACTGACTAGTGGCCGCGGGTGGTGCTGTGGTCTAAACCACTGAGCCTCTTGGGCTTGCCAGTCAGAAGGTTGGCGGTTCAAACCCCCGTGATGGGGTGAGCTCCCATTGCTCTGTCCCACCTCCTGCCAACTTAGCAATTCGAAAGCACGCCAGTGCAAGTAGATAAATAGGCACCGCTGCAGCGGGAAGGTAAACAGTGTTTACGTGTGCTCTGGTGCCTGTCACGGTGTCCCAGTGTGCCAGAAGCGGTTTAGTCCTGCTGGCCACATGACCCGGAAAGCTGTCTGTGGACAAACGCTGGTTCCCTCGGCCTGAAAGCGAGATGAGTGCTGCAGCCCCATAGTCACCTTTGATTGGACTTAACTGTCCGGGGGTCCTTTACCTTTTTTACCAGCTAGGGTTGATGGGAGTTGGAGTCCAACAACATCTGAAAGGCAACTGGTTCCCCACCCCTGATCTAGAGCAGCATCAGACACCTCAGGCTTTGACCTCGCCACTTTGGTAATCAGCCACGAGGACCAGCCACTGATTTCTCCAAGGGGTTGGACTAGATGATTCTATGATTTCTTATCATGAGGGCTGCTTGGGAGATAGCATAACAGCCCAGAATCCTCCTGGTCTTGTGAATTAGGCGATTCCAGTTGCATTGTCTCCCATTAAGTTCCCAGAGTCACTGCAGTCCCTCTCTCAGTCTGAGCAACTTGTTGCTGACCCGGCTATTCCTCTAGGCCGCTTGCCTGAGAGCCAGCCAGTCTGCAGGCCTGAGGACCTGACAGCTACAGCACTGATTCACAAAGCACTGAGTCAGGATCCACTGTATGTATTTTTAACCCATGAACTGTATCGAGATTGGTGCTGAAATTCAGTGACTCACATTCATGCAATAGTTTGTTTCTATTATAAATCTCAGAAGCATTCAACAATAACGCAGCTGTCAGCACACCAACACTTCCATTGCAAGTTGCGAGGTGCATTTCATCATAAACATTTGTTGTCACTTGCTCATGCCTTTTTGAAGAAGAAGAAGAAGTAGGAGGAGTCTCCTTTGAAGCAGATCCAGGTAGGAGAAACCACAGGCAACATGTTACGGGAAATTTGGCCTCGAGGATTGTTGTGATGCTTGTCCCAGAAAGAGGGAGAGATGAAATGGAGCTAAGATTTACTCTCTCCTATAATCTCTGGTGAGTGTGTCCTATTTTGAACCATTGCCAAGCTCTTCTTTTCAAACCTGAAACTGAAAATGGGCGTCCTTCACAAATCATAAACTTACAAGAACTGGAATATGAAGGAAAACGGTATTTTTCTAAACGTGGCTGAGTTGGCATCTCAGTAAAAACAGCAAAACAAGCACATTGCATCCATTAATATCTGGAAGAAAATACAGTGATTTAGAGTATAGGAGACTCTCATTGAAAGCTATTTTGAGGGTGAAGTTGTATGATAAGATTTCCCATAAAAGGGCACCTCAGATCCTAGTTTTGTTAGGCTTTTTGCAATCATCCCAGAAGTCTCCTCTCTGCTACTTTTTCAGGTAGCCCACCCCTATAGTTGGCAGGAGTTGGCCTTTCTCAATAATCTTAGCTAGCCTAGACCACTTCCTTTCCTCTATCTCCCATTCATTCACCCAGTGTATGTTTCTTGCTTCTGAAACATTCATTCAGATAATAATAATAATAGTAATAATAGTAGTAGTAATAGTAGTAATAATAATAATAATAATAATAATATCTCTTAGACTAACACTCTAACCTATCTCATAGGCTAGCATTTTAAGGTGGGTGATCCAACAGTGAAAAATAAGATAAATAATACAAAGCAAGCCCATTGGATGTCAATGTGAAATAGCAAATGCCTAAGTATAAGAAGCCTGATCTGTTTGAAGCCAATAAAAAAAGAACCTTGTTAATGAGTCGGAGGTTATACACATGCCAAATAAATAAATAAATAAATAAATAAATAAATAAATAAAGTTAATACATGAAAGTCCAATGTAAATGCTTTTTTAAAAAAGTGCTTGCTCATCATCTTGGAATGGGAGAACAGGTTAATGATTATTTATAGGCGTCGAATACTGCTTGCATGTTTCCCATTGTTTCTCTGTAGGATCATGGGTGGGGAACCTGCCGCCCTCCAAATGATGGTGGGCTCCAGCACCCATCAGTCCCAGTCAACATGGCCAATGGTCAGGGATGGTGGGAGTTGTAGTCCTGGAACAGCTGGAAGAGCCACAGGTTTCCCAAACCTGGTGTAGGCAAAGTGATGGAGAACTTGTACTTTTTGAAATGAAAGCTCAAAGTTCTGGGAAGGAGAAGGCTAGATCATCCCTGGAGGGGGCTAGAGTTCTGTAGGACATACACACACCCGAGCTACACTACTGCTTACAGAGCTATGGAGAGACGAAGAATATATGCTGCAACCTGACTGTATTTGTTTAGGACAGAGTAACATATGTTTGGGATGCTCTTGCATCCTTAAATTTGATTTCTGACTTCATTTCTCTTCAGACCAGGCATGAAGTCTGGGGCCTTCATAAAACATTAAGGCTTGAGGTGCACAATCATTTATTAAAGTGAGGCTCTTAAGTTTATAATTAAAAGCCTGTGGGCCACCTAAAAGGGTTGGAAGGTTGACGTTCAATGGGAAATTAAGGCTCTGATCTTATTTGCATCCATTACTTAGTCACTTTGCCATAACTTGCAAATGCATTAGTAGCCTAAAGGTTGTGGGCTAATTTTCACATTCATATGCATCAGTTCGTAAGGGAATATTACTTGGCAATATGGTCTCCCACAAGGCATCACATGCAGCATATCATTCTGAACAGTATTAGGCAGAAGCCCGAGGAAAGAAAATCTGCTCCTGACAGGATAGATCAGCCGATAAAATCCATCATGTTCATCCTTGGGGGATGTGATTTCAATAGAAAAGAAACCGTGGTACCTGCTCAAGGAAGCCTGCCCTTTTTCAATGTGCATTACAATGCTGGTTGATAAGTTTAACTGCAATTTCTGCGTATGTCATCTGCACAACTGCCAACTGTAGAAGTGGGACCAACAACAAAATGTTGCTGTGTGAAATGCTCCCTGTTTGGGATCCCAGCCTCTCCACTCCATTGCCCTGGTGACAGTTTTCCATCCCACTCCCAATAGGCAAGACTGCTGAGCAAACAGCCCTCATTGGTCTGTTTATTTGCAGGGAGGGAGGCTCTGAAGATGCTTTGGTACTTCTGCAAATCTCCAGGTCCTCCAAAGCCTGCTTATATCTCCCTCTTGCAGGGTGTGTGTGCTACTATTTTGCCTACATAAGCAATAGTATTCTCTCCCTGAAGACGCCTGTATTTTTATATGTGTGCCTCTTCATTCCATAGGATAGCCAATTAGCTTATCTTAATTGCATTTCTTAATTCAGTTTTTCTAATAGAAATGTGGCATCACCTTCAAAAGAAGAGTGATAGGAACTGGAAAGGAGAACCATTTTGATAAATGAAATAGAATTTCCTAGACAGCTTTCTGTGGAGAAACGTTCTCTGCTATATTTTGGCAATGTCAGTCAAAGTCACACATTTGGGTTGAGAGTTGTGAAAGATGTTTGCAGTACATGTAAAACTGGATAAAAATAACAAGCTGTTGCCATGAAGGAATTAAAATAGTAACTTACATTTGATCATCATTCTGAAGATAATTATTAGGCATTGACTGAAAAAAAACACCAGCATGAAACTGAGCACGAGAAAGCAAGAGCCAACAGCTCTGTAGGACAGTCATTTATTTACCACAAGTCTTCTAAAGATTTGTCATAACCTCTTATAAACATAGTTCTTAGTGGTTTCATCAAACACAGATGCCATGTTTTATTTGCTCTCTTGATTATGAATGAGACTTAATGAAAGTGGATTAAGGATTGATTGATGAATCTAGGTATGTAATTTTTCTCCTACGCTGAGGTCCATTTGCATGGATCTTTGTGCTAGGGCTGCATAGGCACAGTCCAAGACATTTCGCTGCCTGAGGTGGAGGAGAAATGCCCAACCCCCAATGTCAAAGCATATGGGTCAGCCAAGTCATTCTGGCTCGAGTCAGAAATTCCCACAATTACCTCTCCCTGGCAAAAAATAAAATACAATAGTAAATTATATAATTAACAATTGGCTGATAGCTGTAAGCAGCTACCAGATAAGGTGATTTACCTGAGAAAAA